GTAGAGAATATTAATAACAGGGTTATTCAATATTCTCAGCATACCTTAGTAGCTCAAGAACCAAGTTGACCACTTGTCATTGAATGGGTCCTATTGAGCATTATTATCCAAGAGCGCGTTGAATGATGCCAATGAACGCGGTATAGGTGCCATGGTTCGGGCAACAGTGCGACGATATGGGACAACGAAAAACTTATTATTAGTAATTGGGGCATGAATACGACACAGATGATCATGAAGAGATGAAGATTATATGTACCTATTTATTATGTAAGTGCATAAAAAATTATTTGATTGTTTTTTTTTATAATACCTATAGAACTTGATTATGTACAGTCAATGACTACTTTAATGATTATAAGAAAAATATATTATTATAAAACAAATCAATATTTTCATTTAACCAATTATCTGATTACAACGAAACGTATTACTTAAGTATTCGGTATTCGGCCAAATAGTGTCTAGATATTCGGTATTCGGCCGAATAGGAAAAACTTAGGCGAAAAGGCCGAATACCGAATAATAACCGAATATTCGTTGCAAGTCTATTATAAATTATGAGTGCCTATATATTAACAACATAGTAATAATAATATAAGAGCAGTTTTTTTTTAAATTAAAAGCTTATTAGAGCTTTTAATAAATTCATTTTAATAATATTCGTAACTTTGCTTTAGATGAGTGCCTGAAAAGCTGTCGCATGCTCGGCTAAGTGAGGCGGTAAGCCTACTCTACTGCGTTATATTCAAACTTAATACAACTTTCTAAGTTTCTAAGTCAAAAAGGATCTCCGGCAATGGCGGATTTGTCAATAGGTCAAGTAGATCCGGACCTAGGGCGGCACGATTAACGAGGCAACGAAATTGACATATTATACGACATAAGATCATTAAACTGACGCATACATATATATTAACACATCCTAACACAGTTGTCAAAATATGACAAGTAACGACAAGAAAAGTCAGTTGTAAATGGCCGCGCGTGAGATAGGAACAAAATATGTTTCATTGAAATCTTTCATTATTACGAAAAGATTCCAAATTTCGAATACTTTTTAAGCGTAAGCAAAATGTTCTTTATTTACGCGAATGCATCAAAAGGCCTGTAGTGTGTCAAGAGTTCAGTTGAATTTCGGAATTGAGAGAAGATTGAGAAGAAATACGAAAAAGTAAGGAAAAGTGGAGCAGTCATATTGAAAGTATAACTAGTGGTGCAAGAGAGTTAAGTCAAAACTGCATGTACTGCGTGTGTTTGTGAACCGCCAAAAGTAACACTCGTGAACCAAAACCAATAAAACATAAGACATTAGAGCAGACATACTTTAATTTCTTTTCTTAAATTTTTAAATATTATATTTTTTTACATGATGTTACAAATAATATCATGTATACTCCCCGGCCATTAACGATTTTCAAATATATTTCAGAACTAGCGGTTTACCCTCGCTTTGCTCGGGTGTGTCCCCAAGTAGTTTTTTTTTTGAGCAGAATCTTAATTCTTTTTCAAAAATTAAAGTAGCCTATGTTACTCCTTATAACATCAACTATCTGCCCGTGAAAGTCCTGCCAAAAGCAGTCCAGCCGTTTCGGAGATTAGCCGGAACAAAAAGACAAACTTTCATTTAGCATTTAGATGCGATATAGAGTAATTTCAAATCTTATATTTTGAGTTATTAGATCATTGGCTATAACTTTATTGCCATATATCTAATACTATCTTATCTAATGTACATACTCGGCTATTAGCTACTCATAAATGTAGAAATCACTATAATGAAAACACATATTATGTATATGTGTATGTAAGTAAACGTTGGTTTCTCGCAATTTTCTTTATGTAGATTTAATATGTAAAACTATTAAAAATTCTTTTATTTCCATCCGTATCTAAAGTTGATAGAATAGTAGTACTCTGTACTAGTGTTTGGCTTCTATCATTTCACTTATTTTTGACACCGAGAAAAAATTATACAGATTTAACACCTCATTCCTCTTCTAGGGAAACATTCTTATTAATCTAACATAAAAAATTATATATAAATAATTTATTATTTATCAACGATCGGCCTATAAAAGCAAGCTTATTTGTTGAATTGAAAGGGAACTCAGCTTATAGCTTACTATTAATATGGAAATTCTGGGAAAACTATGTTAAATTTATCCATTAGATTCAAATCCGTGATCGGATGTCGTGGATAACGAGTGAATATAAATTACTAGAGCTCACCGTAGTCAAGTGAAAGTCAGCAGTAATATTCAAGTTCCGACCAACTGTCGCAGGTAGCTGCACCGCCGACAGATACAAATAGATTAATTATTAATATTATTATTATACACAATTAAAACTCTCTATTAAATTCACAAATAGATTAATTATTATTGTTATTATACACAATTAAAACTCTCTATTAAATTCACAATAATCTTATAATGATTGATATAAAGAAACAGATACGTTTTAATAAACAATGTTACTAGTTACGTGTTAGGATCACGATGACGCGCTAATTATTCTACATATTTTGATTATTGCTATTGTTTTATGTAACAGGTATTTATATTGCTTTTAGTACCTACTACTTAACGAGATTTATATATATAAATATATATATATATATATATATATATATATATGAACAGTTTATCCATTTGACTGTTCCATGAAACTTCAGAATCAATTGCAAAGATTTAAATTTAAAAATGTGTTTATAGTTTATGGATACGACTACTACTTTATTACTCATTAGTATGGCAATAAATATTAATCATTTGCAATTTTGACAGGATTGTATGAAAAAAATTTGTTGAGTATAAAGATAAACTGACTAAAGCGACTATCTATCATATAATAAATATCATTTATTAAAATTGTAACTAAGCCGAATCTGTACATTAGATATTTTTTGGAAAATCTTATTGAAATAAACATTATTATCGATACAGAGGCCGAATCTATAGTTTTAAGAATTTTTGTCTGTCTGTCTGTATGTTATCACATCACAGAAAAACCACTGGAGGGATTTTGATGAAATTTGGTATGGTGATAGCTTGTTATCCGGGTCAACATATAGGATTCTTTTTACCGCGGGTAAATATCTGGTTTTTGAGAAAAAATACAAAAACTGCAATGTAAGAGTATACTAATATGTAAAACCTAAGAATTTGGTTTTTGGTCATCTGAACGCGGGCGGAGCCGCGGGAAATGCTATTCATGAATATATATAATATTATTATAAATCAATATTATATATATAATATTGATTTATAATAATATTAAGGCTGATACGCTAATTATTACTTATAATTTAAAAAAAATATGAAAAATATATCAAATATCAGTTTTGATAATTACAAAATTTTCAAATATGAATGAGAATGACATAATATTACTTAACATTAAGCTGTTACATGATAGACGCGACATTTCGGTTGCTTTAGTTTTACTTGTAAAGTATAGCTGTTTTACACAACTTGACACATTTTCACCTGCACATTTTTCACTACATATTTTTTACCACTTTCCTATCTTTTTAACGGTATTATTATATTATTGAATTTGAATTAATATTGATATATCACTTACCCAAAGATTTTTCCCATACTATATTATGATGTACGAATATATAAATTACCTATACAGTAATATATAACTTACATATTTATCAATATTTGAACAATGTCGATGGTAATTAGCATACCTAGATGACGTTAACGAACCGGCTTTACTTCCGGGATCGTTATTCGTGCGATCGTGAATGAACATCATTATATTGTGATGTTGCGTACATCGTTTTGTAAAACTCGGTGTACACAGACTATCCATGACGTGAAAATTGTTGAGAACATAGAAATTGATAGGCGTGTAGACGCGCTCACCTGGGAGTTGTCGATCGCGTACATAATAAATACGAGTTAGTTATTTATCGTCGCATGACATGACGCGCGAATGCGAGGCGTACCGCGGCGTGACTAGCGAGTGCCGAGTGGAGCGAGGAGCGACGGCGCATACGCACACCTCCACGCATGGGCCCGCTGAGTGAAGGGGAAGCGGGGCACGCGAGATCCGGGTTGCGGCTCGCGCCCACTGCAGCGGGTGGCCCCCAAACAACCGCACTATTGACCTCTGTCACTAAATCTAACACCCATGCATCATTTTTTTCATATCTTGACAATATTTATAAGCCAAATCCTAATTTCATTTTATTGTTTACATACGAGCATGTACGTTGTTTAGCTATTAATAACTGATCATGATCAATACTTAGGGGACAAATGATAAAGAGCCAATGTAACTATACATTTAGCTTATGGAACACAAGAGGATTTTTTTATCAATTCATTTATTTTATGACAGATAAGAATGTCATTGACCATCCTAGAAATCCATATTGTGGTATGCTGGCATTAGAAACACTTAACAAGTTATAACTTAGTAGCAAACACATCGCTCACATATGAATTGAAAAAGAAAATACAACATAAATAGCATAATTGAAATAAAATATAATCAATGTAATATGTCACTTCATTTACATGAAATTATTACAATTGTCAACAATTAATTATACATTTAAAAATGGGCATTGTAATGTACTTTAAATCTTTAATGTCATATTTTAGTAGGTAAAAAAATGGCATGCTATTCAAAAAACTATTTTTAATGATTTGAGGAATTATTTTATTGTAGTTAAGATTTAGTAAATATTATAAAATATGTATTTAAAAATACTACTACTCAAATATTAATTCAGAATAGGAATATATTATTTTTGACAAATTTTTTCTCATAAATTTGTTACTATATTTCCCTATGTATTAAAATAGTGTCTATTTGTGGCCAATAAAAGCTATGGCAAAGAGAATTTATAAAATTACTTCTATTCAAGTTTGCTACATCATCTCACATCATACATACATCCATCAGCTCATGTACTTAATTATTATTAGATATATGTATTACTAAAGGAAATAGGACGCAAAATGTTTTTTACTTACCTGAATCCGATCGACAAGTTCTTGTGGTTTGACATTACTGTCTATTGGGTTTACATTTAGTGTAACGTTAAAACATACAAAGTCAGTGTTTTCGACTGAATTTGAAAATTTATCTTCAGAAAGTGTAACATAGTAAAAAGTCTCCACTAAATTAAGATATTTAATACAGAATTCGTTTAAACACGAACGTGGTACTGATATAGACAGATTTCCTTCGTTGGACATTATTTGCTATGCGAAAAAATTGGAATGTTGCACTAGTATTGCAATATCGTGAGATAATCCATATCAATGTCATATATCTGTTAATTCTACCATATTCACAATCCACGGCCCATAACATTTACATCTTTATTCTTTACTAACATGGATGACAAATAAAATTTACTAATCTGAAATCTGAATTCTGATTCTGACGACTGACAGACTGACGTTTTCAATTTCAAGTCTATCAAGTATCATCTATAATCTATATCTATTATCTATCAATCAACCATAGATGAATAATATATAATAAACCTATCAACGAATAAAACATAGATAAGCACAGTATAAATAAAAAAACTTGCTATATAAAACGGTGAATGACAGAAAGAAAGTAAATTATACTGTTGTTCTATATTACAGAATACAATAAAATACAAGATAATTTAAATAGAAAGGGTACCCAATGTACCCTTTTGCGCGCGCATATATTAAATGTGGTCCGGTTTTTTGTTCATGTATGTAACTAATAACTATCGTAGCATCTCGATATAGTTTGTGGTTACTAATTACTATGCTATTGGATTTGGTTTTTAAATTGTAGTGTCCATGGATGACAAATAGTAGGGTCCACAGAAGATAAAAAACAAAGTAAAAAATTAAGATGTAACGAATAACGATGTTTGTCTGTTTGTATGGGAACTTGTGTCATCAAATACACCGATAATCATTATTATACACAACAAATAAATGGTATTTGATTAGTTTTTTATTTTAGTCAAAACTAGCGCTTTAATATTTTCAAGAAATTTAATAATTTATTAAGTATTATTAATAAACATATTATGAAATAGACATCATATTGCAACCATTTCTATATAGTTTGTGATGTGAGGTTTTAACTCGCACTCCTCAGATAAATAAAATGTTACATTTTTTGTTAGGGAGTGCTTCGGACAGACCAAAAGATAGAGAGAATTATATAGAAATAGATAGAGAAGAAAACCACTACGCAGGCATAATATTTATCATCCCTGGTCGGAGCGTTCAGCGTAGTCAGCTCAATCTGTGGTCGGAATTCGGAGCCGTTAGCCGATATTCTGGTCTCAGGATCTGTGACTCTGTGGTAGCATAGTTTACTGATGCGTAGGCCGGGTAAAGGGCGCGCAAGATAAGTCTGCGCGCGACTGGGTGCGTACTAAATGTTGCCAGGCTAACTAACGGTAATGTTCCTTAATTTGATAGAAAAAAAAATGTTTTTCGTGAGGTATCCAAAGTGTTTGTAGGTATAGTATGCATGTTTATTTTTTTAAGACAATATAACATTAAAAAGCGAGCTCATCCCAAAGAGAGATTACTTCTAGTCAATTTTAAGAGTGGTGGTGGAACTCTAATATTTTAATTAACATTGAAGAACTTACTAAGTACACTACACTTGGAAACGATCGTATTAAAATTTAAAAATTCTTACCCGAGGCGGCAAAGAATAAACTCGATTTTTTTAAGTATGTTGAGAGTGGTTATTTATTATTGAAATTTATACTACATAAGAATTTGAAATTAAAACTCCATGATAATTTTTTAAGTCTTTTATTGAATACCGTGTAGTACTCTTAAATTTGGTATAACAGTGGTCCTCCAATGGGTCCACGCCTTCCATTTCAATATCTTCACCCTCATCCATGCTGGAATCATCGTCAGAGGAGTCGGATAAATCACCAGTAACATCAATAATAAATTTATCCATTTCTATATCTAAAAGCCTGTCTGAATCGTAATATGTATCTTCTATTTTTGAGAGCTTGAGAAACATTTTTTTCTGCAATGCTCCTCTTCACGATAGCCCAATTTTTTTCAATAGCGTTTAGGTCGCAGGGGTAAGGAGGTAACCGCAGAACCTTATGTCTATGTTCATTTAATAATTGTTTCACTTCATACTGTGGCTCTCCTTTGTACCTTTTGATGATGTCGTATAATTGCGGTTTTGTCCAACAATCATCGACTTCAATACCATTTTTCATAAGCCACTCTTTGAGTTCTGCTTTTGTATTGCCCATTGTAGGGGTCTTATTAATTTGCGTACTGTGGTATGACGCATTATCCATCACTACAATGCTAGTCAATGGTAAACATGGAACAATTTTTTCTTTCATCCAAAGCGTAAAGTTTACAGAGTTCATGTCATCATGATAATCGTTTGATTTGGATTTGGATTTAAATAGAAGCAATCCATTTTCAACAAACCCAGATTTGCTTCCGGCATGGGCTATAATCCACCTTGCACCGACGCTATCAGAAGCTAAAACACCCGGCTCTTTCACCGACTGCCAACATTTTTGGAGGGGATATGAAGCGTGTACAGATGTTTCGTCGAGATAGATGACTGGTCGATTTTCTTCCGACGATTGTTGCGCAGCATTAAAATATATTTCGCTCTCCAAGCTGCAATATCTCTGAGTTCTATTAGAACTTTTCGTTTAGAATTGCACTTTTCGTTTAGAATTGCACTTTTTGTACTTGAAGCCCATAAATGAAAAAATAAAATAGACCTCAACGATGTTCTACCATATTTAAAATCTATGTTAGTTTTCAGTTGCAACCAAAGTTTATTTATGATAGGAATCTCCTTCTCTTCACAATATAAAATGAATGTATTAAATGCCTTATAGCGCATTTATCAAACTCATCTACGTCAGAAACGCCTAAAACAAAATAAAAACAATCAATTATACATAATTACATTACTAAACATTAATTATACCCACTGACTACTGAATATGGGTAATTTGAATGCTCTGGCAACCCTAAAATTATCTGTCAAATAAGCGACGCGTGCTCTTTAGAAAATGGTACCACAGGCCCGTTACGATCTCTTTCTTTTTCACAAGCACGTTTGACCTTTAAAATAATATCCCTGCCAGCACTTTTAATCACTTTCGGCATGATGATGGATATTATTTACTTAGAAAACGAATAAAAACACGAAAAGCAGTATACCCTTAAAGACACCTGACATAACAACAACATGGCGGCTCTCGGTTAGTTCCGATTTCGACCGTGCGCATAGTTATCTTGCGCGCACTTTATCATCTCTATTTAGTTTGTGGTTTACTGTTTACATAGTACATACTCTATAAAGTTTATTCTTTATCTTTAGTAGCTTTACTCTATAGTTTGTGATTACAATTTAAAAAATGGAATATATCAAGTCCAATATTTTCGTATCGGTAAACTTCAACGGAAGCTTTCTGAGTGAATTACGATTAAATTGGTCACATCAGCCATCTACATATATTACATACAAATCATCTGTAGATTAGGGCTAACATATTTTTAGGAATTAGTCAACAGGTTCTGTTGCTCTGAGTGTGAAGTAATTAACTGATATATCTCGTATCTAGATTAAAAGTCGATTATATCAAAAAAGGTAAGGTTCAGTAGATGAAAAAAGTACATCTGCATTTTTATTACTGTACATAAGAAACTCAATTTTATTTTAGGTCAAATACCTCCTATTACCTATAATATAAGTGTGAAATGTCACTGTTTACAATAGAAGGATTTTAAATTATTGATTATAACAATGTTCTGTATGTCCAATAGATAGCATGCTGGGGACGTATCTCTATTACGAGTATACTATTGCTTCATGAGACTGAATAAAGGAAAAAATCGAAAATTAAAAATTATAATATTTAATAAGAAATTCGAAAAGTAGAGTGATCAAGAAACAAATTAAATGAAAATAAAGTTAGTATGCCATAAAATATATCGAAGATTAAGTAGAAAACACTGCTATTTACAAAACATCAACTTTACAGAAGAGCAAAAAAATGTTTTATTAAATTATTTTTTGGGATATCTAAACAATGTTAGTGTTTTTTTCTAGAATGGCAAATGATACTTGGTGATATGATTCGTTGAAAATTACAGATTACTGTATTTACGGCAGATAGCAGTTGATGTTTTGCATTAGGGTATAATCAAAATAATAATAGGGTAGTTAGCAGGTGTTAGAACAAAACAACTTTAAATTTAAATCAAAGAAAATGTTTATTTTTAAACTTTAAAGTACAAAAAAATAAGAAAATAGCAAATACATACTTTATATTTAAGAAGATACTTGAGGTTCTTTTCAAAACATGACTATTCTACTTTTTGTGTTTTTTCAAAATCTGTGAAAATAGTTTTGTAGGTATGCAGCTATGTTCTTGACTCGAAATTTTGATGCATTATTGTTGACGACAATGATAGTCATTGCTTTGTACAGGATTCAAAAATTTAGCAATAATATGTATTGAATAAATCCAAAATTTGAAATGAAATTATCTAGTTTTGATGCGGCTGATTGGAATAATCAAGTTTTATTATGTGCTCTAGAGGAATAATCATTTTTTAATTCAAACCACTGTGGATTAATCTTGTTTTGCTGGAACTAATTAAGTATCAGAAATCTCATTTTTCATAAAGGATTCCTGGTATCTTTTATTTTGTTGCAATTTAGATTAAAATACAGTAGAATCCGGATATAACGACCTTCAAGGGACCGGCGATATTATGTCGTACTAACCGGATGACGTATAAAACGGATACATATTTACATATGTATGTAATTATGTATTATAAGTGCGAAAGTTTGATTTTCCTATTTAGGTAAATAAAACATGTTGTAGGAATCAGTTACATATGTTTATTTTAATTATTCTTATATGTACACAAATAAGTAGTACATACCAAATTACAAACATAGGTACGTAATGTACTGTAATACTGTCACTAACGTAGGAAATCTGTTATTTGGGTTTGTTTTTGACAGACTTTTGTTCGGTAGTAAGAACTTCGGACAGCATTGTGAATACGTGACATCATTGTTTTCATATGGTCATCATCAAAGTTAGTCTGAACAAATACATTAAGCGTTTCTGCAGCCTTCAGAGCTTCAGATACACTCAAGGTTGGATAAAACTCTGGTTCGTCATCATCACCGTCGCTATCTTTGCTATTCGCGTCGTCGGCGATGATATTATCCACAATGTTTTCATCAAACGGCTCTTCACAAGTGGCGACAGCATCATCGACACGCGCGTATTGTTCAAAGTCCTCGTTTGTAATGGGTAACTGATGCTTATCAATAGCCTTCGCCCAAATGCTCAGCGGTACGTCGTCTTCTTCGTTAAAATCATCTGAAGTTATGGTACATTCTACATTGCTTCGGACAAAACCAGCATGTTTGTAACAGTTAAAAATTGTTCCTTGCTTGAGTTGAGTCCAGGCATCTTGAATCATTAGAATAGCGTCAAGAACAGTGATCTTCGGGCACTCAACACTACTGCATCCGCCATCTAGAAACTGGATCATTTTTAAAACAAGGTTTTTACGAAAATGTGCTTTCAAAGCTCGAATGATCCCTTGATCCATGGGTTGCAACACTGATGTCGTGTTTGGAGGCAGAAATACTAGGGTTATGTTTTTCAAGTCTGCAATATGGGGATGTGCAGGACAGTTGTCAACTAACAGCAGGATTTTCTTATTCTTTTTCGTAAGTTCACGATCCCATGCGCGTGCCCATTTGGTAAAAATGTCACCAGTCATCCAGGCTTTTCGATTGCTCTCATAATCCACTGGCAAATGCCGTACATTTTTAAAACATCTGGGACGTTGAGATTTCCCGATTACGATAAGTTTTTTTTTAGCTGTGCCACTCATGTTGGCTGCCACCATCACTGTTATTCGCTCCTTTGATAATTTTCCTCCTGTACATTTTTCACCTTTAAATTTCAACGTCTTGTCTGGGGTTAATTTATAAAACAACCCGGTCTCATCTGCATTAAAAATTTCATCATCACTAAATTGAGCACGTAGAGTAGGCAAATCTTTTTCTAACCAATCGTGTACATCACTCTGTTGTACTGACAAAGACTCGCCAACAATCTTTCCACTGACGATGTTGTGTCTTACTTTAAAACGGTTTATTCAAGTCATGGAACATATGAAATTTTGCATGTCTAACTGTCTAGCAAAAAAATTTGCTTTCTCTTGTAGCAGATGTCCATTAAGAGGTATTCCCCGGTCGCGCTGAAGCTTAAACCACTGTAACAATGCCTTATCCAACTGCTCATGAGTAGAAGTTCTTACACGTTTGCATTTCAAAACATTGGCCTTAAATAGCGGCTCGATCTTGTATTTATTCTTCTTTATTGTTGATATTGTAGAATGAGATACGCCAAATTCCTTTGCGAGGGTCGCGTTTGATTCACCAGCTTCTAATCTGTGTAATATTGCACTCTTTTCTTCAATTGTAAAACACTTTCTCTTCACAGAACTCATTTTATGGCGCTTTATGAACTTGTCATAACAGGTGACAAACACTAACTGTGATTTACGCGCGCCAATAAGGAGAATTGAACGGTGAAGCGCGCGGGGAAAGTGAGGGGGCCGAGGTATTGGTCATTCGTTACCTAAATTGAAACAAAACACGGCGCGTCGTTTTAAACGGACGAATTATCGTTAAAAATGGTCGCTATAAACGGTTTGTCGCTCAAACCGGAGTCGCACTAAACGGTTAAATTTTCTCAGTATCTAACTATTAAACCGAACTTGAGTAAATAATATCGACGCTAAAAACGGTTAGTCGTTATAAGCGACGTCGTTATAAATGAATTCTACTGTAGTTAAAAAAGTTCTGGATTAATCATATTTTGTTCCTAAAATGTGTATTTGAAATGGGTAATGTCATTTTGATGTGGAATAATCTATTTTTGACAAAATCATGCCTTTTAATCTTTTTTTTCTGGTGTAAATAACAAGTTTTGGGCCAATTATTTTCGTGAACAATTATTTTCGCGAAGTGTAAATTTGAATGTTACCAAACAAAAAAAAAATTGTTTCATCAAAAGTGGAATAGTCAAGTTTTTAAAAAAGAAGCTCCTCACTTAATCTATGTAGGGCAAAGAGTTGTTTTTTTAATAGGAACCTTGCATGTATGGAGTTAACTATTAATGCCACTAGAAGCTGTTCGTGCTCGTGGTCTTTGTGGCAAAATCTAATGAAATTTTAATTGTAGAGTCGGGTTTGTACATTATTTTTCTTAAATCAACAACCTAAAGATCTCTGGCATTTCGCCCAGGTCAAATATTTTTATAAATAAACATCTCAGTATCAGCATAATCTTTAATAAAACTGAAATCCACGTTAATGATTTCGTATAGATTTTTAGCACATGCCTCTTTTGTTAGTTTGATATACAGTAGAACTCCAATTATCCGAATTAGGGCGTGTTTAGATGACCCGCGCCAACCACGCACAGGACCCGCATACGCGCTTTGCCCGCCTAACACCTCGCGCTCGCCACGCGCAAAGTCAGCGCACGCCTCACGCCCGCATATACAACTAGTGCGGTGACCTAGGTGGCTTCCAGATGTCACAACGTGAGCACGTGTGTAACAAAATGGATTCGACTAAGTTAAAAAAAGTTATAATTGCATACTATATGTATAAACAATGGAAGAAAGAAAAAGACAGTGAAAAGATATATTCTAGAAGAACATATTGGGTTCATCCTATATTAACCCGCAGAGAGAAGCATGGCCAATTTCATGTCCTTTTTGCACAATTACGCAATTATGACGACGAATTTTATAAATATCTCTGAATGACTAAAAGGACATTTGATAAATTACTAGGCGTTTTAAATAAGAAACTGGAGCATCAAGACACAAATATGCGGGATAGTATTTCTTCTGCCGAAAGACTGGTCATAACTTTGAGGTAAGTAAAATTTGAGGTGAGTATCAGTTCGAAATACCATCGCACACACATTTTTTTTAATTACGAAATGGTTTTATATATATATCGGCGCGAACCACAATTAGAAAAGGAAAACAAATGATAATAATAATAATTAATAGTTTAATAAAATTAGAAAAATATAGTTATTTACGTACATATATTGTTTTATAAAGAGAAATTCTTATAATAATGCAGTTAATAATTAAAAAAATGTATTAATTTAATTTTTTGCTAGTAGATTTATTATAGTTAAATAATGATTATCACAAAAATAAAGCATTAAGCACATGTCCTTTTCAAATAAGTTATTTCAAATTATAGCACTATGACTCCCCTTTTGAACGTGACCATACATATTTAAAACATGTTATGTTAATAAAATGCAATAATTATCTTAAATCACAGCGGTAGGAATCGCACTAGACAAATAATAATAATTTAAAAAATTAATTCAGCGCTGCAAAGTCGACGTCGTCACTCGCACAGGATAGACTTGTCCTAATTTGAGTGTAAGAGTCAAATCAGACGTGTCACAAGCCATCCACTCTCCTACATCTTCAGCACTTACTTCTGTACAACCAGGAATTTTTACAATCATTTTTCTTATTTCCTCTAGTGACAACGCATCTTCATCATCATCATCCTCTCCATATTCTTGTTTCTCATTTTCTTCAGATTCTTTTTTTTTGTTCTTCTCAGACGGTAGGCCTTTCAGTTTATTCCACGCACGTCTTAGCGTTACTGCCGTAACCAAACTCCAAGCTTCCGCTACCATGTAACAGCAGTCCTTTAAATTTATTTTTCTATGATTTGCCAAAACCAATTCTTCATCTTCAGCACCTTCGATCAGCAGTTTTCTCAGCAGTTGCCTTCTGTAATGGCGCTTCATTGTTTCAATAACAGACTGGTCCATGGGTTGCAGCAAACTTGTAACATTGGGAGGCAAAAACGTCGTTTTAAACTGCCCATTCTCTCTTTCCAACAGTTCTGCTGTAGGATGAGTGGATGCGTTATCAACAATTAAAAGCACCTTACTGCCTTCTTTTCCCACCGATTTTTGGTGCTTTTTCACTTCAGGAATAAACACTTCATCATACCATTCGGTAAACAAAGCTGCAGTCATCCAGGCCTTGGGTTGACTTTTGTAGAAGAGTGGAAGTTTTTTTACGTTTTTAAATGCTCTTGGATTTCTTGATTTTCCTATCAAAAGAAGTGGCAGTTTATGATTTCCAGTGGAGTTGGCACAGTTAAGCACTGTAACACGTTCTTTACTGACCTTATGTCCAGGGGCACTAGATTCCCTTTTAGAAGCCAAAGTGGTTTTTGGTAATGCTTTCCAAACAAGGCCAGTTTCATCGGTTTCTGATGGATAACTCCGATTCTGATGCAGTTTTAAATTTTTCAATAAAATTTTCAGCAGCTGCAGAGTCTGCTGAAAGCTTCTCACCAGCCAAATCTAACTCGCGTACACCATGCCTGAATTTAAAATTCCTTAGCCAGCCGTTACTAGCCTTAAAAGATGAATAACCAAGCTTTTCTGCTAAGATTTTGGCTTTTTCACAAAGGATTGGACCTGAAATCGGATTTCCCATAGAACGTTCATCTTCCAAATTTTTGTTGGTTGCTGTCTTCATTGTTTTCCTGGAGGAACTTCCATCTTCATTTTCAAGCACCGAAACAAAGTTTAAAAGTGTTGACTTACTGTTTTTAATGTCAGAAATTGTTGCTTGTCCAACACCATAAATCTCAGACAACTTCTTACCCGTTACACCTTTATCGAGTTGCTCTATAATTTTCAGTTTGTCCGCTAACGATAGCACAACACGTTTTCTTTTCGAAGCCATGGTATAAAAACAATACAGTATTGTACACGCACAAACAAAAGTAAGCCGTAGCGAAAGAGTAGCGTCCTCGAGCAAGGTCAATAGCACACTGGCTAATCAAAACAAACAATGACAGGTGCGCCGTGACTGCAATGCGCCGGAACTTGTCTTAACTTGCCGTTGTGCCTACACTGACTTCGCGGGGGGAAGTCAGTGTAGGCACAACGGCAAGTTAAGACAAGTCAAGTCAAGACTTGACGCGCAAACACTGGCTTCGCGGGGGGAAGAATAATAGCGCACTTAGACTTTTTTTGGACAATTTTTTGTGATTCGGATAATCGGCGATTCGGATAGTCGGAGTTCGGATAATTGGAGTTCTACTGTAGTCCCTCGGTAGATAAATTTCTTTATTTTTCAATTTTCTTTCGATGGTATTGTGGATGGATGTGAATTTTTGGAACCCGGTCACACTCAGATGGAATGTGTCCATCTGAGTGTGACCAGGTTCCAAAAATTTTTGAGTAGGTGAAAAAATTGCCATATACCACTTGTGTGTTTTATAATATGTTCTATATATAGCAATCAACATATCGGAGAGATCCAACCCATCCATATGTTTATAATGTTCTAATCAGTTAATTGTTTTCTTTAATTATCTTTTTCAGATCTTGTGCAACCCTAGTGGCTCTCCTGTCTTTGGAAGGAATTTATCTTCGTAAATTTTCTATGCTTCTTCTTTTTTCCTCTTGTTTCCGTATAATTCGATTGATTTTCTTTTTTCTTGTTTATTAATATCTGGACCTTTAAACGACACTGAAAATATTTCACTAAATGTAGCTTTAAACATATTTACAATATTTCCTTGGCCATTGGGTACAGTATAAAATACTGTATTCTGCTGTTTCATATTTTCCATTTCTTCTTTTTACTGCACTTAAATGAATAAGATTCATTAAAAAATTCGACTGTTTTTCATTATTTGCCAGATTGTAAAAATTTTGATATAAATTTAAGGGCAGGATTCAATATAATTTAAAACGGATGGACGGACAGATGGACGGACGGACAGATACTGAGATGATCCCATTAGTGTTCCGTTTTCTAATATTGGTATATTAAAAACAGTTTAGCTTTGAAAGATGAAATAGTTAATTATGTTAACAATTTGTTTATAATTAAGCAGGTACAGAGAAAAAAAAAATTCATTCATTTGTCCATACATATGTTTTCGAGATCGCCGGTATAAATATACAAGTATTGCTCGTTTAAATAACGACATACGGTTCGCTTTGCATATTCTAAACTTTTTCAGACTCATTTCCAGACTTCTCCAGATTCTTGAAAAGATTGGAAAACTGTTTCACCTGTTCCTGTTCCAATTAAATAACAGTTTCAATAACTTGTTCTAAAATAACAGCCTGTTCCATCAATACTATCAATACCTTAGAAATAATGCTATGGAATTATTTTACAAGTTAACGAAAGGAAAGCGCGCTATCCTTCATGCTTTTACAGGCTTAGGACTGACAGCTTGATTTTAAACGAGGAAAGAAAATATATTTATAGTATTTACAATATTTAAATATTCTGGTTTAAAAAAACCAGCTGTTGCAATTTTCTTATGCCTAGCCTTGACGCCTTTCATTTAGCATGTTCCCTGCCGCCGAAAATACTCACAGGGAACAGAGGATGCCGTGGCATTTAATTTTTGAACAGCAACTTTATACAAATTTTGGTACGATTCCCTATGTGTCTTCCACCATTTTAGAGGACATTCTGACCTATCTATTATTGGAGCATCTAAATATCGCTGAATCTCCACAATAATCTTTAGGCTTTATTATTGCGCATTTTCACCCTGTAATCCTGCCATATAAGTTTGGTGCTGGTGCTTGTGCTTGCCTGAGGGTTGCTCACTTCTTCTATAGTGGCATTATTTTGCCTATTCTGCTCTTTTTTTTTATGTCGGGAAATGCATTTACGCATACCACCTGATCCCCCAGGCGGTGATGTGGGGCTCACCGGCTAGAAGAGCCGGTACTACCCACTAAAACCCGACATTCCCCTCCCCTCCGCCTTAATGGGACGCCGCAGGATCGCTTGCGCATAACTTCTACGGCGCCCCGGCGGCAGGTCTGCCAACGGCTGACCACCACACCGATGGGGCTGCTCCACAGTCAACTCTGCTACACCAGAGAGGTACCCGGTGCAGCCCCATTAAACTGAACCTTCGCCCACCGAAGTGGGCCACCTCCAATCGGCTGCAGAGGACAGGGAGAGCGGCAACGAAACACCGACACTCCTCTTCCCCTGCAGCCCCACCGCGTCCGCCATCAAACGGTGGCGGCCCCGTCTAGGCCGCGGAAGGTAGGGAGAACGGCGCACCGAAATACCGGCACTCCTCTCCCGCCGCGGCCTACCCCTCCGCCGGATGCGGACCTGCTACCACAGTCCCGAAACCGGCACCCATCATCCGGTTGTGGGACCAAGCGGTCCCACCTCCGGTGGCCGCAACGTCTTCGGCTCGAGGCCTAGACGAGCGGCTTTCTCCGGTACCACCCGCCGCCCTAAGCGGGTGGCATTCCCCTATCCGCCACCTGGGGACGCGCCCGGTAGCGCTCTTGTATTACAAAACGTTAAAATAAAATTTAAACTTCGGATCTAGTAACGTGCAATTGGTAAATGTTCGGCTTTGAGTCAAGTTATTGAAGCTGTTCCCAATTCCTCCTAATAAATCTTGCCTCTGTCAACCATTGGAATAAGGTTTTCATTTTCATAATTCTGGAGAACTTTTGTGAGACCAGTTGTTATGGGGCTTACTAGGCTCCCGGTTAAATATTTTTTTTTTACTTCCTCACATGGCTGCAGAATTTTGCAGAGCTCAATGCAGACTTGCCACTCATGTTAATATGCCCATGCTTAAGTTAATCATAGCACTATTGAGTGGCTCTCGTAGCTCTACACAGCGTTCAAGCATATAATAATTGGAATTCCAACGGGTTGCCACCTCTCGCTTCGGTGTGTGCCCTGCCTGCTACTTTTTTAATTTCTGTCATGCTATATTGTTTTGCTTAAATTGCTTAACTATAATTTTCACTTTATTATTGATGTTATGTCTTCTGGTTTTAAAGAATCATTGACAATGAGATTCAAAGTATGATATTACTGCCATTTAGACGTGGCAAAAATGTATCTTTAGCTAGATTGGAACAATCGCATCTGGAACAGTGCTAAGTTCCGGATCAGTGATATGTTTCATTAGGAACACTATATTAATAGAATAATGCTTTAGGTTCAAAATGAACCAATTGGTAATATCAAATCGATTTTCCTTCATACTTTGACAGGCTTACGACTGACAGCTAGAATAAAATAATTGTGTTATTTGTTTTAAGTACCTGGGATACCGAGTTTCGCTCGGAGTTTTGGCCTAAAGTACAATTTTCTTTTTTTTCTACAACATAGAGCGTATCATATTTCCCAGCTAATTAAATTATATAATTAAAGTATCCAAAATTGGGTAATAAATATTTGTCCGGAAATTTTCAATTCCAGAAATAGGTGCTCTTTCATTTGCCCGCGATTCATCCGAATGAAACTTTCTGAATTTTGTGCGACGAGTATCATAACGATAGTAATCTTGGACTCCAGATATGCTTTGGTATTTTCTTCGTATTTAAAAAACTGTTTATCTCTTATAACCTGAACAAAAGAATCTAGTGAACCATAAATTTGGACAACAGATGATCTAAAATCACATTCCAAATAATTACTAGAATAGCTGTTTCCAAGTGATGTAATTTTCGGTGCAATCCAATATCTTCAGATTGTGTCCTTGGTTTTTCGTCTTTGCTTTCTGGAATAAAGTGCAATGCATCAATTATTGCAGACCAGTCTTTTTCTAAAGCATAACATGCGTAGTGTTGGGTACCAACGGGTTTGAGAAAGTCTTTTAAGATTAAAATTTGTACGCTGTAGAATTTGTAAAAAAATATAAAGTTCTTGCAAAGCTGCAAAAATATCAATTGCTTCAGGTATAGATTCATCTACACTTGTGCCTACTAAATTTTGAAGAATGAGCAGCACAAGAAACGTAATCTGCTTAAGAGTTAATTGTTTTTATTCGTGTCTGAGGACTAATACATTCCTGACATATTACTTGCATTATCCTAAGATTGACCACGTGAGTTCTTTATGTCTAAGCCATTTTTTTCCAAAGAGTTTAATAAAGCATTTTCAATATCTTTAGCTTTATGGCCAGTATTTGGTATAAATTCTAATAACCTTTCAACAATTTCACTTTTTTCACGAACATACCTGATAATTACAGTAAGCTGATCGACATGTGCAATGTCAGGCGTAGAATCTACAATGATTTGCAAAAAACTAAACTTCCTTTTTTATTTTTAGTTAATGGTTTATAACTTTAGCAATTTTTGCAAGCTGAACTTGATTTTTTTCAAAAATCATCTACATGCCATTCCGAAACAAATGACACCTCGTTAATATTTTTCCGAGACTGCTGAAAAAAGTTGACTTAAAAGGCGCTTCTTGACTAGACTATTAACTTTTTTTTATTAAATACTAAAAATAAATTAAAAACTAGTTTCACGGTGCTGTACATTGTACAGTGAAATTAATATTACTGAAAATACAAACATAGAAGAACTTTAAGGAACATAAATGTGTTGAAATTTTTTTTATTAACATTAGTCTTTATCGGAAAATGCTATTGATTTATTTACAAAAGTAAATAAATCAACAGGATTTTCCGAAAGACTAATAAAAATCTATTAGATATATATTAAAATAACCTTGCGATTAATTAAAAAGTATATTAAATGAGACAACAGCAGTATGGTATCTTCTTTGATAAGACCCTCGTATCCTGAAATTATTCGCTTGCCTTCTTTGCTACAAACACAAGACAAATTTTGGACCAAAGTGTGCTGCTAAAAAAGTCTCTGTTGTCTTCTGTGGATTTTGATTTAGCTACAGTAATATTACAAAAAATTGGTTTATATTCGTTGTGGTCACGAAAGGAGTGCAAATGTGCCAAAAGTATGTCATTGTATGATGGTTTAATTTTATATCGTCGTTCTAGTTTTGAATTCGCTTTATGAGATTTAAGGGCCACCACGTTTTTACAGTATTCTCATGAATACTTGAGGTTTAAGGGTTGATTAATGCAAAAATAATTAGTGAGAAAAAAAAATTGAGAAAAAAGCAGTGTTGGTTGATTTGTGACTTTCCTCAGTATCGGGTATGCCCTCCTCGTTTTTTAATGCACTCTTGAAGTTTGGAATGTTCAATATCCACCAGGTGTACCACTGTTTCTTGAGAAATTTGTTCCCAGCTTGATCGATGAACGTTCTGAAACGTTCATTCTTTCATTGTGCACGGGTTGGTTTGTGTTTCAAACATTGCGTTTTAGTAAATCCCACATGTGTGCAATGGGATTGAGATCCGGATTGTTTGCATGCCATTGCAACACATGTATATCAGCTTCCTCTAAGGCTTCTCTGGTGGCCATAGCTGAGCTGTATGAGCGCAAGCATTATCGTGCATCAGATGGAATCTTGCACCGATTCTCTGTGCATATGAGACCACATAGGGTCTTATGACCTCGATGTAACGTTGAGCTGTAATTGTGCCTTCGTTCGCCTAAACAATACCTTAACTCTACACAAAATAAAAAGCTATCAGTTATTATTATTATATTAATTTATATCACTACCTTCATCGAACATTTCTACACTGTCACTGGCCTTATCTTCACTGACATTTATAAAAAACTGGAAATCATAGTCGAAATATTTCATGTATTCTTTTTCAATTTTTTCAACGTGCTTGCATGTATTTCGCCAGGTGTTTTGGTCTCTATTATTTATGCACTCATCTATCAAACTTTGAACAACGGTCATGTTTTGGTCGATGTTTTTTGAGGCCATTCGTTTTTTTATAATACCCCATATATTTTCAATCGGGTTGAGCTCGGGTGATACGGAGGGAGTCTTAAGATTTCGAAACCTTTTCTTCTTATAAATTCATCTATTTTAAATGTTATAAAACGGTCCTTTTTCTTTTTGATCAAATCATATAGTTCAACTTTTTTTAAACTATTATCAAATGAAATGCCGTTCTCTATCTGCCACTTTTGCATTTCCCCTTTTGGAGTGGCAGGCGTGTAAATAGCGGTGCCCTCTTTGCGGTGTGGGAACAAAAATTACGGTCCAGCGCGTGGAGACGCGTGGACCCAACACTGTCCTTAAAAAATCCCTAAAAACGTATCTGACGGATGATGTAATAGCTTACAACTATGCGGGATAAAAGCAAGTCGCTTACCTGGTGCAGCTCGCTGGTTTTCTTGGTGGCCAACTTGACAGCTCACTAGCACTTCACCGTGGATAAGTTTGCGTTAGGAGAACAATATGAGTCGGGAGAAGGCTTTAAGTTAATAATAAGATAATAGGTCGGGGAGACGAGCCCGTCTTTAATCAACTTCTTCTCTTCTTTTACTTTTAACAAATTTTCTTTTTGTTTAGTATGTAATGCTGCTTTAAAGCATATGGCATAATTTTTCCTTTTCTTATTGGCGTTTCTGGGTAAGCTAAATATTCTCTCAAAGAACATTTTCTTTTTACATTTTTTGGACTAGGCAGCTGAAGTGTAGCACTATCAAATGACTCTACAGAAAATGTGACTTGTTTGGATGTAGTAGCTTCAGGTACGGACGACGTAGAATCAAGTAATTGCGGTGTTACTACTGGAAACCTGCGGTTTGGTCAACCTGGTTTTTTTTAGAATTTCAGAGTCATGAAAGGCTTTCCATACTTGATATAGCATATTAGGGATGTAACGATACATGTTTTTTCCGATACGATACCGATACCGATTATAAACGAGAATAATCGGCGATGCCGATATAGATACCGATATTGATGGCTTAGTAGATAAGTGCTTCGTGTATGTTAAACAAATTTGAAGGAAGTTATTAAGATATTGACACCACATATTAGACATAGACATACAACTATCTCCCTTCAAAGTTATTTCATATATATGAAACACCATATGCATGTATTTAGGTCCTAAAGACTGTGAAGGAAAAATACTTAATTAATAAAAATTCAGTAATGAGAATGAAAAAAAAAACATTTATTAGTTTCAAACAAAATCGATCACTTATAAATGGATATAGCCCACAGGCTTTAAAACCGTTCTTTAATATATCTGGCTTAAGGCTCATCATAACTGTTTCATTAAGTACAGGAGCAAAATTCAATTTTGTGACGCCTTCATTATTATGTTAATTTTGCCGCTTTCGTAAAATCTTTCTCCATCCCACTTTTAGAGGTCGGAATGCAGCTACATCGGCAGGCTGAAGGATTCTTGTTGCATTTGGATACAGTGCAATTAACTCAATCTGAAGATGAGTGCAAAGCTGGCTCAAATGAAAATTCAAATGAGTTTTGTGGCCGTCCACACTGTAGTATCACTGAAAGTTATTGCTAAGGAGATAGGGGTGAAATACGTAAAAAACTTCTGTAGTCATCCAACCTGTATGGGACTTTCCAATCCCCCATCCATCAGGTACAGAATCAGAAATTTTTTGAGGCAATCTTTGATAAGGATATACAATGAATGAACAACAGCAGACTTTTCCTGCAGCCGAAAAGGTGAATAAAACTGTAATGGACTCTTTAGTTTGAGTTTGTTCAACATTATAGACATTTTTCGCACCTTTTTCTGCTAACACTTGGCCACTTTTAACGCAAATTTGGATATTTGTTTCATCGGCATTAAAAATGCGATGTGGTTCACTGAAAATGCCAGTTAAGTCTTTTTCGGTAGCATAATTTTGAATTTCAGTAAACCATCCTCTTATATCTTTTTCTGAAACACAATAAGTCATTTTCGTCACTCCTTCTGATGATCTAATTGTCAATTTCGGATGTCTCTTCAAAAACGCCTTCTACCAACCATCACCTGGCCTATTATTTAAAAATGAATTAGGGCGCGGGTTCTCCATCAGGAATTTTTGCACGGTGTCTAAAATATCTTCTTTATTACGGAAAAATCCTTTTTTTGCCGAAATTATAATCAATTCTTCTAAACGACTTTCGTCAGCAACGGTTAATGTAGGTGATGGCCCTAAGCTGGTTTTATGTCCCGGATTTTTAATGTGGTTTCGGAGACTGGACCTCGGAACACCGTATTTTTCAGCAATTTGCCTTGTAGATAAATTGTTGGAAACATCTTGGACAGCTTCGATCGCTTTCTGCAAATTCTCTTTACTATATTGAACTTTTGGTGTCTTTGGCACACTGTAAAAGTAATAATAATAACAATTAAGATATATATGCTTAACGATTGCTAAATAAGTTAAGCATTTTAAAAACAGTTAGCACCTACATATGATGCAACACATTTTAATCAAAAAAAGTCCATGAGAGTTATTGCCTGGCAATAACTATAGACATTAACACATGGCAATTACTAAAATTATAGTAGACAATAACTAAATATATGCTGAATTAGGTTCAGTGATTGCCCATGGTTGAAATAACCGCTAGGATTCAAATTTCAACATATATTTTCATTAAAAACTAAGAAAATACTAGTGATTTCATCATAACTATGTACTAAGTTGTATATCAAATAAAATACAAAAAAAAATTCTAAGCAAGTTATTCTTTATAAAAATTGCTAAATTGTTTACCTGTTTGAGTAACACATGCACCTGTTTTGACGAAATCCGCCATTACTGTTTGGTTTTTTGTCAGTGTTGCCAAGTGTCGAATTTAAATCTTCTTTACATTAATCACAGAGCCAACTAGTTAGTTCTAATCGAACTAAAATGATACCAATTTAAAACCTGGCAATATTTTTCTTAATGTGGGCAATCAATGTAAGTGGATAATTACTCTCTGGTTTACCCTACTATCATAGTTTAAAAAAAAATACAATTTTTTTTTCATTTTACCGACCATACAATGTTTTTATATTTTCAAAAAGTAGAGTTCAAGAAAAAAGAATGAGCCCTATCTGAAAATTAAACGAATTTTTTTTAAATGTAAACGCTCACTTGAAGTTGAGGGTGATTTTCAGCCTCTCGAGGCCATAAAACATACTTTTCTCGGAAATGGCTACACATTTCAATTTCTTTTTTTTAATTTATTATATGTTTTGATTTCAAAGTTGTAGATTTTTACTAGACTTACAATTTTTGTACAAACTATTTTTCGATAGAACGTCACAGTAAGACGGAAATTGAAAATAACTATTTTTCAACGCTTTGCGACCCTGCATTTCTCTTAGATAGCTGGGCATAGGGGGCATTTTACGAATTTCAATTCCTTATATACCTTTTTTTTTTTTTTTTTTTTTTTTTTAACGTTGGGAAATGCATTTACGCACGACGTGTGGGACTCACCGGCGTAATACAGCCAGTACTACCCACTAAAACCCAACAAAAACTTCCCCCGTCTTAATGGGGCGTCGCAGGATCGCTCGCGCATTCAACTACGACGCCCCGACGGCAGGTCTGCCGAAGCAGACCACCACAACCATGGGGTTGCTCCACAGTCCACTCTGCTATCAGAGAAGTACCAGGAGCAACCCGCATGGTACACCGCCCCCCAAAGAGGGCCACCTCCCACCGCCCACCGAAGTGGGCAACCTCCCTGTGCGTTTCTTAGCTTCGCGCCCGGTTGGATTGCCGGGCACTACTGAGCCCCCCCACCACGACAAGGTGAACGCACGTTGGGGGGGAATTCCTTATATACCTGCTAACAGTTTAAAATCATAAAACTTGAGGTTTTCAATATATATTTTTTCTCTTAAAAATAAACGGATTCCGATTGGTTTATTATTATTAAATTTGAGGTTATAATAAATTCTCATACATTTTTTTTTCTAGGTAACAATACTCATATATTGTAACCTAATATTATTACGATCTAGCCAACAAGGCTAATGAGTAATTTAACTTAGTTTTATAAAATAATATATCTAAGAATGTGTCCAATGGCACTTTTCTTAAATTCTCTAGTTAAAGCGAAGACACTTTGTTCTTGTGTTCTATATTAGTAGCACTATATTATTATTACTTTCACTACATTACATTATTTTTTTAATACTACACTAACTCAAAAGGTTTAGTTCTTTTGAGCCTTCTCACTATGTCCGTGTTGTCGAGGAGCTGGATTGCCTCGTTATTCACATGTTTATGAAGTCTTTGCTCGTGAGCTTCTGCGTATTTTTTTATCACTTTATCGACAATGTCTACATTGAGGTCCCGATGGAGATCGTCATTTCTTACGTACCAGGGTGCATTAACTATTCCCCTGAGAACTATGTACACAAATGCTGTCTCCACAGATACATCGTAATTAGGACGCACACTCGGAAGTATATTATGTGACACAACATTTGGTGAAGTTGCAAGAACAGGCTTACTTTACAAAAAAGAATGGTATTTCATTAAAATATTTTAGAAATCTTTAGTACAATTCGATTCATTAATTTCCATAAAAACGTTTTTCGAAAGGCTCTCGTAAATTGAATGCAAGTAATTTCGCAGCAATTGTCATATGCTTGCCTCATAATACCAAAAAAAAAATCAAGGCAGTCATTATGGAGTCTTCTCGTGAGAAACTAATCTAAATTTTCGCATTTCATATCCGAGTGCAGTTGGCAAATTGAATTTCTTGTTAATAGGAATGCATCCAGAAATTTCATTTTGTTCGTGACATTACGACCAGTGGTTTTATTTAAAAGATAAATTAAAGGGCGCGCAAGATAAGTCTGCGCGCGACTGGGGGCGTACTAAATGTTGCCAGGCTAACTAACGGTAATGTTCCTTAATTTGATAGAAAAAAAATGTTTTTCGTGAGGTATCCAAAGTGTTTGTAGGTATAGTATGCATGTTTATTTTTGTAAGACAATATAACATTAAAAAGCGAGCTCATCCCAAAGAGAGATTACTTCTAGTCAATTTTAAGAGTGGTGGTGGAACTCTAATATTTTAATTAACATTGAAGAACTTACTAAGTACACTACACTTGGAAACGATCGTATTAAAATTTAAAAATTCTTACCCGAGGCGGCAAAGAATAAACTCGATTTTTTTAAGTATGTTGAGAGTGGTTATTTATTATTGAAATTTATACTACATAAGAATTTGAAATTAAAACTCCATGATAATTTTTTAAGTCTTTTATTGAATACCGTGTAGTACTCTTAAATTTGGTATAACAGTGGTCCTCCAATGGGTCCACGCCTTCCATTTCAATATCTTCACCCTCATCCATGCTGGAATCATCGTCAGAGGAGTCGGATAAATCACCAGTAACATCAATAATAAATTTATCCATTTCTATATCTAAAAGCCTGTCTGAATCGTAATATGTATCTTCTATTTTTGAGAGCTTGAGAAACATTTTTTTCTGCAATGCTCCTCTTCACGATAGCCCAATTTTTTTCAATAGCGTTTAGGTCGCAGGGATAAGGAGGTAACCGCAGAACCTTATGTCTATGTTCATTTAATAATTGTTTCACTTCATACTGTGGCTCTCCTTTGTACCTTTTGATGATGTCGTATAATTGCGGTTTTGTCCAACAATCATCGACTTCAATACCATTTTTCATAAGCCACTCTTTGAGTTCTGCTTTTGTATTGCCCATTGTAGGGGTCTTATTAATTTGCGTACTGTGGTATGACGCATTATCCATCACTACAATGCTAGTCAATGGTAAACATGGAACAATTTTTTCTTTCATCCAAAGCGTAAAGTTTACAGAGTTCATGTCATCATGATAATCGTTTGATTTGGATTTGGATTTAAATAGAAGCAATCCATTTTCAACAAACCCAGATTTGCTTCCGGCATGGGCTATAATCCACCTTGCACCGACGCTATCAGAAGCTAAAACAACCGGCTCTTTCACCGACTGCCAACATTTTTGGAGGGGATATGAAGCGTGTACAGATGTTTCGTCGAGATAGATGACTGGTCGATTTTCTTCCGACGATTGTTGCGCAGCATTAAAATATATTTCGCTCTCCAAGCTGCAATATCTCTGAGTTCTATTAGAACTTTTCGTTTAGAATTGCACTTTTTGTACTTGAAGCCCATAAATGAAAAAATAAAATAGACCTCAACGATGTTCTACCATATTTAAAATCTATGTTAGTTTTCAGTTGCAACCAAAGTTTATTTATGATAGGAATCTCCTTCTCTTCACAATATAAAATGAATGTATTAAATGCCTTATAGCGCATTTATCAAACTCATCTACGTCAGAAACGCCTAAAACAAAATAAAAACAATCAATTATACATAATTACATTACTAAACATTAATTATACCCACTGACTACTGAATATGGGTAATTTGAATGCTCTGGCAACCCTAAAATTATCTGTCAAATAAGCGACGCGTGCTCTTTAGAAAATGGTACCACAGGCCCGTTACGATCTCTTTCTTTTTCACAAGCACGTTTGACCTTTAAAATAATATCCCTGCCAGCACTTTTAATCACTTTCGGCATGATGATGGATATTATTTACTTAGAAAACGAATAAAAACACGAAAAGCAGTATACCCTTAAAGACACCTGACATAACAACAACATGGCGGCTCTCGGTTAGTTCCGATTTCGACCGCGCGCAGAGTTATCTTGCGCGCACTTTACTAAATACTTCACGGGCTCTATTTAGTAGGTCTGTTTAACCAACATCGCTCTTGAATGCCTTATTAAACGGTTTAAGAGAATAAACATTGCTTAAGTTTAATAAATCGAATAGATCATTCATGAACGCAATAAATTCAATTGTTAGTGTTGAATTATTTGGGTGGTTCCCTATTGTGAAAAATAATAAACTCGTTTGTAATTACGACACGTATATTCAATCTCAAGAGGCAAGAGCGACACACACAAATATATTCTTATATAGCCACAGACATAAAAATAAAATATAGAATAACAAAGTTAACTTATCTATGGAACAATGCACACTTCTATGGATAAATATTTGTTGTCTTTTAACACCCCCCCTCAACCAATATTTATTTATATTTTACAAATTACAATTTAGCAGAACACAGTGTTATTATATATATATTTACCTACTTTAACAATTCATTCCTAAGTTTTTCAAACATTGTTTTACCCAATGGTTTAGTGAAAATGTCTGCAATGTTTTCAGAAGTGTTTATATATTTCTATGAAATTAACCCTTTATTCACTTGTTCAACTATGCACTTGTATCTTATATCAATATGTTTCAATCTTTTGATATTTTCTGAATTATAGGCTCACTTAATTACAGATTGACTATCTTCATAAATTGTTATGTTATTACATTTAATATTAAACTCAGTTAATAGATTTTTCAACCAATTTGCTTCAACAATACATAAACTCAAAGCAATATACTCAGATTCAGTTGAAGAAAGACTTAAGCAGAGTTTATACGAAGCCAGTCATGCTGGCGCCAGTCCTGCGACAAGCCAGTGTTGGCCTGGCCCCTGTTGTTTAGACGAGGCCATTTCATTCGCGGCTTTTTCTTCGGGTGTGCACACGTGTGAAGTAAAAAATAATGATTTCGCGGCAAAGTCTATTGAAAAAAAAAGTTTAAGGAACATCTCTGCACTATTAAAAGAAGAGTTGATTGATATGTTAGAAAAAAAGAAAGCGAAACGACTTTGGATAAGAAAATGGTTAAGCGATAGACCTATAACTGGTGCTTCTGCCTTGTTGCTGAAACAACTAAGATTAGAAGAACCTTCTGAGTACAGGTTGGCGTTGCGGGTTACTGCTGAAAACTTTGATGAGTTACTTTCACTTATACAGAGCTCGATTCAGCGCCAAGACACCCTGATGAGAGATGCATTACCAGCAAAAATAAAATTAGAAGTAACGTTATCGTTCTTAGCAACTGGAATGAGTTATCGAAGCCTGAGTCATTTTTACCGTGTTTCCAAACCATCTATATCAAAATGGAAGTGACTAACGAGACACAAAAACGCGAAGAAACGCGAAACGCGACACTCGAAAAACTCGAAAAACGCGACACTCGACGACACGCGAAACTCGAAAATCTGATGGAAATATGCGACGTTGCCGTATTTCTTATGCCACTCGAAGACACTCGATTACTAACCTACAGAAAATAATCAGAAGTTTCTTAACTCAAGTTAACACTAAACTTTGAGTGTTAACACTCAACTTTGAGTGATAGCACGACTACTCAGTGAAGTTGTTTTTAAAATAATGTTTATAAAATAAATTACAAATCAGTGAAATAAATTATAAGTACTTTAATTAAAATTTACTAAAACTGTTATTTGCAAGATATAATTTATTTTTGTTAAAATTATAATTGCATAAAAATTTTGTTTGAAAAACCTGAACGAAAACCATATCCAAAAATGAAAATATTAAGGAACACTGAACTTTGAGTGTTATACTCGACTGGAGTAAGGAAGCCACATTCTTTCATTGTTTATTTACAATTAAATGACAACTAAATTAAAATTACAATATTGTTATATTACAATATTCTTTCATAGAGTGTACATACACGTTACATCTCTAACTTTTAGAACAGCTACTACAAAACCAAGCAGTTGTTGGTTCTTTCTTAACGTTAACGCAGGGCCAATCGAACCAAAGAAGACATCGCTTACATGTAATCATTGTTTTTGTTAATCGTCGAGGTTTTTGACACGTACCACACTTGATTGTAATTCTTTTCCTTTTCTTTTCGACGATGTCATTCAAGCGTTTGTATGCCGTTGGTTCACAAAATTTTTCCAATGCTTGAATGACATCGTCGTCTGTATTCTTAATCGCATCCGTGACAGTTTTATCATCTACATTAAAACTCGCAGATTCTATTTTACGTTTTTTTGTCACAACATTTAGGATTAAATCATCTGGTATGAACCACGAAAGCATTTCGGATGCTTTTTCTTCATCGCTCAAATCCTCAAAAGCTATCAATTTTCGTTTGCTACTTCGCAACTCACACGAAAGCTTTTTAGCATTTTTTGGCACTGTCACCTCTTGTCTCGGTGTTCCAATAGCTGTTGGTTTTTTGGCCGTCGGTCGTCCCCTCGTCGTGATTTTTGTCGGTAAAGTTACGTCATCGTCGTTGGCAGAAAAATGAGACACAATTCCTGATTTAGTGATAATAGACACTTTGTTGCATGATTGTTGGCCTATTTTAGAGATATTATCAGATTCAGGTTCGAGATCAGATTCACTATCTAGATCAGAGTCAGGATCAAGTTCACAATCGAGATCAGAGTCAAAATCAGAAGGAGGTTCAGATGAAGTTTCAGCGGCAGGTTCAGTGCGAGGTTCAGATGAAGTTTTAGCGGCAGGTTCAGTGCGAGGTTCAGATGAAGTTTTAGCGGCAGGTTCAGTGCGAGGTTCAGATGAAGTTTTAGCGGCAGGTTCAGTACGAGGTTCAGATGAAGTTCCAGCGGCAGGTTCAGGGCGAGGTTCAGATGAAGTTCCAGTGGCAGGTTCAGTGCGAGGTTTAGATGAAATTTCAGCTGCAGGTTCAGTACGATGTTCAGATGAAGTTTCAGCGGCAGGTTCAGTACGAGCTTCAATGGCAGGTTCAGAATCAGCATCTTCTAGTGGAAACCATGGATTGATTTCCACTTCAAGATCAACCTCCCAATAGTTGATGAGGGCTGTCAGTGCCTCCATGCGAGGATCAAAGGTTTTGCTCTTCAAAAGACACGCTTTCAATTTCTGCAAAGATTGGTTTGCCAGCAGTTCTATAACAAAATAAAAATAATAAATAACAATACTCGAAACCTTTTTTGTTTCATTGATTATTCAAATATCATACCTTCTTGTGGCGTAATAATCTCTAAAGCAGATTCACTAGAGTCTTCATTCGATCCGCTAGTTGAAAGCTCCTTCTCACTAACTACAATGATCTCTTGTGATAGTGTTGTTGTTGAAGCACTAGCAATTGTTATGGGTGCAGGGGTGACGTTCTGAGTTACAATCGTAGGAGAACTGTGATCGTGTATGGGGTGGCAACTGTGAAGGACGTAAGCGTCTTTTTGCTTGGTTGCTTTGTATTTAGCATGCATTTCGCAACCAGTTTTTTGGATCCTAAAAAAATATAATTATGATCAATTTGTTATCAGATATGTACATGTATTTATTATTATTATGTATTCGACTCAACGGGTATTCACCCTTTCTAAAAATGTTATAAAAATATAAAAAAAAAAATATAAAATTTGTATTGATAACTTATTCTTACCTCGCATTTTTTTCAGCTGTTTTACCACGCATTGGACAGTGATATTGGTATTCATAATAATCTAGTTGACATCCCTCAGGTCTTTTGACATTTGAAACCTCAAAAGACCTAGATCTGCCAGTGGAAAGCTCGATACCAGTTTTTTCTTTATGAAGCGCCAAACGTTTTTTTATTTCATCGTAGTTTTTCACCTCTTGACCGAGTTGAAAAATATCGGATACATCTAATCTCGGATCCATCTGATCTATCTGATCCATCGGATCGATCTAAAAAATTAAAAATATATTTAATAACCAAAGTATACATTAAAATGTTTTAAAATCAAGATTAGAAATTTTTTTTGAGTTACTTGAGTTAACTAACTCAAAGTTGACTAACTCAACTAACTTGACTAACTTGAGTTAGTTGAGTTAGTATCGGAGCATAGATAAAGGCCAACAAATAAACAAACAACTTCAATCGGACTTTGAAAAAGATGTTGATAAAAATAGTAAATATTTGATCAAAATGTCTGAACAAAACTACTACGGCGACGGAGCACGGGGCATCAGCTAGTTTTTTAGATTTTTATTGTATATTTTCAACTTACCTTTATTCAATGTTGATTGACTGTTAGACTTCTACTCTGTCCGATGGACGCCGCAAGTGAACTAACCAACGGACGTTTGTTCAACGTACAAACGATGTTTCTTCACCTCTTTGTTCATTCCAAAAAAGCCAATCACAGAAACATATTTTTGAACGAACCAATCAGAGTCCTTCGGAAAGTTTTTTCCCTTTCCATTTTTCAGATACGAATACAAACGTTCCGATATTCGTTAAAACGATTAGACACAATACACAAGACACAATACAGTCATAAAACAATAAACCCATTAGTACAAAGGCGTTCCAAACTCAAAAAATGAGTCACAGGCTCGAAGTAATAGTACCTCGTGCCTGAGTTGAGGGGATAAAATCGTAAAAATTGATAATATTTTTCTGATAGTTGAAACATGCTGGGTTTTTTGAATTCCAGATTTAACCAGTCGACGTTTTAATTCTCATTTTCAATTTTCCAATATTATTCGGCAATCTGGGGTCACTCAAAATCGTGACACCCAACAGTTGAGTGTTATTCTATTTAAAAATCGGATTTTTGTCCAAGAGCGTTTGTTTTCTTGACTAGTAATAATTAACAAGAAATCGTGAACGGTGTTATATCATCACTCTTCTTCCAATCAATTTCAAACCATTAGAGTCCGAAATTTGTTTCCATTTTTCAGATAAGATTGAAAACATTCAAACAAGTAATAAATTAATTTCCGAAGACAAATTCCGAAATTTGCTTCCATTGTTAAGATAACATTGAAAACATTCAAAAGCGCCTTCAAACGATTAGACACGGTCAAAATGTATCGAGTCGAACGACAGTCATAAAACAATAAACCCATTAGTACAAAGACGTACAAAGACCAGAAAAATGAGTCATAGGGTCGAGACATATTTAGCCTACGAAGCCTACGGGCCTTGGATAAGTGGACGGAAAATAACATTAAACATAAAATAACAACTTGTTCTCATTCTTTTATAATAAAAATGTTGAATGATGATTGTAAACAACTTCTCTCATTTTCTGTCCGAATGACCAAAAACGTCACCGGTTACTCTGCTAATCAGAAGCCAAGATTTAATGTGTTCGTACCATGACGCAATAACAAGTTTTTGTTTTGTTATTTTTGACAATTTTTCATTTCACGAAATATACTCAATTAATTCTCCATTTGTTTCCTTAAAAAATCAGTGCAAAGAATAAAATAGGTTTTCATTTGTTTATTAAAAAATTGAGTTGATGATTTAAGTAAGCGCTAAGTAAGCGCTCTCTCTGTCTCGCAAGCCGGGCGCAAAAGCGGTAGGAAGAAATTTCCTCCAATTATAAGTCGTGTTTGGCAGGTGACTTTGTGGAAGGGCAAATCAGGGCAGTATCCTTAGGTACTAAAAGCTTTCAGACCACACTTGATTTCGGAACACGATGAGCGCTTTATTCGTTTTAGTGAAGTTTCGTTGATTTTCTTTCAAAATGTCGGTTTTGAGTAAAGGAATGAAATTTGACTGTGATCGTAAATTTTTAACGTTCTTCAAAAAATACCAAAGGGATAAAAGACAGCTTTTCACTAAGAGAAGTTCAATTTCGAGCCAGGACAAACAAGTCGCGCACAGAAATATTAATCGAAAAAAGTTTAAGTATTACACTGTCCTGTATTGCTGTAAGTACGGTGGACATGAATATGAATCACAATCAAATGGAGAACGGAAACGAGGGTAAGTTTTATTTCGAGTTTTGAAATTCACAATAATTTTGAACATATTGAAATTGAAATTCCCTATCAAATTACAGGACCAGAAAGATGGGATGCAAAGCAAAAGTTAGGGCTACTGTCGATAAAACGGGCCGACATCTCGTTATTAGGAAGGCGGACCTGATCCATACAGGACACGATGACCTCGAGGTAATTTCCAATGTTATATATTGGATATATTATGACTATACTTCAATCTTTGGTGTCTAAGAGTCACTCGAGATGAAGGCACTGAATACTTGAGTGTTCCATTTAAAAGTTGTTTTCTGAGAGCGTTTGTTTATTGAGTATCAATTTACAAATATAAATCATGAAATCAAGAACTCGATAATTTTTTCGAGTTTTTTTAAAGTTAAATTTTGAGATCAAAAGTTTTCAGAATTTAAACTGTAACTAGCTCACTTCTAAAATTCAGTTTCGAACAGGCGACGTTATAAATATTTACACTCACAAATTTCTAAAATCATAACTTCAGATTCAGAATCATTACTTCATAACAGAATCATAACACAGATTTTTACGTACAACAATTCTTACATTTTTTCATCAAACAATGCCTTAACACTAGAAATTCTGTGACTTTTCATTATTTTGGTATAGAAACATGTACCTAGAAGGAATTTTTAAAACTGCAAAAATATTTTATGTTTAACTTTGGAAGCCGGACGCGACATTTTTGTCCCCTTTGTAGCGAAAAAAATATTAATAAATTTTGTTCAAATAACAAAAAAAGAACTAAATTTGAAAGTATCGCCATTGGCTAAATTTCAATAATCAATCCCAGAATGAAATACAAATATTTCGGACATTGCAAAATCTATGGCAGAGTTTCCAGAAATAAAACACTGAACTTTGAGTGTAATACTTGATGGAGCATGAAAGCAATTTGTTTTTCATTTTTTATTTACCTGATCGGTAACAAATTTAAAAATTATAAATGTATGAAGTTGTATAAATGAGTAAAGTAATTCAATTATAATTGCATACAAACTTTGTTTAAAAAACTAAATGAAAACCATTTACACAAATTAAAATCTTAGGAAACACTGAACTTTGAGTGTTTTACTCGAATGGAGCATGGAAGCAATATTTTTTCATTGTTTACTTACCTGGTTGTTAACAAATTTGAAATTATAAATGTATGAAGTTGTATAAATGTGTTAAGTAATTTAATTTTAATTGCATACAAATTTTGTTTAAAAAACTAACTGAAAACTATTTACACAAATTAAAATCTTCGAAAACACTGAACTTTGAGTGTTATACTCGAATGGAACATGGAACCAACATTTTTTCATTGTTTATTTATTTTGGCAACTACATTAAATTTACCTGAAATTGTTATGTGCAAGACACAATTCGAAAAGCTATATTGGATAGTGTATCGTCGTTGGCACATTTTCAATAATCAAATTCAAAATGAAATAAAATTATTTGATTTTAAATTTTTCTATTTGCAGGAATACTTTGATACGCTCCCAGAGAACAAAAGACTTTCGGACCAAACTACTCAATATGTTCTCGACACAATGAAATTCGATCCAAAAAAGGCCAAATTGTTCGATTATTTGGAAACAAAAAAAAACGTACAATGGGATTCAAAAGATCTTGCAAACTTGAAGCGTCGCCATGAACCAACTAAAAATGGGAACGATTACGTGGAGTTTACAAAAATACTTAAAAATGAAGGTAACTGTCAATAGAAGTTGAAAACAGAGAAATTTAAATATTAATCATTAACTAATCGAATTTTTGTTGTTATAGGTGCATCATATCAAACTCTGATCGATGAAAAGCGCGAATTAGTAGCCATTTTTTTTTGTACGCCAGAGATGCGGAAAGCAATGAGCAAGTGGTCTGATATCGTGTTCTGGGACAGCACGTACAGGCTCCTAAACAACAATTTTGTGTTATCCTTATTCCACGTAGAAGACTCGAATGGCTTCACTAGAACCGTCGGAGTAGGCCTGCTAGCCAACGAAGAGGCGGAAACTTTCAAATGGCTTCTAACATGTTTTCGTGAAGCCAACCCTGAAGCTTGTCTGAAAATTAGGTCCATTATGACCGACAAGGATCCTTCTGAGAGAGCAGCCTTGAGGGAAATTTTTCCAGAAGTTAACCTCCTGATTTGCAGTTTTCACGTCCAACAAATTTTCCATCGACAAATAACTGTTGGAAAAAGGGGGGTAACGAGCGAGGAAAAAGATGACCTCCTTTTAATTTTGCGAAAACTAGTGTACAGCGAATCGGAGGAAGATTACGATGAAACGTACACTGAATTTTGTGAAGTTGCTCCAGAAGAAGTGATCGATTATTATAACACCAACTGGCATTCGATAAAAGACGAGTGGGTCCTGTATCGTATGAATGCTCACGGAAATTTGAATAATAATACAAATAATAGAGCAGAATCGACACATGCCAAGGGTAAACAAATAGTTCCACTACACAGCAGTCTGGTAGAGTTCGGCAAAAACATTTTTGTTTTCTTTCGGGCACAAGCGCGTCAAATCAAGATCAAAAGCGGAAAACTGATGACTACAAAATCAGCAGAAGCTTTTACAACCGCAGATGAAAAAAACTATTGTGAGTTGTTAACTCCAAAAGCCTTTGCCGAATTGCAACCAGAACTGCTGGAGTACCCTGACGTTCAAATCATGAGTAGCAATGTCGCTCAAAAAGAGTGTTCTTTCGAATTAAACGGAAGGACAATCACGAGTTCTTTAACTAAATGCAAATGTCTGAAAAATCGTTCAATGTTTCTGCCTTGCAAACATGTATTTGCTACTCGTGATTTCTTCGAGCAACCACTTTTTGATAAAACGTTGTGTGCAGAAAGATGGTTGAGAGGGTATAGTGTACAATGCGATACTGAAATTTCCAAACTCACACACTTCCCTAATTGTAGCCAATCCTCAAACGGTAGCGTCACACAAATTAGGCAGTCGAACGAACATGTCACACTGGAAAAACTTGCAAAGAAGTATGACACTTCGTTCAACTTGCTGGCTCACGTAGGCAGCTTGTCTGCGAATCAAAACTTGCAGAACAAGAGTGACTGTTTGCATGATGTGATGGATTTGTGGGCGAAAGGGAAAAATGTGCGACTTTCAAAAATAACAAACAATGAATTGAATGTTATTCAATGTACATTGAAGTTGAAGTCGACAAATGACAAAAGGCGTCATCTTTTTTGTATGAAAAAAACTCCTCGAGAAATTCAGTTGTCAGAGAAAAAAATCAAAATACTAAATCGACTGCTCTCACTGTGGAAGAAGAATGTTCCAGTTATTGCTAAAGAGTCAGATGGCGATTGTAGTTTAAATGATAGTGCGACCTTGAATACTAGCGAGATTAAAGTACCGGAACCAACTTTGATCAAAGGACGACCGAGACAAGCGTTCGATACGTACATTAAGTATAAGTAAATTTTAAGTATACGGATATTTGTATAATTTTATCGTTATTTGTATATGTAAATAAAACTTATAATATTGCAAGTTCATGCATTAATTTTTACCTAAAAGTTCAACATAATAAATAGTAGCTAAGTCCTAACAAACAGCCTCACTCAGAAGTCGTGTCAACACTCAAAGTTGAGTGTTAACTTGAGTTGAGAAACTACTGACAATTTTGTGTAGGTTTTAAAAAATGTACTTTAAAAAATGTACAATTATAGTTCAATAAATTTATTAATAAACATTTGTAAATAAATCACAAAACAAACAAGTGCTCGATAACGAATAAATTACAAAAAACAAGTGCTCGAATGAACGGAAGAAAATAAAAAATAAATACATTTTCTTGGTCGTTAATTTTTCGAATGAGAATTTCAACGCATACAGACGTAAAAAGTAAATTCAATAAATAAATTTTCTGTATAAACTTGAATGAACTTATTGAATAAAGTGATAATTTATTTCACTAACTTATAATTTATTTTATAAACTTTATTTCAAAAACAGCCTCACTGAGCAGTCGTGTTAACACTCAAAGTTGAGTGTTAACTTAAGTCGAGAAACTACTGATTATTTTCTGTAGGTTAGTAATCGAGTGTCTTCGAGTGGCATAAGAAATACGGCAACGTCGCATATTTCCATCAGATTTTCGAGTTTCGCGTGTCGTCGAGTGTCGCGTTTTTCGAGTTTTTCGAGTGTCGCGTTTCGCGTTTCTTCGCGTTTTTGTGTCTCGTTAGTCACTTCCTATCAAAATTCATACCAGAAGTTTGTCGAGCAATCTATGAAGCATTAGAACAGTTTATTAAGGTAAGAGTTTATTTATTTACTTAAAATTGAAATAATAAGACACACATTTTTAAAAATACAACTAACATGTGATATTAAGCCTTATCGAAAGCTTGTTGAATGACATCACTGTTGTCTACGCTTTCGCCGTAACTTTCATAATTATATGTAGTTTCTGGGGATACAATATTAGTAGTATACTGGGAACACGAAGAAGAACATGTCGATGGACTGGGCTCTGGAGGAGGACAGATTGTAGTTGTTGGCAGAGAGTATTGGGGTACTGTGAAGCTTGGAAGAACTTGTGTAGAATTCCAATTATTTTGCAATTGCATTTGACAAGAATACGCATTCTTGGCTCGTATATCTGTAAGCCTGCATTGTGTTAATATACTCTGTATCTTTTCCTCTGTATCTTTTTCCTCTGTCAATTGTTTCAATTGTGCCGAGACGCTTTTTCCAAATAGATCTAGTTCTGTTTCTTCAACGCATGTGCTGTCGTTAATTTCTCTTAAGTCACTTATCATGTTAGATATTTGTGTTAACTTGCTCCGCTTAGGTTTTGTGGGTGGGGTAAATTGTGGTATCTCTTCTGCCGACTCATTTTCTCCATTTTCAGAGCGTGGAACCAACGATGGTCCTGATTCATTGCTATTCGATGATCCTGGTTCATTGCTATTTGGTGTATCCATGTTATTCTGTAATTAAACAAAATAAATTACTGTAATTGTAATGTTATAGTATGTTTGTGTCTAAAATTGTATTAAATAGGAGAGATTTTAATTACTATCCTTTTTTTACAGGTGCCAAATGCAGAAGAATGGAAAAACATCGAAAGGGGGTTTAAAACACGATGGAATTTTCCCTTATGTTATGGTTCTATAGACGGAAAACATGTGTCAATTAAAACTCCTCCTAAAAGTGGAAGTTTATACTTTAATTATAAAAAAACAAGCAGCGTCGTATTGTTAGCTATTGCCGATCACGACTACTGTTTTTCGTACATAGATGTCGGCGCATGTGGTAGCGCATCTGATGGAGGAGTTTTTAAGAATTGTTCGATTTACCGAGACCTGGAAAATAACTTATTACCTGACAGTGGAGTCATTGTAGGAGATGCGGCATTTCCACTAAAGACTTATTTAATGAAGCCGTATCCAGGTGTAAACCTCAGTACAGAAGAAAAAGTTTTTAACTACAGATTATCTCGGGCAAGACGCATAATCGAAAATGTATTTGGAATCTTAGTTAGTAGATTCCGGGTATTAGAAAAGCCAATACTGACTAACTTGGAAACAGTAGATGCAATCGTTTGTGCTTGTTGCGCCCTTCATAATTGGCTACGAAAAAAAACAATGTCTTCACCGTTACTTGTGTTGATAGGGAAGATGAACAGGGAAATTTTCTGCCCGGTTCATGGAGGAGTCAAATACATGCCCTACAGAGTATTGGCAATCAAGGTAGCAATCATTCAGCAGACACAGCAAGGGAGAAAAGGGACATTTTGAAAAATATGTTTAATAATGAAGGAAGAGTTCCTTGGCAATACAATAGCATACATTAACAATCGACCTAGAAAATAAACATTGAAACGAAAATACATTTAAATGTACATACAAACATACATACACTGATCAAATACATAACCTTCTTTTGTTGTGACATGTACCTGACGAGTAGTTGTGTATCTGACAAAACGCGTATCTGTAAATGGCTTTAAAAGTTGCTTAAATGTAAATTTCGTTTAAAATAAATAATAATGTGATTTTACTTACTATGGTTTTTCTCCTTATAGTAATCGGCTTTACAAACGAATCATATTCATCAAACCATTTTGCCTTTGGCTTATAAACGCTCCCCCCAGCCCCAGACCTCGTAGATTTTTCGATTTTGTCGAGTTCCAAGTAGTAAGTATTTCGAATACTTTTGATTTTTGATTTAACTTCATTGATAGTAAGTCCATCTATATTCATTACTTGACGAAGTTGTTCTAGTGCTGAAGTGCGCATTTCTTTATTTTTGTATGCATCGCAACGTTTATCCCACAAGCATTCGTGCTCTCTATAAAGTTGTAAGAATTTTAAAGTATCCTCTTCATTGAATTTTCTCGACATTTTGTCGCAGAGTTCCGAACAAAAAACTAAAACATACACACCGTATAGACGTTCGCCAGTGACTGCGAGAAGCGTCTACACGTGTCCGCAACGCTGGCGCGGGGGTCGAGGGGTATGCGGGCGGAGGTCACTGGCTAGAAAAATAGGCCGGCGCTCTATTCACGCCAGCGTTGGCTGCCAGCGCTGGCTTGGCTTGAAAAACTGTTTACACAAGGCAAATGCCACGCCAGCGCTGGCTGCCAGTCTTATTGGCAGCCAGCGTTGGCTTCGTATAAACTATACTTTACACAAATTTGCTTCTTGCTATACCACAAGATTGTACATCCAAATAATTTAAATACATATCCTGATGTAGATTTCCTGTCATGCATGTCACCAGCCCAGTCTGCATCAGCATATCCTTCTACTAATGCACTACTACAGTTGTAAACTAAGGAAAGTTGTAATGTACCTTTGATATATCTTAATATTCTTTTCAGACACTTGTATAACATCTGACTGGCACAATGCTGAAACCTACTCAAGAAACTGACTGCAACACATATATCTGGTCTTGTACCGCAAGCTGCATATAATAAAGAGCCTATTAATTGCCTACATTTTGTTTCTATTTCACTACTTTCAGACCGTTCTCTCTGTAAGATTTGAAAATTAAAATTTTGATCTATGGGGGTGGAAACAGTATTACAATTTAACATTTGATAATTTTTTAATATTGAAATTAAATATTTTTCTTGATTAAGAGTTGTTATACCGTCTTTCTGTTTAATTTTTATGCCTAAGTATGTTGACGCTAAACCTAGATCTTTCATTTTAAAATTTTGGCTTAATTGAACCTTAAAACATTGTATTTCCTGTTGATCTGATCCAACATATAGAATATCATCTACATACAATAAAACATACATATATTTACCTTCCTCTCTTTTAAAATATAGACATGAATCATTTTTGGATCTTGTAAATCCCAGTTTTGTAATGAAATTGTCAAACTTCTTATTCCAATATTTTGGAGCTTTCTTTAATCCATACAGAGATTTGTTAAGTTTACATATCTCTTCTGTATGTAATTTAATGTACACTATTTCTTTTATATCCCCATGTAGAAAAGCACTCACTACATCCATTTGATAAACTGATTGTTTCAACTTGTTTACCAAAGCCATAAAAAGCCTAAATGTTCCTAACTTTGCAACAGGTGAGTACACATCTGAGATACCATCTCTTTGTTCAAAGCCACGTGCTACTAACCTAGCCTTATATAATTTCCCCTCATCAGTATCTTTAATTTTGAATGCTCGATACAACCGTCGGGTGGTTTTACTGGAATATTTCAATATTCTTTGTCTTTTTTCGGTTTATTTTTTGGTAAACTGCTCTGGACTGTGATTGAAAATTTTCTTCTGCAGCAAATTATGGGTTGCTGCTTTGCTGTTCCAAGATGTTGCAGCACCAAGACATCGTGTTTGATACGACACACCATAAATGTAGTTGACTCGCTTTTCTCCGATAAATTTTGAAATTATTGAATGAAATTGCTCAGCCGAGTTATTTGTAACGTCCAGTAAAGGACTGCTTGGGTTATTAAGTAAAGAGGATAATGGTTTTTGAATATCTACCCATAGTCCACATTCGACTAGTTCTTAAACTAGGGCTCAGCGAGACTTACAAAAATCATCATGTTTGCCAAATACATGATTGGCACTGTTTTTTTATGTCATTTTTGATGTTTTTAATTTTACGGCGCCAACTACAACTTCGACTTACTCTTTTCTTCTGCTTTCTTTCTTCTTCGACTTCGACTGCTTTTCGAAGACGGAAAACATTGCTCTCGACTTTTTGTCTTGTGCATAACTTTTCTGGTTGTTAGTTTTTTTGCCCAACTGCTACAGTTTGGAACAAAAATTTCTCAAAAAGTGATTTTCTCATTCCACTTTTTTCACTATGAGATAGGACCATACGGCATAGTAATCAAGAGTCTATTTGTGATACCAGAGTAGCCACATCCAGTAAGCATGTGATATTTAACGCCATGCTATTCAAGGCTTCTCTGGAAACCTTCCACGATTATGTCTTCTTCCATCGATTTAGCGCTGTTAGACCAGTTTTTAGAGCATTTGTGGTCGGGTTTGGGCAACTCTTGTTTCTGCAAATGCAGCAATATTTATTTCTTATTCCCAAAAACAAGATTTTTTAAATATTAATCATTAACATATATATTTATTTCTTATTCCCAAAAACAAGATTTTTTTTTGGGATTATAACCAATAGTACAAAGCACAAGCACATCCAGAAAGAGAACTATAACTGGTCTTAAAAGATCCTGTCGACCAAGCTCCATCCGAAACAACTTTAACCAAAGGATAGCTCTCTTTGTCAACATCGACATTTAATATAGCTACGAGTAATTTCTTTTCTCCCTCACCAGTTGCAAGTATTTCTTCCAAAGCACAACTTTCAAAAGTATCTGTATAAAATGTTATTTAACTTCTTGGCCTTCATTTGAAAGCTGTTCTGATCATCATCAACTTGTCTTTTTCCAGCTAATATATTGTTAATATTTTTACAATAATTAAAAATCAGGCAACGAATAACAATGTTAATTAAATATTCAATTAAATTATTTTTATGTATTTTACATGTTATAAAGTTAAAATCAACTACTATGTTTATAGCAGTTTTGATAATTTCCTTTAAATTACATGTTTCAATGTTTTCTTTTACTATTTCATTGATGATGTCCTGCATATTCGAAATTAATTGAACCAATGATTTTGAGCCACCGTTTACCTGCATATTCTCTATATTTTATATATTCTAGCTCGTGTTTCGAGACTAAATCGTTATTACAATCATCACAAGATTTAAAAATATGAGATTTTGCTTTTTTCAAGAAATAGCGACTCATATATTGGATTGGTGCTATTAAACGAGGGTCACTTTCTTTACTACCTATATGGGTAACAGCTTTTTAACCCTTTCTCTAAATTTAATAATCCGTTCTCTAAATTTAACTGTTTTAACATACAATCTTTGTGAAGTCGAAGTCGTGAAACTTTAAATATTTACCCTAGTGTTTCCAATTGCAAACTTCTGCACTGAACCCAATTTTTTATATTCTATTCTGAACAATTGACAGAAAAAGTAAATGTCATGTTTTGTTTGTTAATAAATCATCCAGTGCTTGTCCAATTTTTTAGCCATAAGCTAATTTTTTATTGTAATGATACCTATTCACTGAATCGCCGTCCACTATCGTTGACCTTTATATGAAATCTCAGTTCGGTCTGCATCAGTAATTGTTGATGGCCATAAACCTGGGTCATTTTAAGTATTCAGATTTTCAAATCCGGCATTCATGGATGTAGACAGATCTAGATCTCTCTCTCTAGATCCGTATTTCTGGCTGGATAGTGTCAACACTATCCAACGGCGGCGGTGGAGTAACAATGATGTTGTTTACTTACTATTATCATCGCTAGGTATAGCAGCGGCATCTCAGACGATGATGCAGCTGGGTTAGGCTTAGAATGCAATAACATGTCACTTTTAGTCAGTCTTAAGGACTTAGAAGCTTTTTGACCATCACCTTTTATATATTTATATAGAGACCCCATACAGATTTTCTTCTACCTGATTTCTTTTGATAGCTTGTTGCCTTTTTGAACTACCAAACTCAATTTTTCTACTGGCATCACAATCGCGCGAACTCTTTTAGAAAATCTTTTTTGCACATAAAATTAATAAAAAAATTACAAGCAGTTGTACGCAGGTTTCTTACTAATTCACTCTTTACTATAATTACTATAATAACGTAAAATTTATTATTAATGGCTTAAACAAAAAATTGACTTAAACGCTACATGCTTGTACTGGCGCGATGTGGGTTTTGTAATGTACGGTGTAAGGCAGGAGATTCTGATACACTTGGGTTGTTGTGCGAAGGCGTGAGGCCCCTACAAGAGCGAGGCCCCGGGCGGTTGCCCTGCTTGCCACCCCCTAAGGCCGCCACTGTGTTTTAGATTCATAGAAAAATCGGATTATTAGATAACGTTATACAAGGTGTTGCGCCAGATTTGTGTCGTGATGTGTGTGCTTCGTCAATGGGAAAAAGAGAACGACCAGTGAAATTGTCCATAATTTTGGCAGTTAACTTTTTTCTTCATTGCGTTCTGTGAATTCTGCTTAACATAATTCCGCAGACTAGTTTCAGCAACACTACAAATTCAGTATACTGCATTGAATGCCAAAAACCAATCCGATTTTGTCCCGCAAACACACCAATTTATGAAACAATTGTTTTTCTTCGGCTATGTAACGTTTCCCCTTTTAAATATAAAAACCCTTTGAGACAAACACAGATGTGCGTTATAGGAGGAAAACGCTAACAGGATTGGTTAGTCGGTCAAGTGAATTGAGGATGAAGGAATTAATTAATACACAAGATAAGTAAATATTGATTATATTCTTTGTAAATCCTTACAAATAAACAACAGCAAGTAAATATAATTTTTAAGTTAAATAAAAATATTATTAACTGTTTACAAAATATAAGTTTACCATTAAGTACTGTTAACATGTGAGAAAACTGTTACATAAAAAGAAAAATCCTTAAACTTATTATAAAACTGGGTGCGGTTCTGTCCTGGCTAGCTCTTAATATAAAATTCGTTTAGGGTCAGAGTCCGGCTCTGGGTAACGCACAAAACATAACCATACCGCAGTATCCTTTTCAGATTCTTTTAGAAATTAAATAATAATTATAAAATGCAAACCATCAATTTGTGTAAACAAAAAATAAATAAATTTTTCATATGATAATAAATTTAGGGGAAATAAGCCTTAATGAAATATTATACAGCCATGTGACATGAGGCTACTTCCCGTTGAATTAAGAATTAAAGACCAAAAATATGAGGTTAAATTAGATAAATAAGGATAAGTATGACCTGATGGAGTGCCTCGAAGCCACAAAGTGTTAGGCTGGCCTCACGAACCGCGTCGGCTCCCGACGCACGTGGAGAACTCGAGGTTAGGTCTTAGGGCGGCTGTACATACTCGTTGAGAGCCTCTCGTCGAGAGTCTCGGCCGATGATGTTCTCGGCGAGAGCATATTTGTACGGAAGATTTCTGTGACAATGGACGTGGAAATTGCAGCTGCTGTTTGCCTTTGTGCTGTGAGCTATTATAATTTTTTATCCATTTACCATAGAAAGAAAATTGTTAAGCCATGGCGAAGGAGAAGATGGTGGATGGTTACTATGCACCGCAATAGAAGCAGGTAAATACTTAAAACATAAGAAAAGACCAATAACAGTTGATTTTTAATTTATCTTACTTTTTTTTACCTGCATGATTAGTTAAGCATATATATCTATATATTTCAGAAGCACCATGGAAAATCAATTGGCGGAACTGGTGGTGGAACCCTCGGGTCAATTTAACAACTTTACAAGAATGTCTATAATAGACTTTGAATATTTACTACAACGAATTGCTCCATTTATAACTAAGAAGAATACGCCTAAAAGGGAAGCAATCTCAGCCAAAATTCGCCTAGCAATTACTTTGAGATTTTTAGCCAGTGGCGATAGTTTTGAAAGTCTACATTTCCTGTTCAAAGTTTCGAGTTCGATTATATCAAGAATTGTGCGTGAAGTATGCATTGCACTAAACCAAGTATTGAAAGATCAAATTACGGTAAGTATGTGGATACAGAATAATAACAACATTTACTATTTATAAACTTAATTTATTACAGATAATAGCTTTTTAACAAAAAAAAAAAACAACCGCCAAAAAAAAGAAATAAGTTTTTAGGATTTAATCTAATTTTCTTTTTTTTGGCTATGCTTGGTGAAATGCTTGACCGAGAATGTCATCTGTTAGTGGGCTCACAATCTCATTAGACAAAATTTGTATGGTATTTGTATTGAAAACGGCTGAGGAAGAACGTGTTGCTGACATGTCTGGTTCTGAGTATGAGGTACATGACGATCCAGGCCGTACATAATATGTTGGTGATGTATTCGGATGTGATAATTGAAGTCGTTGTGTTGGTTCTGAACACGATGTGTAAATCGGTGAAGGCCGTGCAGAGTATCCATCTATTTCATATATGATTTTTAAGCTTTCTGATTCAGATAGCTTACGAAGCTTATTGGCAAGAATCTTGCCATACCGATCGAAATCGTCTTCTACCACTTGTGGTTTATTCAAAACTTCATGCAGTGAACTCATGGCTTCCTTCATAGTCTTGCCAGCTTCTTGCAGTTCTACCGGATTCTATCGGCGCCGCGGTACAGTTGGCAATGGAGATAATGTTGTAGGTTCTGATTGATGATCATTTTCACCTGAATCATCATTGGCAATTCCACTCTCAGGCGTAGGTGGATTCTAAAAATAACGATATATTATATACATAAAATAACAATAAATATTTATTTTCCAGATTCCGCAAGATCCACAGTCATGGTTAGAAATTGAAAAAGGGTTCAGAAAATTTCCAAGGTGTATAGGAACAATTGATGGCAAACACATCGTAATGCAATCTCCTGCACATAGTGGTTCGGAATACTACAACTATAAAAAGAGTTTCAGCGTAGTACTTCTAGCTCTGGTCGATAGTAATTACAATTTTATTTTTGCTGAAATTGGAAGCCAGGGAAGAATTAGTGATGGTGGTGTCTTTCGTAATAGTCAACTATGGCAAAGAATTTGTTCAAATAATCAAAATTTTCCGATGCCAAGACCACTACCAGGGGGTACAACAGACGTTCCGTATGTTTTTTTGGGACATGGAGCATTTGCATTGACAACTCATGTGATGAAGCCATATCCAGGAAGTCATAATGAAGGAACACCGAAACGTATTTTTAATAAGAAACTTTCATCCTCACGCGTAGTGGTTGAAAATGCATTCGGGATACTAGCCTCAAGATTCAGAATATTTAGAAAACCTATACTACTGAACCCTGAAAAAACTGCTATAATTACTATGACCTGTGTGCTGTTGCACAATTTTTTAGGAAAGAGTAATACATCATCAGCAATATATACACCTCCAGGAACAATTGACGTTTACAACACAAATGACGAGCTGGTCGTGTCAGGTTAGTGGAGGAATGAAATTGAAGACATGTGTGCAATAAGACCCTTGCGACAAATACCAAGAAGACCAACTCAAGACGTAAATCAGATTAGGGAAGAATTTACATCATATTTCTTCAAGAATTATATGTAATAATAACTGATTATAAAAATTTTAATAGACATATTGTGTTTAAATAAATTCATAATGTTTACTTACCTGAGTATCCGTGTTCATAGTCGTTCTACATTGAAAAATATCATTTAAGAATGAGTCCATGAAGTCGAAGGCGAACCATATCGGCTTATAAACCGATTCAGCAGCAGCTCCAGACTGCATAGATGCTAGAATCTTTCTTTTATGACTCCTATACGTGGCCATTAGCGAATCTCTTTTCTTTTTTAACTCTGCTACAGAAATTTCCATTCGCTCGCTTATTCGCATCCAATCATCGTGAACACCTTGCTTGTCCTTATGTTTTACATGTTTAGAATCCCATAATATTGGTTCCATTTGATAGTACTCCAGAAATTGTAATTCACGTTCATTAGACCACATGGCGAAGCCCGTCTTTACGCGAACACAGTCAGCGATAAACTAACTGAACAAGTGTGTACATGCTCGCTCTCGTTTTCCTCGCGAGACTCAACGAGACCCTTTGACTCGGGCGCAAAAAACCGACCAGTGACCGAGACCGACCGAGACGAGGCACGAGAGAGCGAGACAAGGCGAATGCACCGTCTACATACTCGTTCTCGGCCTGTCTTGGTGTGTCTCGGCGAGTACAGCTGTTATTACGATTTCATCATAGTACCATAGACATGATTTTTTTTGTATTAAAAATCAAATAAAGAATTTACTAGAAGATTATGTTAATTCAATATAAATAAATCTAACAAAAAAATATTTTATTCAATAGAATTTTAAAGAGAATTTATACTACTCTCCTGAGGACGAGATATAAAAATTGCAATATTCATATGCACATGCTATATTTTTAACTCCAATATGATCCAGAATAATGAAAAAATAAGAAAAAAAATATTTTATTAATAATATATTAATTGTTTGACGTGTCAAAAATGGAACGTTCGGCCTGTACGTATAATTTCGATGTGACAAATTTGGTACATTCGTGCTTTACTATGTGGGACTTGGTACTAGAAAACGTTAAATAATAATGCAGTAATTAAGGAAAAATAAAATTTTAATATAAGATAAACGACTTTCTGTGAACAAAAACAAATTATATAACTTCTATATCATTAATAATAATACCTTTAATCATGATATCAAATTAAAATAGGAACTTTTGAAGTAATGTAGAGATCAATTAATATTTGTCTTATTTCTACTAATTATATTTTAAATAAAACTATCTTTTCGGATTTTGTCGATGATTTATTTGTATTTTTGTTTCCCGACGTTTCGAATGCTTTACAGCAATCATGGTCACGGTAGAGACTGAGGTGTTAGATGTCTCTAAGGTATTATATAGTTGTTACAGACCGCCTACCCACAATTAACAAAATGAATTCAAAAAATTGAAGAATGGCACTAAAGTACCTTACAATATTTTAACTTTTAACTTTAAACATTTTTATATAATTTTAATTAGCTTTATAATTGAATATAGAATATTATTTATTTAATTTGAGCTGTTATTATTATAATTATTACAATTTTAAAAAATATTAATTATTAATCTATATTTTTAGTGTTGCCATTATTATATTTATAACCATAAAGAAAAAATCATAATATATTAATTATTTAAGCCACAATTGATCTATGTGTAATTTGAAAAAGTTAAGATTAATTAAAAATAATAATTTTCATTTAAATTTGCTATTATTTAAAAAACAAATTATTAAGCAACACATTACTACATACAATTACAAATGAAAAAGTGAAAAAATATTATTAATCAGAAATGCTATCATTTTGATCTACACAGTAAGAACTTACTACATCTACCTGTCTGTTATGTTTAGATTTATTATTAGATTTTATTATATTAATAACAGGATCCCATGACGATGGTAGTACCCAGCCATCTTCCCTATTGAAATTAGGATGTTTTTTAATTTCTATGGCTTCTCGAATCATTCTAGGGCGATATCGGTTTTCTTTCGCCAGGATTTGAGGTCTATCGAAGCGAATATAATGGCTTGGGCGGTCCTGACTATGTTTGCAGACAGTAGATGTTGTATTGCGACGGTGCTTCACATTAGCTATGTGTTCTTTGACCCGAGTTCTAATGGATCTCTTTGTTTGTCCGATGTAAGAGAGCCCACAATCACAATCAAGCTTGTAAACTCCTGCATCTTGTAGAGGGATGTAGCACTTGACAGGTGGCAGAAACTGACTAATTTTCTTTGGCGGCTTGAAGTAAGTTTTAATTGAAGCTCGCTTTAGAATGTAGCCAATCTTGTCAGTGACGCCTCTCATGTAAGGTAGGACTGCAGGGACGCGCTCGACTGTGAATGGTTTCACTCGGTCCCTGTGACGTAGGCGCGGCACTTGCAGCTTTTTATCTCGCAGAACTTCCTTGACATGTTGCAGCTCTCCGGCCAGGTGTTGCTCGTCACAGATCCTGCGTGCCCTCTGAAACAAAGTTTTCCCACGGTAGCTAACTGTGAAGGGTGGTGGTGAGATTCACCATTCAAGTACCTATCAGTATGGGTCTTCTTTCGATACACAGTATGACTCAAGGTGTTATCTGGGTTACGTTTGACTAATACATCTAAGAAAGCTAAAGAATTATTAGACTCCAATTCCATTGTAAATTGTATTTTAGGGTTTATGGAGTTAAGATGTTCTAAGAATACAGATATTTTATCAGATGGTAATATTGTGAAAGTGTCATCTACATACCGCTTGTAGAAACGAGGGGTCACAGGTGATGTGTTTAGGGCGGTCTCCTCGAAGGCCTCCATGAAGATGTCAGCTACAATAATACGATTTGACTCACAATTGGACGTAGCGGAGCGTTAGGTTTGTGTATCTTTGGAAGTCCATACAGTTTAAGCGGCTACAAGATGGAACAAGATTTTTGATATCAAGATCAATCAATGCATCGGAGTGTTTCTTAATCAGCTTTTTAGTATTATTTAACACAGTGGTGGTTGGGTCTGTTTTGACCTTTTTATATGTACTTTCATCCGACAAAAGTTGTTTAATTTTGTCATTGTAATCTGATGTATCCATCACGACGGTGGCATTTCCCTTGTCTGCGCGTAGTATGATAATGTCTGACCTGCTGCGTAAGTTCTTCAACGCTAAATACTGTTGTTTGTTGAGATTAGGTTTGGGCCTTGAACTACGACGTAACAACAATGAAATATCTTGACGTATGGCCTCCATATCCTCAGATTTCATAGTATTTTTGGCCAGGGCATCTTCAACTGCACAAATAATATTCTCATAAGGGATGCGTGTCAGCGCAACAGCGAAATTTAAGCCTTTACTTAGTACTTGAATAGTAGATTCGTCCAATGTTTGTTTTGACAGATTGACAACTGCTTGACGTACGCACGAATTTGAAACTGTGGTAGACGGGCGCGTTCCGTTATTGTTTTTGGTTTTCTTTTTGATGTTATATTTCTCGACTAATTTTTGGTATTTTAATATATGTTTGTTTTTGCATTGGTTAAATTTAGATGTTTCGCGCTTATTTAAAGTTTCAATGCAATCATTGAAATCATTTGGTGTCAATACTGTCTTTATATTAAGGGACGTTTGTTCTACGTACCGGTCGTTACTGCGTAGATCACGGCGGGTTTGACGAATCACCGTCCGTAACAACTTAAAACTACTATCTACTAATTATAATATGTAGGAAACATTTAATAATCGAATTTTAAAATAAAATTTGTTATGCTACATTTTATGTCCATGGAATGTAGCAAAACAATTTCTTAATTTTGTTAAACAGAGATATATTTTGCAAGTACTACACATAAGATCAGTCTTAAAACCACACGCATTATTTCGACACCGCTGTAGTTTATCTGCTATCATTGGCATATGATCAGCCCTATTCATCCTTTTGTGAATTGTTGGCAGCGGTGTAATGGGTACACTTCTCTTAGCATGTTGAATTTTTAGTAAACCTTCCTCATCGTCAAGAATAGTTCTTCAGGAGGCAGTATGTTTTCCTCGATAAGTTAGGTTCCCATTCGTAATTTATACTCCCGTAATTGAAAAATTTTGTGAGATGGCATATTTTTTTTAATTTGGAGTTCTCGGAAGAGAAACCATGCACTAACAACACTGACGTCGATCATGTGAAATATAAATCTTATAGTCCATTTTCGAGTACGAGCTCTTAATGGACAAACAGAAAGCATTCGATCAGCAAGATCGACACCACCCATATTCTGGTTATATTCTTTTATTACCTCGGGTCTTGGCACCTGTACGTAACGTTTCTGACGTTTATCCCATCTTTTGCATATGTCGGTCTGACTGTTTGCGTAACACGTAGATATCATCAATACAGGTTTATTGTCCAGCCATCTTGTAATGGCAATTTGCAAATGCAAATTAAACAGGCCACTTCAATTGTGCCACGATTTCTTTTTATAAAATAATTGTCAGGTGTCAGTGATACATGTCTTTGGAAACGATTTTTCATTATAGTTCCTGTTGGGTTGAATCCTCTTATTAATAACTCGTCCATTAATTTAATAGTAGAGAAGTATCTATCAAAAAACAGATAGTGTCCAGGAACTAATGATTCCGTTAACTGAAGAACAGCAGCTTCTCCTAGGGTGAAACCCTGTTCTCTATAACTTTTAAATCGTTCCCTTAGTAACACAAAAACTTATCTCAATTTTGTCGAATTTGAGATAATGATAAAAAACCACGCGACACGACACATTAATGAAAATATAATTACTGCTTTTAAAGATATTACTTCAAAACCTTATAATAAGCTTAAGGTATTATTTAGGGTCACAAAGCGAGTAGTTTATTATTTATAATAAGTATGTTTAAAAGTAAATAGTTTGAATGGAGGTGTTAGTTACGTTTTTGTGTTACTAAGTTTTTTATATAATATTATAGTTTTAAATGAGATACGTCAGGTTTAGTTTAATAATATTTATTTATTTCTTCAAAAAACGATTGTTTTTTATAGGAACATTAAAGAAAAACACAAAATAAAAAAGTAAACTTAAGACACACAGACTTACACAGTACAGAGCTGTGTCAACAGAAAATAAAAAAAAACTGATCAAGTGCGAGTTGGGCTCGCGGCAAGAAACTTTGGAATAATTACTAAGTAGGTAACCTTTTTATTCAGAAGATTCTGAATCGGTTTCTTGGTTCCTGCCATTGTTCAACTGCTCATAAAAAGTATGGTACTGTGATGGTATAATACCTTGTTCACATAGGCTTTTCAAATCGTGAAACTTCTCAGGCGATATTTTCATCGGCGAATCATAAGCTCTAATCAATGTAATTGAATCATAGTTTGTGGCACCCCTTGTCGCTCGACGTATAACTTTAAATTTCTTAAAATCAGTGTCACTTTTATTATATTTAAAATAAATATGATCACAATTGCCTTTAACGTATTTCAATAAAGTAATCTTAAGCCAATTAATGTTGTCACCATCTGTGTCTATTTTTCTATTTTTTATTATGTGTTCTCTTAACTTAACAGCATTAAAAAACATTTCTTGGCCCATTTCTATGACGTCGTATTTAGATGATTTCGATGCCATTCTAACAGCAGTGTACCATCCGGAAGGGTGGTATATATTTATGTTTTTAGACGAATGTCTCAATGTGTGCGTGCACAGAATCTACTTCCATCATGGAATGGCCAGGTTCAAAATAGCCCTGTTCTATTTCAGGAATATCTAAGATTTGCACAGCATAAAGGAGAACCGCAGCTAAATTGACATTCCTATTCTGACCTCCACAAGTATCACTCATTATAATGATTTTTTTCCATTAGCATGGTCTTTCAATTATTTAAAGAGACATGACGACAACTCGTTGGAACCTCTGGATGCAATACTTTCATGCCACATAAAATTTGATGCCTGTCTCGACTCAACATCATAGACTGTAGCATTATACACAACAAGGCGATGTTTGTAGAAAATAGCCTTGGCTGATACTTTTGGACAATATCGAACGGCTTCCAAGTCAATCTCAATAAAGTTAATATTTTTATTAAGTGCTAGGACCTTGTTATCATCATGGTATTGACGTGCCTCTACCTTCCGGCGAATGTGCTGCATATGTAATGGAAATAGATCTGGTTTGTCTTCTACACTACAATTTTTGTATTTTACGCATGAATCACACATATCCTTACATGGTTTATGAAATTTAAGGTTTTGATGATTAAAGATTTGCCTGTACAGCCAAAACTTTTCAGAAACAATATTTTGCTCCGTGCTCAATGTAAAGATTATACATATCTCTCAAACACAAATCATCTGGCAAGTACTTATAATTTGTTTTTTTCCGGCAATAATGGGATGGCACAGTCGGGAATGACAGGATATGCTGCTCTATTATTTCTTTGTTTTCTCTCGGTCTGGTAACACCGGGTTGGTGCTTACCCCGCATGCTTGGGGCAACAATGCGTGTTTCATCCCTTTTCTTTAACACATTCCTTAAGAATCCTTCTGATATATCAAGCGTTGTAAGAAAAAAACCTTGACATACTTGGACTTTTCTACCGTCTTTGTAAAAGAAAAACTGTCGCGTCTTATTTCGCCTGGAATTTTCACCAGAAGTTTTAACTTTTGTTTCCACTTCATCCACCAACGTATATTCATACTGTTTTTGTTTTTCTGAATCTTGTAAGTTCCAGTAGGCTTTATGAATAATACTCCTTGAATCTTCGTTAAATGATTGATTACACTTTCTGGGGCAACTACTGCAATCTTTAGGTCTTACTTTTCGAGCATCCACTCTCTTACCTCTCATAGAAATATATTCTTTTCCAGATTGCTTTAAGGACTTTCGCACATTTTGTTTCCAGGTCTCAGGAGCTGATCTTTTACTACGAATTCTACGTTGGTTTCTTTCTGGCTCTTCAATCACGTCAAAAGCTTCTGGCTGTTCAATCGAAACATTTTCGGGTATGTTGGGTTGGTCTAAGATGCTAGGAGAATGATGTGGAGGAGTAGGATTTAAAATGGGTGGGTGTGACGAAATATCTTCTAATATATTAGTTGGTGAAGGTGACTCAGGAATAAAAATATTATTGTTGTTAGTAACAAGAACTGGTGAAGCTCTTCTCAAAAGGGGAGAATACTTTTCCATTATTCGGCGAGCTTCTGGCTGTTCAATCGAAACATTTTCGGGCATGTTGGGTTGGTCTAAGATGCTAGGAGAATGATGTGGAGGAGTAGGATTAAAAATGGGTGGGTGTGACGAAATATCTTCTAATATATTGGTTGGTGAAGGTGACTCAGGAATAAAAATATTATTGTTGTTAGTAACAAGAACTGGTGAGGCTCTTCTCAAAAGAGGAGAATACTTTTCCATTATTCGGAGAGTCCGTCCTTCAGAGCTATCGTCCGAATCTGTGTCGCAAATAATGATTCTGATGAATCATCATCCAATTGTTCAAAGTCCAGTCATTTAAGTTTAAATTAGGTAAGAATCTCGGAATTCAAGATACCCAGCTGTAAGTCTGTAAATACTTGTATATTGACACCCTAAAAGTTGTCTCAAAACCTACATATGGTAGGGTGTACGCAACTCTTACATTTCAAGGTCAAAGGTCACAAAAATCGTCTTTTTGCGCTTTTTTTGTAAATATCTCATTTCCTATGGGTTTTTTGCTATTTGTATTTATTATCAATATTGTAGAATACAAAACTTTCTACAAATTTTGTTTTAAAAATTTTTTCATACGGTGAACCGTTTTCGAGATAGAGGGCGAAGAGCGTGCGGTCACAGCAACACTTCAGTTCAACCGGTGCCTCCGGTCTAAAACGCGCCATATATAGTTGATGAACTATCGATAAATCATTGATTAGAAATATTTGTCAATTTTTATTAACTATTATATTATACTTTATCATTTTTTCCTAACCTATCCACTTTTTATTCAGGATTAATTTATTTAACAACACTTACCTGCCCATGTCATTGCAGAATTGTTAATGAAAATACAGGAATTATATTTGAATTTTAACCTAATTAATATTTATAACTCCTTACATGATAAAAAAAAAACAAATAAATTATGAATTAATCTTTTTATTAAAAAATATCATTCCATACATTTATTTTTATTAAAAGTAAAAAAATGGAATAAAGGGTACAAAAACTACAATTTATAATCATCAAAATTTTAATTTAATCATCTTCTTCCTCTTCATCGTCGTCTTCCGGCTGCTGGTAAATTTCAAACTGGTCTACATTATCGTCTTCAACGACATTTGTCTCAAGTTCTTCCATGATTTCGGGGTCAAAGGTTCCATCTTCGTTAATGTCACTCTGATATGGTAGAGCATTAAGACAAGCTTGCCCATTACATTGGCCACAAGCTAAAGAGCATTGCAAACCCGCTTTCCTGCAACCGCATCGCGAACCACAACCACTCTTGCAGTTGCAAAAAATTGTATTTAGCAAATCTTCTGGAGCGGGTGGTAAAATTGTCATGATAGGCTCCAGAATATCGTTTCGCATTGCTCAACCCCATACCTGGGCTTCCAAATCATGCCTTAACCAAGTGTGAACTTGATAATATACACGTTTGAAATGTTGATGAGCAGCTGCACTTGTTGTTGGAATATTTGAAAGCTGCACAGGTTTATTAAGTTTTGTAGACTTGACGCAATGCATATAACAAGGATGATCGAGACTTTTCACAGATTTCGGAGCATTATAGACTGCCAATAAGGTTTGAGTTCCACTCTCTAATAATCTCTGGGCCGAACAATTTTCTTCTTCAAATGCTGCAGGTAGTTCATCAAAATTTGTCAGTTTCTCAAAAACTTTTAAAAATGATTTTTTCCCTTTTTAAAAAGCGGAGGCACCGGTTGACCTGAAGTGATGCTGTGACCGCGCGTTCTTCGCCCTCTAACTCGAAAACGGCTCACCGTATGAAAAAAATTTTTTAACAATATTTGTAGAGGATTTTATATTCTACAATATTGACAATAAATACAAATAGCAAAAAACCCATAGGAAATGAGATATTTACAAAAAGAGCGCAAAAAAATGATTTTTGTGACCTTTGACCTTGAGATTTAATAGTTGCGTACACCCTACCATATGTAGGTTTTGAGACAACTTTTAGGGTGTCAATATACAAGTATTTACAGACCTACAGCTGGGTATCTCGAATTCCGAGGTGAACTTACTATAATGACTGGACTATCAAAAGGATCTGAAATTTAAAAAAAAAACATTAAAAGCAAAGTTTAAAATTAAAAGTTTAGCATTTAGCAAATTCAAACATTTCACATTTAATGCAGCTACAAAGATTGATACGAGAGTAACATTTAGTGTTTAGCCAATTTAACATTCTTATTTTTATATAAACAAACATTGTTCATATAAATAAATATTTCATCTCTATATATTTTATATTATTATTTGTATATTTTACAGCTAAATTTGATTCAACTTAATCGTAATAGCTGACGCACGTTGCAGCTAAAAGGTAGCATCCATGGAAATTTGTTTAGATACAACTTAATATAACTTATATAGCTTATTCACTTTTTATCACTGGCACCATATAATATTCAATATGTCCTTTAAGTTACAGCAAAAAGTTTCGATCTGTGTTTTCTATTGCCAGACATAAGAAGTGATTTCGACGTGGCGATGATATTAAATACCACGACCTTAAGGCGTGGTGATAAATTGACGTACGATCAAGTGTGTAGGTTATTATAACTACAAGGAACTAGTGACGCCCCAGCGACGAAACACACAAACGTATACTTAACTCAATATTGATAAAAGTCGAGTTACGTTTTTGTGTTACTAAGGGGACGAAATTTAGTCTCACCTTGATATACGATCATATCGCAAATAAGGCCACCTGGATTTGCGAAGACAAATATTTTTAAGCCCACAGGATTAGGTTTATTGGGACAATATTGTCTTATACCACAATGTCCTGAAAACGGCACAATCATTTCATCAATTGACAGATTCTCATTTTTTTCCTGCATGTGAAACCCTTTAAGAATTCTGTTAAAAAGCGGCCTTACCTTCCATATGCGGTCTTGAGTGCGCTGCTCTTGTGTTACATCGTCATCGTATACAACTTTTAAATTTGTACGTATTAAAAAAAATGTATCACGAGTCATTGAATTGGCAATTATAGGGATACGCCAAGTGCGTTCCCAGTACATTTTTATTTGAGGATAATTTATTTATTTATGTACCAGAAAAAAAAACATACAAGTTAAAACAGATGCCATATGTACAAAGGATGACTTATCTCTTTAAGAGATTTCTACCAGAACCCTCAAGCGTGAGAAAATATAAAAATAATAATGCGGTGCGGTGTAGGTACAAACTACAAACATCAATTATAATATAAATATACATACATACAAACATACATACATACGAACATAGATACATACATACATGTTTACATAGATACTTACATACATACATATATACATATACATACATACATATTACATATATATATCCATACATACATACACATACTTCAAGAAATATATAATAAGGAAATCATATGGAGTCACTTAGATAAAGTTCTTTTAAGCGAGATTTAAACAGTTTTAGTGATGGATTGTCATTTGTAATCTTATCGGGAAGGGAGTTCCAGAGTTTTGCTGCTTGTACTGTGAAGGATTTCTCATAAAAAGTAGTGTTATAAGAAGGTACGTTAAGCTTTTTTAGCCTAACACAGGGGCGTATGGGTCTTGAGCTAGGGATCGATAACTGAAAACGCTCGCGTAAGTACGTAGGAGAAGAATTACTTAAAATAGTGTATAACGTCGTAAGTATGCGCATATTTCGGCGAAGGCCAATGATCCAATTTATGCAAACCATAGATGAAACGAATGCATAGATTTTGAAGTCGATCTAATATTTATATTTGACATAACTATATTTATGCCAAGAAATACTTTAAGCTCACGAATTGTTAATCCTATATTTTTTTGAGTAAGTAAAACAGAAGTTTGATTTGTTGCCCTAACCATTTGATCAAAAATTTCGTCATCTAAATAATCATCTAAAAACTGAAACCATTCCCACTCTTCTAATTCTCTACAAATGTAATTTGGACTGTGTAAATGTGTCACGGATGGATTAAGATCTGGTAAAGTAGATGATTCTCCTTCTGATTCACGTGTTTCCTGTACTCTTACTTCTCTACCTATTGCCCTTCTGTTTCTTGCGCGTCCTCTTACTACTGTTCGTGAAACCCGCTGTGTTGCTCTTCGGCTAGCTCTGCATTCTGTCATATTACCAGCAAAAGACCGTACTGGAGATGATATGCGATCAAAATGATCAGATAGGGCTTCATTGTCATTGTCTGAATCAGAACTACTGGAATTTAACCTATTTTGTCGATTTCTCTCTACGTTTGTGTGATATGATTGATCATTATCCGAATCAGCACTAAAGTCTCCATCCGATGCATTCAAAAATTCAATAATTTGGTCTTCATCCAAAGCTTTAAATAAAAAACACTTCAGCTATTCAGAACGAATGAGTCAAATACGGAACATCGATTATATTCATTGAGATCGAATGTTCCACGGGTGGAACGTCAACATAAACCGACATGCCTATTAATTGTTTTTTTAGTTAACATCTAGACTTGCGCAAAACAGTGCTTTAAAATGTTATGTAATATTACATTACATTTCGTACTGAGTAATATGGCATTACACCATCACACCGAACACTACCCGAAATGTGTACTGTTCGGCGTGAGATATTTCTAATGAAATGTTCTATATCACGTAATTTTCATCACACCAAACATTACATGAGATTTTGTACTTAGTATGTTTAAGTGTACTGTTCGGTGTACTACGTAGCAGATCAAACATACAGTCACTTTAGCATAAAAAAGGGTAAATGAGTAGTGGTGAATTGAGCGAGCTGGATCAAAGAAGATCCATCTCTCTCAATTCACGTTTTCAAAAACTTAGAAAAGTCTGTTTTTCATATTTTACTTCTCAAAACTTGTAAAATCAGTTTTTTAACATATTATTTCAAAAACTTATAAAAGTCTATTTTTCGTATTTCACTTCTCAAAGTTGTGAAATCGGTTTTCAACATATTTTCAAATTTGACTAATTGTTAATTTTAATTATTACTTTTAAAATTTGAAGTCCTAGGACGGTTGAAATCTGTATTTTATCTGTATATTGTTAATATTATTGATACGTTCAAACTGCTTCATTCCAAAATATTATTGATCTGTTCAAACTGTTTCATTCCAAAATATTATTGACCTGTTCTAACTGCTTTATTCCAAAATATTATTGATCTGTTCAAACTGTTTCATTCCAAAATATTATTGACCTGTTCTAACTGCTTTATTCCAAAATATTATTGATCTGTTCAAACTGTTTCATTTCAAAATATTATTGACCTGTTCAAACTGCTTCATTCTAAAACATTTAAAATATGCTCAAAACGACTATTTGAAATCAATTTTTGTACTTCTTAGAATTTGACAAATAGGTCCTATACATATTAAATTATTATTATCATTTCAGATTTCAGGGTAATTTAATATAGTATTAAAAACAAATTATTATTTTAGAATTTTATTTTCTTTACACCATTTACTTAAACACATTACATTTTTTAAAGCACATATCTTAGAATGATAAATACAACTGTTTACATCATCTGACATACTATACTTATCATATAAACTAACTAAATTAGGACAAGTTTGATCTTCTAAATTAAAAACATTATTATTTTTGGATATTTCTTTAATCCAAGACATTTTTTCAAGACCTTTAGTGTAAATTTTTTTAATAGCTAAAATTGGTATAATATGATCCTTATGATTTGAATAGGGTATATGACCTTCTTTCCAAAATATTCCTCTATTTCTTTCAATCCAGCTTACTTGTCTTCGTTCCGTTGGTGTCAAATCATAGAATGGGTACGGTTGCTTATAAAGCAGAACTTGAATTCTATTATCATATGCAACCGCAAATTCTTTTAAGATAAAATTATTATTATCAATCTTAAAACCTTGAACGTCTACTATGGCAATCATGATATCTTGCGTACGATATTACTTAAAGGTTTATACTCTATAAGACGGTCATTTATAATGAGACAATATGCAGACGTACTTGCTGGAATATCTTCAGTACTTTCAATTTCTAATCGCACATCGACTGGTCCAGTTTTCAAAGTCTCGTTCTGTCTCGAGCAATCAATGATAAACAATGGCGCCTTTTCTTTAAAAGTATGCAGATCTAACAGGGGGTCCATATGAATGTTGTAATAAGACTGACGAAATTGAGTGTACATTTCGTATAATATACCATATTTATCTTCATCAAAGTTTAAGTTCAGTGATTCGTATGGATAGTAATTGGAGTTCAAAAATAATGTTACTCTAGATATTTTGCAATGATCGAATACAGAACAATCTTTTGCTTTATTAAACTTTCTATCAGTTTGCAGACCAAAGATAACATATCGTGGTTTCTCTGTCTGTGAAGCCGTTTTAACAGACCAAGAATGTTTTTGTTGTTTTAGGTAACAACGGATACTCATACAGATCCCAATTTCTAAAAGCAATTTGAATTGGTTTATCTTTTTCTAAATATTTGAGTAATGTAAGTTTCTCGCGATCTGATACTTTTACGTGAGGCATTCGCCACTGCACTCTTTGTAAGTCTATTTTTACATGAGAAAAATCATCTGAAAGTTTGATACTGTTTAGGTTTGTGTTGCTCCTGTTCAGTATTAGTTCATGTTTACAGTTCATAATTATTTTGTTATAATCTTCTGCAAATCCAAGTATTTTGTTTAAGGGTATAACAACGCTGAAATGACCATCGTTTGTAAATCCATTTATGTTCCAACCCCACAGAGCTGCAACCTTACTTTCCCCTCCGCTCATTGATACCAATGATTTCATTGTGGTCGTTACTCCAGCGTTTTTTATGCGATCGATTTCAATCCCATTTATTTCATACCTGATGTCTTGGAACAGAAACATAAAAGGGTTATTAGTAAATTCCACATGTCTTTTGACCGACTTGTTGTCCTTTCCGATGATGGTTGCATATCCTTCGATGTAGATGGTACTGGCTGAAGGCAATAGATACAAATCTTGCTGATGAATGGGGATTCGTATTTCGTCATTTTCCGCGAAACTATTATTATATGGATTATAGGTGTGTATTTCGTAATTTTCAATTGAGTTATCGAACTGAGGTAAACTTGTAACTTGAAGTATATTCATATTTTAAAACCAAGTGATCGAAGAAATTCTTTGTTCTGTTTTGTTATTTTCTTAACACCTTTAACACGTCTGCGCTTTTTAGCAATACAAGTATCAATGCTTTTAGCATTATTATTAAGAGGTTTATAAAATACAATCATTTTATTTTTCTTAAATGGAGGCGCAGTTGAATATTTTCTCCTCTGAAGTCAATATTATTACCGTCTTCATCAACAACTTTTATAGCTATAGATGTTATGTTTTTTTTGTTTATTGGTAAATAAATTATATTTTTAGGTACCTCTATGTATCGATAACCAGGCGGTATATCAGGCACAAATTCGTATAGTACATGCGATGGTAAGCCGTTAACAAATGATTCTTTAACAAGATCACACTCGATTCTTATAAGAGACAACGGTAGAATTCTGACTGGATTTTCGGATTCATGCCATTTGTTTGCATCTAATTTTATATTACGAAAACCAAGGACAGGTCCTAAACTGTTTTTAACATTAAAGTTAAGTGTTTCAGAGCAATATATGGAACATTTTAAGGTATTATTATTGGGTTGAATTTTAATCTCACAATCTTTTAAATTTTTTTCTAAATATGCAAGTATATCATACAAATCGTAATTACCATATGGTATATGCAATATTTTACCGTCATTACCGTAAGAAAATATGTTATTATTTTCATCTATATTTCTTACTGTATTAAATACAGAAAAATATAGTAAACCACACTCATATTTGCCATCTATACTTAAAGATGGCTGAAAATATGATTCAAGGAATGATTGATTACCAGTGATGGTTAAAGTAATAGACATGGTTGAATACTAAAGGTAATAATGTATTTGGGTATTATTTATTCATTTTTTTAGTTTATTACGCCAAAAATTCTCAAGAAACTTTATACATAAATGACCGCAGTTATAAGGATGATCTTGTTGAATATTTTCGTAATTATAATATACTTTTTTTCCTAAGTATTGGATCAGCTCTTTTGGTGGTTTTAAATTTCCATAGCTATCAAAGTATTCTATATAATCTTGACATTTAACATAAGCTACCCAATGAGTTACAGAATTTTCTGAGTGATCTAAATTAATAACACCACATTCTCTTTTAAGAGGACATTTTGGTAATTCATTTCTCATAAAAACACCTCGAAAATGTGGTATTTTAATCGCATATTTTAAAATATCGATGTTAGTAAGAGCTCTATTGGGTAGCCGATTTAGTTTTTTTTACAAGTTGTAAAAATTCCAAGACCACCGTTATGGGGTTTAACATGTAACCCTTTTCCAATTGAAAGAGATTCCATTTTTTCATTATGTCTTTTCAATTCTGATAAACGTTTCTTAGCAAGTTTGTAGTCATTTATAGCTTTAGCTATTGCAGCAGCTCCACCTGCTAAGCTTCCTGTTGCTGACAACCCCGCAAAAATAGGTATTAACGGAAGTATACCACCAGTTTTTGGTACAGGTATTATGCGCGGATGTTTTATAACAGAATTTGTAACAAAGTTCTTCGCAGCTGCCATTGCTAAATTAATTGCGGTTTTTTCACATTGAGGTTTGATTTTTTGTAAGTATTTTTTAGTATGGGAAACCACATGTTGAAACATTTTTTTTTTCAAACCTGAGCTTTGTCTCTTTTTTATCGATATGTTTTTTGCCTTTAAACCAGCTCCAATGCTAGCCTTAGCTAACATAGTATTTTTTACTAAGTTAGCTGCAACTTTTTCACATAGAGATGCATCCGAGGCAGTAGCACGCTTTTTCGCCATTTTCATCAATTTAATATCTGCTTTCGCCGATCGCTTAAAAGATGAAAAGTATGATAAGCAATATCGTGTTCTCTGCAATGTTCATCCAATTGGTTAATACCCTTATCTCCTCTGCTAAGTCTTTGAATTAATTTGGTTCCAGGACCCCCAATAATTATATCCAGGTAAATGAAGTTCAAACGGTAAGTGATTAATTAACCAATTTAGAAGACTGCATTCACTCATACTATGAAGGATACTAAATAAAATAAAGATGGATTTACTTTAAGTACTTTATTCATTTTTAACATTACAAAATTATCACTCATTACTCATTAAAACTCATTTGAAAGCTATCATAAAATATTAGAATTATGTATCCAGCTGTTTTCACTTGATGGTAGTCCTAACCATTTTACAAAAACTTTATTTCGATTTCTTTTCAAAACCTTCTCAACTAAATATATATTTGGATGTTTAGTTTTCTGTAGTTCGTAACTATAAAATGCGCCCAAAATCGGCTGACCTTTTGCATCTTCAATCAAGTATGTTACTGGATTTGTGGGTTGTATTTTTATGATCTTGAATACTTCTGTTGACCAATTTGGAGTATATCCTTTTTCAAATATTCCTTTGTATTTGCTTACACGTACAAAGTCTCCAACATCCATTTTTTGGGTATTATTATTTAGTTTTTCTTTAAATTTGTTAAAGTATCTTTGTTTTACATAATTTACATTATTTTTATTGACTTCTATAGGCTTTAATTCAATTGTTCTATGTTTGGTACGATTATATATTTGGATTAACTTATTAAGAGTACCATCTACCCATTTATAATTTCCTTTAAAACTAAATTCTTTATACATTTTTGTTTTCAAAGTTCTGATAAACCTTTCTGCGATTGAAGCCTTTTTTGAAGAGTAGGTAGAATAATGATTTATTGCATAGGTATTCATTAATTTTTGAAAACTTTTATTATAAAATTCTGTTCCAAAATCAGTTTGCAGGTTTTTAGGAATACGACCATTTTGCAAAAATTTTTTAAAAGCATCACAAACCTCATTTTTTCTTTTAGATTTAAGTGGACACGCCCAAGCAAATTTTGAAAATGTATCAATTACAACCATAATATATTTGAAACCTTGATTTTCATTGCACATTTTTTGCATATCGATCAAATCAGCTTGCCATAGGTCATCGATATCTTTAGTAACAACACATCTCCGTGGAAAATTTTTTCTTGCGTTTCTATGTATTTCGTTTACTATGTCTCTTTTGCTCATTTTGAGAATATTTAAACTCAATTTTCGTTTCCAAATTTCTTATTTTATTGTTTATTTCAGTAATGAATTCTTCATTTCTGTTCTTAAATTTTTTTAAAAATTCTGATATAGACTTATCAACGTATTCTTTCGTAGCGCTATCGGTGGCATCTACTGGATTTTTTAGATGTTTGATTATTTTGTTTTGTGCATTGAAATTATCATCATCAGTGTATGTTAAAATACACTGCAAAGGAAGTAAATTAGTGGAAAATCTTTTTTTCTTAAAAATATGATGCCCAAATTTATCTACATTCATGTTGAAGCTGTTACTTTATACTGATTTACATATATAAGATATTTTTCTTTTTATTCCTTGATTATACCTGCTTCCTTCAATTCTTCAATAATAGAAATTATTTCATTATCATGGCTGGTGTTGCCTGCGTCTTTAGAAGCGACTAGCAATTTTAGTCTTTCAATTAACTCATTTGGATCATCCCAATAAATAAAATCAGTGTTACGAGCATATTTTTTTAAATTTGGTATACCAGAACCAAACTTTTGATTATTTTCTAGCTCAGTTTCATTAAATAAAGGTTTTATAATGTCACGATATTTTATACTTTTGTCACCTCTTATTTGTCCCTGCGGATTGTAATCTCGTCTATGAGCACATGTATTATACAACATATCCTTATATATTAGCTGATCTTTGTCTGTGACTAATGTTAAATTAGGTTTTTTACAAAATAATAATTCTCTTAAACCGGATGACAGTTCATATTGCTTATTTTCAATATTTATCAAATTAGTTTTTTCATTATTGCTGGGATTAACTAGGGTGGATAATTTGACTTTTGAATTCCCCATGAATAAATCTCTACCTACGCTGCGTACGCCAAATGGTACATTTAAGCTGTCATAAATATCTGCAATTTCATTCTTTTTTAACGACCTCTCTAAAACTTTATTTATCATAGTTGGACTTTTAATAATATCATCATTTTTAGAAGTTTCAGACACATTTGGTGGATCCATTTCATCTAAACTAGCTGAAGTTTTATATAAATTTTCATGATCTGAACTTGCATTTCCTACATATTTAGAAGCATCCTCTTTTTGCGATATTGTATTTTGAATATGTTTATCAATTTTAAGGAGTGAATGCAACGGCTCAACAACAGGTCTTAAAATTTTGTTTACTGATAAATTAGTCAGTTCTTCATCTTTTTTCATATTTTTAATTTTCTTTTTTATCGAACAGACTGATTCAATCAAACGTGATTTTATGTCTTTTTCCATTTCACTATATTTAAAATTAAACGACTACTGTTTACAAATAAAAAAATGATACTAATCATGTTAAATTCAAGAAACATATTTATAGCTATTTAAAATTGAAAAAGACATCAAATCCTTTTCTGTATCTTCCTTTGTCTACAGCACAATCCTTATTAATGATTACAAAACTAAACGGTTCTTTCCATACTTTTGAACAAAGATTTTTGAATTCAATCCAAGTTAAATCAGTATTTACGTGTTCGTCATATATGTGTTTTAGATTTATATCGTCTTGCTTGAATATTATCAAAAAGTTAGTGTTATCTCGCACTAGCTGTTTTGGAATCTTTGAATATGTTTGAGACAAATAAAAGCAGTCTACTTGTTTATGTCTCCCCATTGCAAAAAAATTACGAATATTACTTTGGTTATCACAAACTACATCATCAAAAATCATAATAGAATTATTCAAAACATCATTAGGATCTATAACTTCCTTTTCATTATTAAAAATAAAAAACTTTATTTCAGGAATCATTTTCATAACTTCATTTAAAAATTGATACTTCGGTTGAAATGCCGTTTTAGAATATAAGTACAAATTTTTAAATTTCAAACCATTTTCATGAAGCAGTAAGCTTAACATCACATTAGTTTTACCACAGTTAGACGGTCCGCATATTAAGCAGCGTATTGAATTAGGTAGTAGTATGCTATGTTTAACGAAATCCTTGTTTTCTAAAATCTGTACATTGTATATTTCTATTGAAAGTGGTTGCTTTATTAGCTTCATGGTATTGACTGATTACTTTTAAATAAAAATAGTCTTTTATATTTTATGATGTAATAAAAAGTAATTCATCTTTAAATTTCACTAATAATAATTTTAAATTTAAATTCATCAAAGCTTTTACGCATCAGCTGGGTATAATAAAAATAAAACAATATTCATATAGAATTTTATAATCTTTATTAATTTTCTACATTAACTTCTCAAACTCCTGTTTACATATAGTTCAAATAATATGTACCAATTATAATTTAACTATTTTACTTATTATTTTAAATAAGTGACATAATCAGTATAATATGTTATCCCAATGCCCCCAAGGTAAAGTTTGTATATTGTCTGTTAAAATCTGTCTTTTGTCATCACTTCGATCAAGTACAGTTTTATAAACTTCTTGAGTATACAAAACATGTTTAAGTGACCGAATAACATTCATTTTTTGCTTGTAGCGTTTATCAGTCATCAAAGCTTTCTTGAATTTAGTCGTAGTAATTTTCTTTGTAATAGGTCTAGAAATACCTTTTGCTTTTTTTATTTGAGTATTAATACTGTTTATACAATACAATTTTGCTCTCAAACCAATGAATTCAGTTAGCACGTCACCACCTAATTCGTCTTTAAATAATCCAGGAATTTTGTTATTCATTTTAGAAATGCCATATATATTATTATTTGGAAAGTTACTTGTATCAAAATTTAAAGAATTTTCTTTTATGTCCGCATATATATCGTCTGTTTCTATCAAATAAAGTAAGCTATCAGTATCTGTATAGCAAAGTTTCGCACAGTCGTGATACTTCTCTTTAATATAGTCATAATGAAATTGGTATAAATGTTGCTTGGCGTATCCCAAAACAGTAAATCCAATGTAAATGGGTCTATCTAACAGAACTTTTTCATATTCCAATTGAATCGCAACAAAGTTTTCATCGAAGATTGATATGCTTTTAAAATTAGGTTTTGTCAATAATTTTGCGGCACCAATGCGTTTGTTAGATACGTTATTATTATCTTCCCAACGTGATACTAATCTTACATCGACTTGTTTTCTTCTGTTTTCAATTGTTTTCCCAAAAATTGAATTATTTAGTAATTTAAACAAATCTTTCTGAAAATTTGATTTAGATGCTTGACGTAGGCGAGTATTTAAATCAATGTAATTCTTTAAAAAAGGTTCTTGACGAAAACTTAGTACCCGATATATTTTTTTTAAGATCAAACCATGTTTTAAACATAATTTCAAATGAACGTAGTGAATAACGTATTTATTTTTATTATAAAGATTAGCAATTAATTTATATGTTTTACCACCTGGAGGTATTATTTTTTCCGGTGCAAATGGCAAATCACTATGAGCATTATGGAGGTGGTCTGGATAATCTAAGTCAACCTCTAAAATATAGCCATATTCCGACTCATCTGTTATATTTAATACATTAAAATTCGTTTTCTCATCTTCAGATAGTAAACGGAACTCAGAAATAGGCAGCTTTTTCATCATAGCAAATCCATATAAATTATTGGCATCAAGATAAATTAGGTATTTAGAAATTTCTGAGTTATCACAATTCGGTAGATACTTGTTATTAGCTTTAGCATATCGATGAGAACATTGCGATAACCCTCCACGAATACCTCTTTCTATTAACTGATATATTTCTAAATCACTTATTAAATCCAATCGAACGCCTGTATGCAGTAACATAGCATCCCAACTTAAGCTAGGAGATGATACATAATGCGCGGGATCTAATTTGTAATATTCCAAGCATGTATTTCTAAAGTTTTCAAAAATGTCACATAATAATAGGACATCTGTTTTTAAATATAAATCTGTGTATTCACCAATTGTGTTTATGTTAAAATTATCCCATACTTTTTGTGCTCGTGCATATTCGTCATAAGTTATATGTTTCATGGTTAAATTATTATAAAAACATTCTTTTGGTGGCAAAGATTTTTCTTCATATTTACACCAAGAATCTACGTAATCATAAGGAAATATACCTTTCTCTTTTAACAAGTTAAAGTCAATATGATTTCTGAATTCTTCTGAGAGATGAATGTGTTCATTTTCAGATAAATTTTTACTTAATTCATTCAAACTAGAACTTAAAAACTGAAAGGAATCTATAAATTTAATTTGAACGTTGCGAGAAGTGTGCTCGTTATAAATTATTTTAATTATTGTTAAATACTTTTCTTTTGTTTTAGGTATAACTTTTATGTCTCCCACATGGTGTGCTAATTCTTTGATAAAAAGATGGCTGTCATAACCACATAAATTATGAAATACGACTGGTATAAAAGAATATTCTCTTAACATGAGATTGCAGTGAGAATGTGCTGGACCCCGATATTCAGAAGTAATATGATCGTGGTCAGCAACTTTATCTCCCAGCAAAGGTTCATTACAGATGTGACAAGTTGTAGCATTTAAATAAGCATTTCTTTGTTTATCGGTTAGTGGATTCATTGGTTTATTAACAGATAATAGCTTATCAATATCTTTAACATCTTCAATTAAACGTTCTATAAAGATTTTAACACAATCCGGACCTCTATATGATACATATTTATTTAACTTAGAATCATGAGAGCAACAAATATAGTAACCAAAACAAGATGGCTCGTGTAACTGTAAATTAACCGTATTACATGTTTGTTCATTTTTATTACATTTCAACAATAAACTTTCAAAATCTGCATATATTATAAAATTTATTTTTATTTTTCGCTCATATCTTTTAAACTGTAATATGCTATTTTCTTTCGGCAATATGGTTAATACTTTAGAACATTGGTGTGACATAAATTTCTTTTTCGACGAGAAATGTTGAAGACATGAATCACAGAAATGTAATTTGCCATTATGTTTTGAAATCTGTGGTCGCACAAGACGTGACAAATCTGTTATTAAGCAATAGTGACCCTTATTATATTTCTCAATGTATAATATATTGACATGGTGTACTTTTCTTGAATTACATATATAAAGCGGGCCAGTTACTTGGTTACAATTATCGAGACCATAAATGTTGAAACTTATATTAGAATTTTGCTTTTCAAAAGTTTTGAGATCATGTGTAGTAGGTGGAAAAGACATACCATCTATTTTGAACACATTACTATAATGAGGATAAGATCTAGTTCTACATACGTTATTTTTTGCTGGATATAATGCTGCAACTATACTCCATAAAAAACAGTGATCGTCTTCATTTTTAATATTAATACAACTCTTAGTATTTTTAATAGTCGCAGGGAGTTCTATATAACTACTTCCCTTCATAGGCGAGTATTTATTCACGTTTATTTCTAAATGACTAATTGTTCCAAAAGTCCAACCAGACTTGCAATGTTCGAATTCAGCCATTTTCATTTTCATAGAGTCTATTACTAAAGAAAACATTTCTTTCAGATCAGTATTTCGACATAGAATTTGAAATTTTGAATTAAATGACTTGAGTTGTTGTTGATCAGAACTTGGTAAATAAAATAGAGCAAAGAGTTCAAAATTAACTTTCACACATGTATGTTCAGTAATTGAGAGCTCAATGATCTTTAATATATCTTTTTCATTATCTTTAAGAAATGACTCGGGAGTAAAGTACTTTTCTATATTCTCAGGCTGTAATCTATATGTTATAATTCGATTTTTAAATGCAGAAGCAATGACTTTTATATTATCAAATTTTGTATTCAACAAGCAATTTGCCTTATGTATATTACTTCTCAAATGGTAATTATATTTATTTCTTAATGTATATAAATTACAGTATTTACAAAACTTAATGTCTTTGTCTTTTTCTTTATTACTGGTGTCGACAACTGTGAACAAGAAATAAAATACGAATATATAGAAAATACGAAACTTGAAATATTCATTTATTATAAAATAGTAAGTTTTAAAACGTAAATGAGTATAATATGACAAGATTAGTAGGATAGGTAAATGTACTTTATTAATATTAATACATTATATTAATAAAGTAAAACGTTAAATATATATTATTTACAATAAATGTGAATTTATGAAATTTGGCGAACATTCCTTGAACTCCTTTCGGACTTCGCTTAAATATGCTGATAAATGTCGCCAGGACTCGGTATCAACATTTGTTCTATTTTTAAGAGCAACTATTGCATAACGCCATCTATTCATCGGAGATACGCGCTCGATTTCTTCGCATTTATATATTTTTATTTCGACAAAATGACTGCCAGGCTTATCAAACTTTATTTGTCGTGAAAAGCCGTTTGTTACCCGTTTTGTTAAATAAGATACTAAAGGAGATGTATTTTTACATGTTACATCGTTGATTTCACCATCATCGGAGTCTACGCCGAAAAGATCTTGAGCGGTGACTTTGGCTGATCTTGATTTCTTTCCGCTGGACCGAACACGTACTATAGCGTCCCCGCTAGTTGAAGGCTCGTTTCCATGAGAGTTATGCCCTCGCTTGTTTTTCCTCACAGCTTTCTTCTCTTTCCCCTTCGGCTCGGTCCTCTCTTCAGAGGAAGACTCTTCTGATAGAAAAATGTTTTCATGGTTGCTTGACCTGAAATTAGAAATAATTATAACTTTAACAAAAACTGTATGTATCATAAAAAAAAGCTGTATTAACTTTAAGTTTGCATCGAATACTAAGTTTTAAATATCTAAAAAAAAATAATATATATCTTCTACGATGTCTCGGGATTCGAATCTGAAACCTTTAAATAACTTCTTCTTTCTGAGTTCGTTTTGCGAATAGACGATTTGTTTACACGCTCTAATCATTAAACTAGACATCTGTTAAGAACTAATGTGAATATTTTCGATAGAAATGGTGAACATTATTTATGCAATGTAGGAAGGCTGAACTGATTTTGATCTAACATTCACAAAAGATACAAAAAAAAACACAGAAGCTGCCAACTGCTGTTCTTAATATTTTTAAATAAGGTACCTCCAAGTTATTATAATTCAATAATGTAAATTAAAAATTATTGTAATTCTAGTATCATTCAATCCTCAGAGAAAAATCAGACAATTTCATCAAAGTTGAAAAAGAACGTCTGGTTGGATGAATTTATCGAAACTGTTTAAATCATTCTAATATTATAAATGCGAAAGTGTGTTTGTTGATTTGTTGGTTTGTCCTTCAATCACGCCGCAACAGAGCTACAGATCGACGTGATTTTTTGAATGGGTATAGTTGAGGATCTGGAGAGTGACAGAGGCTACTTTTATCCCGGAAAATCAAAGAGTTCACGAGGGATTTTAAAAACTAAATCCCCCCGAGGACTAAGTCGCAAGCATCAGTTAGTAATTAAATAAAAATTACTATTCTATTTTCTTGTATCCGAAGAATTTTATATGACTATGTTAAATTGATACAGTGAAATGGAAAATAAAATCTAAGATATAAAAGAAGTACTTACATGTTGGATGAAATTCACGAAAATTTTACTTAATTCACGAAAAACACTGATGAACACTTCAACTTGGTTAGGTACCTACTTGTAAAAAAAAAAAAAAACAATTGGAGCTGAGGAATTCTGTCACCTTTGAAAGTAGGACTTGAAAATGACGGCTTGATGGGCACCAGCCTATAAATAGTTTCAAAAACTTAAAATGTGTGTGTAGACAGTTAAACACAAATTGTTCGTATGTAAGCTGACTGTCAATATGTGTGCAGATTAATCTAAAAAGCGGAGATAGCACAAATTATTTTAAAAATGAACTTTACATATTCCCCTAGTTCTGTCTACCATATTTATTCTAAAATATGACTTGATAATCTATGTGCGTACAACTTGACAAAACATGGCTAGAGAGTTATTATGATAGTTTCAGTAAACATCGATAGGATCAATTTGCACCCGACGACGCCGCTCTGTCGGGTGTCCTTTTATGGTAAGGAATGTTCAATTTCATCACGTTACATCTTACAGGTTAAAACATGTTGGAAACTGAACTTGGAGGACTAAGCATTTTATCCATACTAATATTGAGCCCTGGCGTCACACGAATAGCATAATGGAACCATAGATACGTCTTCAAATGAAAATCATTTAGTTTCTCGATTATGAGATTATAGCTCATACACAGACAAACTTGGTCTAAGAACTTTGTTTTATATTTACTTACTGATGATTTACAAAGAAAATTCAAGTTATTCTCAATCAGATCCTCATTAAGAGCGGTCCTATGTGAATTTGTGTGTAATAAAAGTATCTTTGACTGTGCGTGCACTAAACCTACTTAATTCACAAAAAACCTTTCTTCGGTCTACAGCATTTTAGATTTTTTTGGGGAAATGGAAGTAAGTTAATATTATAAGTCTTATATATATTTACTAGTATATAGGTATATTAAAGTCTCATTCATAGAACATTTAAAAACTGTGAAAGCGGAATTTTAAGTCATTTAATATTATGAATAAAATGTTCTATACCAAATACTTTAAAATACACTAATAATAAGTAAATAACTTTCAATAATAATTTTTATTTCAGGACTCTGGAGACTTATTCAGATTTATACCAAATAACCCAGAAGAAAAGAGCAGTAAAAGATCAGCGGATGCTAATACACTATATTCATATATGAAAATACCATCAAAAGGTACCAAAATTATTCGTATTCAAATATATGATGTGGAACAATTGCAAAATAATGAGGATAAAGTATGCAAGTGTAATGCAAATCTATGTATACAGCACGTAGTACAAAACTTGTTCCGGGATGATATTTATAGAGATGTTACTAAAATTATCACTCAAATGAAAGAACAACTAAGTGATTAACGTAAAACTATAAGTTGTATTCTTTACTTTATTAAATAACTATTTTTATAACATTTCAGTAAGTAAGTATTATTTGTATTCGGTTTGGCAGTATTTTAATAAAATAAAAATCTTTATTAAGTCACATGTCGTTTTTATTTTAAATACACTAATAACTTGATAATATTATAGGAACCAACCGAAATTGATTTATGTGTTACATACAAAGTTTTATTTATGTAAACCAGAAATCAATTTTCGAATCAAGCAGTTTTATCCACGCAGTATTGTTAAAATACCAATATGAATATACCTATTACATAACTGCATAGAGAGTGACGCTGTGTTTACATTTGGGTAAAACCATTTTTTTTTAAACTGTAAATGACATTCCTTTACCAGTCTATATAAGTAGTTAATATAATAAATTAAATGAAATTCTTTGTATGTTGATAAACAGACACAAAAGAAAAAGTAAAAATACAAAAAAACTTTTATAACTTTTTGAAATAATATGTTGAAAACTGATTTTACAAGTTTTGAGAAGTAAAATATGAAAAGTAGACTTTTATAAGTTTTTAAAAACTATGAAAACTGGACTTTTCTAAGTTTTTGAAAACGTGAATTGAGAGAGATGGATCTTCTTTGATCCAGCTCGCTCAATTCACCACTACTTAAATGAGAGGTGGAAACTAGCTAAAAATTCATAATATTTGTATTTTTTTTTATTTTCTAAAAGTTTGTTCTAAAATTAGCTTTGATTTGTAAAAAAAGTTGATTTCCCTTCATACTTAAGTAAACCCCAAGGAAAATTGGGATTTTTATTCCAGGCTTAGGACTGGCAATACACATGGACAACTAAATTAATACTAGCTGTGATCTGCGATTTTATCCGTTTAGTTTCGGTTCCCGTGTGATTATTGATGATTCTCGGATGTCCCATCGATCACTATACCAAATTTCATCAAAATCAGAAAATATAAAACGTAGATAGAGTTAATTTCGCATCCCTTCTAATATTATAAATGTGAAAGTGTGTTTGTTTGTTCGTCCTTCTTTCACGTCAAAACGGCTGAACCGAATTTGTCAAATTTTGATATACAGATAATTGCGGACTTTCGAGATGGCCATAGGTTACGTTTTATCCCGGAATTCTCACAGGAATGGGAACTACGCGGGTGAAATCGCAGGACGCAGCTAGTTTATAATATAAGTTAGGAATAAACTAATGACCATGAATACTGGCGTATTTAAAAATCAACTTTATATACATACAATGATTACTTTTTTTTAATGATTTTATAGCTTTTTTTATTCTTATTTTGTTTTTTTTTTTTGTTTTTCGATTTTTCTTTTCGCTTATTGAGATATTTATTTACATTTATTAAAAAGTATATACACTATTGATTTTTTAATTGCAACCAATGAAAACTAATTGCGATATTTTTTTGGTTTTTAAACGTGTCCGTTTATCGTTTAGTATAAGCCCTGCCTTTGAAAAAACACGCTCGCACGGTACGGATGTGGCCGTGATGTTGAGGCGTGTTAACATATATTTATAGAGACGCGGATACACCGCTTTTCTTTCATTCCACCATAGCAATGGGTTTTCTTTTCTATATATTATTGGCTCCTGAAAGTATTTGTCAAATTCTGCTATGCCAGCGGCGGTTGGATTTTGTGGCACAAAAACAGCTACTTCAGCATCAAAGTCGTCCCAAATTGACCCAGTTGAAACTGACAGCGGCTGTGTTGAGACTGTACGTTCTTGCTCTTGATCGGGTTCCAAAGATCGATCTGAGCCTATTCTCAGTTTTAAATTTGATATAGCTCGATCAAAATTATGAGGAATACTAAATCCGTTTTTTTTTAAATCTCGGATCTAGTATAGTAGCCTCACAAAGAAGAACATTCTTCTCAACCTCGCCAAATCTTTGGTTCATATGTGATTTCAGTGACTGGTAAAGGCGTTGAATATTTTCTATACTATTTTCTAATATGTATTTGTTTAGTGCTTGATTTATAATTTTAGTGTAAACAATATATTTAGATGCAGAAACATATTCTTCACTACTAACTTCGACTGTTACGTCATAAAAAATCTTTAAGAGTATTGTTGACTCCTTTATTACTTTCCAGTCCTCCAGAAGGAGATTCAGGTCCGGGTGCATTATTGCCAAGGTGGAAATAAGAGCTTCTTTAATTTTTAAGACTCTCACCAACATGTCATATGTGGAATTCCACCTAGTGACCACATCCATTTTTAATTTTAACGGTGTTAGAGACATTTGGTCCTATATTTCAAGCAATTTCTTTTTTGCGGGATTACTTCTGTGAAAATATTCCACAATGGCTTTCACTTTGTTTACCGTTTCTACTATTTCTTGGATACTAGATTGCACTACCAAATTTAGTGTGTGCGCATGGTATTGACCGCCAGCCTCCCAGACGAATAGCACTAAGCACATTTGGAGCATTGTCACTAATTATCACATTCACGTGTCGGTGTATGTTCCATTCTGTAAATTTAGATAAAAGAAAGTTTTTCAAATTTTCAGTCGTATGTCTCTCTTCAAATTCTATACATCCCAGCATGGCAGTGCACAGCTTATGGTTTTCTGTATTGATGAAGTGGGCGGTGATAGCGATGTATCCGTCATTTACAATGGAAGTCCAAGCGTCGGTTGTAATACATATTGCTGCTGCTTTTGATATTTTTATTTTTACTGCTTCTAAAATCTTATTGTATACCTAAGGCAATAAACTTTCTGATAATGTTTTTCGAGTCGGAAGGGTATACCCAGGACTCAACATTTCAACAAATTTTCTAAATTCAATTTCTTCTACTACACGGAGGGCGTGATAGCCTTTAGCAATCATTTAAACTAATTGCTCGTCAAGCATTTGAATTTTATTCCGTGGTAGTGGTTTTTTATTAATTATATAGTCTACCATAGAGGGACCCATAGGCCTGTTAGTTACTCGCACTGTATTGGTGGGTGCTTCTTTGTGTTCTAAGCCTCTGTATGATGGACCCTGCTCTGTATCTGCGATGCTATCGGGAACTGATTCAGGTTGCCTTTGGCTATTTATTTCTATGGTTGGATGGTTAGATTTTAAATGCCGGCTTAAGCTTCCTATGGAACTAGATGAAATTGCAAGCACACGAAAGCAATAACTACATTGCGCTTTTTTGCTTGGAACAACTTCTTCAAAGTGATTCCACAGGGGACTTACTTTCCGTTTAGTAGCCATATTACTAAACAAACACTAATAAAACGCCTACTCAAAAATACGAAAAACTTATTCTATATTCGAATATTGACACAGTCACAGAAGTACTTTAACTTTACTTAACAATAATTCACCGTTATTATTTAACTTCAGTAGTCAATACTTCATTTATAATTTTATTTTTACAAGCAACGTAAACAAACAAAACATTTTAATAAATGTAAAAGCAGAAATTTGAACTCGAATTTTAGCGGCAGTCAAGTGCGTAACGCATTATTAAAAAGTATTATGTACAGTGTTGTGCTATAATATTAAGTGCCTTAGTTTTCTTAGATACGATTCATATTTCACTTAAAAAATGACGGAAACCCGACACGGCTCAGTAGCTCGCTCTCACTCATACTAACGAAAATAATGTACAGCTAGAGAGTCAGAGCATGACTGGTTGCAATAGTGCGCCGCGCATCACCGTGTCTCACTTAGTAAGTGAAGTTAGACAGAGCAAATAGATAAAAAATCCGACATTCCGACCGAACAGAGCGCGTAATGTCAAGTGTGATGTGTAATACTCACAGAGTACATTGTAATAGTAATACTTCATTTCGTCGCGTAATGTGTGATGCTATATTTCATGTTCGGGTAATATCACGCGTAATGTATCAATTGCATTACTTACACATGTCTATTAACATCAAACTAAATATAAATATTATTAGCTAATTAAGTCCTTTTTCAATATAGGCAATTACAACTAATAAAATATTAAAGATTGATTTGATAATAACAGATAACTTATGTTTGTTTCCCTGCGCACGCGCTCGTCTGCTTCTCTCCGCCATTTTGACAGTGAAAAGTGACAAGTAATGTCACATCTTTTTTTTATTAGGTTGTCTATAAGATAATGTTTCGTTTCACGTATGAATATTTTAACCTAGTTTGGCAAGGCACGTTTAATATTTTTTCTTTTTTGACGTATCGTATTTGACCCGCCAGGCCTCAGGAGGCTACACAAAAGGAATCACAGACAACTACAAAAGACTACTATATAATGTGATAGCAACCGCAAATTGTCAAGAGATGGCGCTTGAGAGTTGTATCGAAAATATTGATTTTACAATAAAATCCTTATATTACAGCTAAGATATTGTCTACACCAAATTGACATCTTACGCGGTTGGCGATGTACTTCACGACGTTGCCTGCAATATAACCAACGATGTGATACTTACAATCTAGGTGGTCAATATATGCAATTTCAGGCGTGATATGTTCTTCAATCGGTGTTACGAGTACATTTATCAATTCTTTGTCAGCATCGTCAAATCTTTTTGCCACAGTTGAAGAATTTCCCTACAATGCATGATTTGTTATTTTTATTTAAAAAAATATATGTGATTCTATGGTGTAGACACCTGAAAATGTAATTAAAAAAAATCAAATTCAGTGAATAAGTAGATATATATTTATTTATGATGTTCCATATGTGGTACATTATGCACTTACACTAGTATTTGGCTTTTAAGTAGGAACAATCGAAAAATCAAATATTTACATTAGCACTGTTGATATTTTTTAAAATATCGGATTTTCGATATATCGGCTTTATTTAAAAAAAAATATTGTAAGGCAGGTCAAAAATAATTACACAGTTTATAGTTCAGTATATTTATTAAACAAATTAAATTATAAATGTATAAAAGTGTTAGGATATAGTTCTTAGTAATTATTGTTTAATTTAAGTGAGACAATCATGTGTACCAATATTTTTCAGTAAGAGTTTTTGAAAATACCCTTTGTTTTATATGTTCAGCTGTTTGACTACTACGATTACGATTTGGCTCCCAATCCGCCTTCGCCGTGATATGCATATCCTTTCATTCCTTTTCAATATTCTTAATGATCCCAATTCTCCTTCATACCTTTGTTCTCGCTTCCAAATTCTCCCTACTCCTACTCGTTCCAGGCGGCCTTGCATTACTGCGATGCTTGACATACCCAAGAGCAACACTAAGTTCTTTCTACAATCTTTTTCGGTGTATGCCGCATTGCTTTGGAACAAACTTCCGAAAGACATCCAATTAAGCCCCTCTATAACTGCCTTTAAAAAGAAAATAAAACAGCACTTTCTCACCCAAGTTATTCCACAATAATTATATTAACTACTATTATTATGCATTATATTATATAGATATGTATTTGTGTATGTAGTAGTTTGTACATATATTTATGTATATAATATGTATAATGTTTTGTTATATGTATATATAATATATATTTATTTAAGTATTTACATTTGAGTTACTGCACTTTAGCCTGCATTTTAATACTATCTCTCTAACTCACTTAGGTTGACTGGAAGAGATCTCTTCTAGAGGTAAGTCCACCTTTGCTAACTAATTTTATTGTTTGTTACTCTCTGTATTTTACATATAAGTGCAATAAAGAATAGTCTCTAATTATTAGGCACTAACTGATTGATTGTAGAAGCAACTAATTCAGATGCTACAGATGTAGCAGAAGAAATTAAATATTTAACAGCTATTTCTGATAGCACGGGAGTAAAATGCCTACTATCGATCCAAAATTTTAGCGCATTTCAGCAGGGGGCTTAGCCATATTACAAACGTTTCCTATCTTATCTCTTTCTATCATTGGTAGCGTATTGTCGATAGCTATTTTAGAAAACGATTTGATGCTAGCCATATCAACAAAACTAGTGTCTACAGTGTCAATCGTTCATTCTACAATGTGGATCGAAAAATAGCTTATTGTGAGCGTTCCTATACACGTCAAAGTCACGGTCTTGTTTGAAAAATCAAAATATGTTTTGTTTTGTGATAAAAAAGTGAGTGAATTATAATGGAAATACTTGAGTGTTCAATATTCTTATTTTAACGTAAGGATATTTACATTTTACGTCAAGAATGCAGCTTACGTGAGGTCGATGTAGAGTGGATGTTTTTGTTCAGCACCTATGAAGTGGTTGATAAGTGATTTAAAATCGTCGCTTAAGTAAGTATAGCATTCCTTCAGAGTAATTAATTTATATTTTATTTGACAAAATGAAGTGACTCGTAATGTAAGTCGTCACTTTAAGAAAAATAGTTTTGTCTTAAAAAGGGTCTATTGAAATATTTATGTATTTGACTTTGTAGTTGTTAGTGTTACGGGGATGGAAGTGCGTAACGGAGGGGAAAGAGCTTTACTTTAAAATGGGTTAGTTAGCTTAAGTTCGACACATTTCTAGCTGGGGTACTGAGTCTGTGTGTGTTGTTAATATCACAGTGCCAAATACAAATAAATTATTATAGTGAGGATGGAGTCCAGATGCCGAGCTAGCCCAGAACAATTTTCAGCTTTACTAGAATTCATGGAAAGGTACGTATATTATTATTAGTTATCTCAGCTTATAGTCATACTCAGGAACTAGAAAAAAACGAGGCTACTCTTACTGAGGCTTTAAACTATAACTGTATATTTCAACAATGTAATGTAGACATTTTCCCTAACACCTTAAGTTTATTTAAAGAGAAATTGTATTTAAATATTTAGATAAGATTAAATTGTTGAACAACTTCAATGTCACTACCAATTTTAATTTATTAGAAGACAACACCGGGGTACCTATATTGTCAATATATAATATCCACTTTTTGCCCAGTTTTGTTTATTGGGCCATAAATTTTTTGTTTCTTGGCCGATTTCGATGTTTTTTTTTCAATTTATGGAGGATAAAATGCACTTTGATTTGATGATATATATATATATATATATATATATATATATATATATATATATATATATATATATATATATATATATATATATTTGTTGTATATTATTTATCATATTTGCGTTTTGTCGCATTATATAGGGGATTGTAACTGAAGATCTTTTTTAATTTATTCCTCAACCACATAAAATTTAATTAAAATATTTCTACACAAAGCTGTGCCTTTTAGTTAATTAAATAGAATTAAATAGAAAAGAAGAAAATTAATTAAATAGAAAATAGAGAACTATTATTGTGTTAAACTCATGTCACTATGTAAATATAGTTAGTAAGCCTTTGACAAAAAATAAATAAAATATAATAGGTTTACTACTTGCATAGAAAACAAACAAAACTATTGTATTCACCAGCAAAGATGCTTGACACCTCTAGGTAAATTTCTAAGAAATTAATTAAAATTCTAAGAAATTTATTGTTAACTGACATGCCGGCGTGTCCGCGCTCGTGGAGGGATTAATCAATAGACCCTTTATTTTTCTAATATAGTTTTAATTTATAGCCATGGAGATATAGCAAGACCCCAACAAGGGGCTCAAGGCAGGATAAGGGCAGACCATCTATGGCAGGAGTTGAGAGAGTTACTTAACTCCATTGGTGGAGGAGTCAATAGATCAATGGAAAAATGGAAAAAAGTGAGATCCATTATTTTAATTCTCAAGAAAAGCTCTCAATAAAATTATACATTTTTTATAGGTATTTCAAGCTCAGACTAGTGTTAGCATATTTATCTATTTTAGTTTAATTAAAACAATTGCAAACCAATCATAAGGTACAATAAATATTTACTATATAGTAAAACGAGTCAAAAATAATTATATGAAAATATGTCCTTCATCTTTCTCACACAACTTTAAACATACTAATAAAATCTGTTCATTATAAATAAACAGAATAATAGTAGATATCAGTGTATATAACAATCTGTTCACTTAATTGACTGTATAATTAGATAACAACTTACATTATTTAACATTAACTGACTAATATCTGCAGGTGTGGGCGGATTGGAAAGCCAAAACAAAAAAAAAGGCCTTGGCAATGCGTCGCGAGGCTAGTGGTACTGGTGGTGGTCCAAGCAGCAGACAAACTCTCACAGCTTCGGAACAAAGGGTGTTGGGCATAATGGGTTTGTCTGCTGTTTTTGGTCTAGTTGGAATTGAGGAGAGAGGATTTGATGTTAGTTATTTACTTTCCTTGTGATTTTTGTAGTAGTAGTTGTAATAATAGTAATATTAGATTACTACTACCCACTAATAAGTGGGTTTAGGTTGAATTCTTTAATGTATATTTGTCATATTCTCAGGAACCACCACTTCAAGGAAGCCCTCTACCATCACCATCCAGAGATACCGTCCACACTGAATTTCCCTCCCAAACTGCCGCAGACGAGATTATGTTGTATTCTATAGAAGGTACTTTCTACTTGTATTCATTATGTGCTAAAATGTATTTGCACGTGAAGGATTATAATGTATAATTCACACCTTGCTTTGTATTGCCCAAAGGGTTAACAAAGCGTTAAGTCATATAAATAAAAATTAAATGCTGTTCATTGGTAAGGGCATTATTTGAGAAGTAATATATTTATATATCAGTTTGTAACTATAAGTTTTGTTTCCTCAGCGTCTCCTGCCCCATCAGCTCAACTGCCATCTCCCTCTATACTTTCACGTCTTCCTCCAACCCGAGTGTCAACACCACCGCTCGCCTCTGTGACCACGCCGATGCCGTCAGCGACGTCTCGTAATACAACTATACGAGGCGAACCACAACGACGAAGGCGTCCGGCGACCCCTTCGCCCGTGGCGTCACCTGCCACGTCTACGCCGCGGCGGCATAGGCTGCTTCGAGCACGCACAAGGCGAGTACAGACACCATTCGAACGAGCCACGAGCGAGTTCGTAACCGTCGAGAATCGCCGACTGCAATTGGAGGAAGACCGCGAAAAAAATAACCATCAGAGGGAGAATGGAACGCCTTCGATTGGAATCACGAAGGATTGAAATGGAAGAAATCCAAAATCAAATGTTTAACCGTTTAACTGGGATTCTAGATAGTTTGACAGAAATTTTAACTCAGTTGAGACCATCATCACTGGCTTCAACAGTTATTCTGTCTTGATGTGTCCAGTAATGGGGGCCTCACTTGTGAATGTGTCAAATTGTCTGAATTTTCAGCATCTTTTATTTCAATCCTTTGCAATTCTTTTCAAAAAGGAAATAGGTATTTTTTTTTAAATACAGATTTTTATTAATGTTTTTAAATTTATTTTATTTTTGTTAATACATTTTAAGTACATTTTTATGCTAAAAACCTCGTCTTCCTTACAATAAGAGTTTACATAATAATAAAGGCATTTAGTATAATGAAAACATTTGTTTCATTTTTACAATTACTTATTAAATATTATATTCATACATTTTATAATATACATATACCTAGTAAAAAAAGAAAAATGCAAATATTCACATTAATATTAGTGATGTAGATAACGAATATTCGAATATTTTTTGACAAGTATTTGCCTGAAACGAAATAATTTCCCATTTGTTCTAGTTAGTCTAATTGAAAAATTTAAAAATATCACATCTAAATAAAAAAAAGAATATCCAGCCTTATATTTAAAAAAAGATTCTAAATTATCTCTTTTGTGAAGAACGAACTGAATTGACGACACGTTTGGCTCAGTGTGTAGTGACCCTACTTGTTGTGCCAGCGGTCGCGGGTTCGAGGTCCGCTGGGGGCATTCATTGTCTGATGAGCATGAATGTTTGTACTCCAGTCATGGGTGTTTATATTTAAAATATGTATGTTTTTAAAGTTTATATATGTGTAGTGTATCAACTATCTGGTATACATAACACAAGCCTCGTAGCTTACGATGGAACTAGATGGTGCTGTGTGTTAATGTCCCAACATGTTAAAAAAAAAACTTGAGAAGACTAATCAAATTAATAACAATATCTAGGACTTATAACTCTTGTTACAATTATAGAAGGTTTGTACTTATTTAGCAGATTGTATACTTTTCATTTACAGAAAACAAAAATATATTTGAAACAAACTTAAACTTATAATATCCAATATGTTATATAACCTTTGGCTTTCATGTATATTTTTCCATTCCATTATATATATTTTTCTAAGAATTAAGGCTAATGAATTATAAACTAAAAAATAATAATAGTGAATACTTAACTGAACCGTTTGTAAATAAAGTTATAATTTCTTTTAACAGAAAACAAAACAATATTTTAACGGTTATATAAACAAAAGTAAAGTTCTAATATCCATAATTTTTATTTAACCTTCGGTTCCAACGATATATTTTTTCACTATATATTTTCTTCTATATATTTAATAAATAATATGTTATTACCGACACAGAGGCGGATTTTGTAGTTTTTAGAATTTTTTTCTGTCTGTTTGAGAATGCATCACGAGAAAATCACTGGACAGATTTTGATGAAATTTTGCATAATAGTAGCTGCGTCAACATAAAGAATACTTTTTACTGCGGGAAAATATCTCATTTTTGAGAAATCTGTACTAAACGTTAAAACGTATTATATAATAACTATAAATTAATGATAATGAAATATAAACTACACAATTATATGTTAATAACAATGTTGACCAATAGAATAATAATTAATATTAATTATAAATAAACTTGCTGTAACTTTAAATTCTTAGTAATTAAATTGATGTAAAGGAATCTAAAGTTTAAAAATAAAAGATTTCAAGCTCTTTTTCCATGCAGCCTATTTTTATTTAATTTCAACAACATTCGCATTCGTGAATATTGAAGATAAAAATTCGCATTCGCGAATGTGAAAAATCGAATATTTCTTACTATTACTAATTAATATGTACAACTAGCCTAAAACCTATCAAATCAAATCATTTTTGTTATCACAGGTGCACAAAATAACATAGAAAGGTCTTAATTCTAGATTCAGATCTTTGTGATATACAATGAGTTATTTAACTAGTTAAAACTGTATAATACTCCTAATGTAACCTATTTAATAAGCAATTCAACATGGCCCTACCTTGGATTAGCTCATTTTGGCTATCTATAGTGGTAGAGATGGGAGCTCGCATGGGCACTTTCATCCTCATGTGCAACTGGAAGTGGTTGTGGTAATGGTAAACGGGCTTTCAATGCAATGTTGTGCAGGACACAACATGCCGCTATTATTTTGCTAGCTACATAAGGATGATAGTGAAGTGTCCTATCTCGAAGCAAACATCTCCACCGTGCTTTGAGTAATCCAAAACAGCGTTCAATGCAATTACGCGCTTGCACATGTTTTTGGGTATATAGTTCTTCTCTTGAACCTGGAACTGCATTGAGGATGGGAGTCATAAGCCAAGGGCGTTGTGGATATCCAGAATCACCTGAAAAAATTGTTTTTGTAAACAAAACAAACAAATTCTTCTACTACTACTTACTACTACTACTAACATATCAATTACATCTTTCATGTTATTTTTGTAAACACTTACCTAATAACCATACTTGTTCATTATTTTGATGAAGTTCACGCATGTATGATTCAGCTTTACTAGATGACCATATATGTGAATCGTGTGTAGCTCCACCCAACTTTGCATTCACATTTGTGATGCGAAGATGACTGTCACAAATCTGTAAAGTTAAACTAATATTCAGAAATGTTTTTATATTATTTTACCTGAAACAAGTCATAAATAAATACAATTACCATTTGAACATTTAATGAATGATACCCTTTTCTGTTATAAAAAACATGTTCTTCATCATTGGGCTTAACTAAAGCCACATGGGTGCAATCTATGCACCCGATTACACCAGGCAGACCAAATCTACTCTGAAACCTAAAACAATAAGTTATATTATTAAATGCATTACATGTACCTAAGAGTAAAATTGTAAATATATAATATGATACATACTCTTGTTTTACATGTCCTCTGTCTTGCCTTGTTTTCGGAAACACAATCCATTTTGCCATAATAGCGGGGTGGTTCAAAGCATCGACTACTTGTCGGATGCAGCGACTAGTTGTGCGTTGAGGAAGATTGTGAGTAATACCAACAATTCGTTGATAGGACCCTGTAGCCAGGAAACTAACTGCGCACAACACCTATAAAAGACAGCCAAAAAGAAATAAATAATAGTGATTGTTAGGGTTGTGTAGGCTTCGATAACTAAATGAACTGTTTGCTGGTATATATGTATTGTTTAACATTGAATTAAAATATCACATTTTTTGTACATTTAACAAAAGTCTTATGCAAGTTACACCATGCGTGCGTGTGTTCATGAACTCATGTAATGAAACAAAATAAATGGTAGGCTAGGCACATTTATTCTTGTACTTAAAACAGCAGAATTACATATTTGGCATATCTTACCTTAACTTCTAGTGGAATCTCATTGGATCCTTTTAAAGAAGTTTTCCGTCGTAGGTCTTGAACGAGGGCTTCGAAAGTCACTTTGCTTAACCGAAATCGTTGTATAAACAAAGTGCCCGACATTTCATGTATTGTTTCGATATACTGACGATATAAATCTCTTTGCCGGCGTTTTAACCACACTTCTTCGTTATGACCGGACCGCAACATATTTAAGGTATACATTTTATACATTTTAAATGCTAAAAAGAAAATATAAATAGTCTAAAATCAACGCGAATTAACAAAACACTTCTGTCTTATAACAGCTGTGAGCTGATTCTAAACTTTAAAGTTATAGACGCCACTTTTTTAGCGTTAACTCAAGGGTCTCGCCGTTCGTTTAGATAGCGTTAAAGAACTTAGATTTGAATTCTCAAGCGCTTGTCAAACGTGCAACTTGGCTACCATTTTGTATGAGATCTTGTGATCCACATTGTAGAATCGCTCAGTTCGTTTCTATTTTTAGAACGAACTATGTACCTTGTAAACTTGGCTACGAATTTTCAATTCGATCGTTTTGACCACGTGACATATCGTTCAAAATACGTAATGCCCATACATTTCATTAGTTTTCTAAATCGTTAACGATTGTAGATAGTCATCATGGCTAAGCCCCCAGGTATCGTACCAAAACTTCTACCAGAAACTTCATTGGCATTGGTCATATTTTTCAAGAGCATATCTTCATGTCTATCCCATGAGGATGAAGTTGTTTCTTTTTCTCCACGTGGAGAAGCGCCTACTGTAGGTGAACGATTTCCTCTTATTTTGTGTTCTGCAATTATTTTTTTTGATAGATCTGATTGCATTAGCAACAGCCAATGCCGACATGAAATGTAATTTTTTGAAGCGAGGATCTAAGATAGTTGCTTTGGCCAAAAAAAGGTTTTCTTGTAAAGGCACTAATCTACTTTGAATACCATTCAATAAATCATTTTGTACTGACACTCCAATAGCAGTTGATGGCTTAGTTTGTTCGATTTCTTGTTTTAATAAATTTGTTAGTGGTATAACTAAACTAGCTGTGACATATTTCTCGGCACTCAAATCTTCTGTTACTATTTTAAATGGACTAAGTAGCGTGACTAAATTGCGCAAAACAGTTAACTGCGAAGTAGCAACCATGTCCATATGTAAAAAATATCGACCATCGATATCTAAATTTCAATATCGAACTATTGATATATCGTCCAAAAAAATATTAGTAATAAATATCGATATTTCTAAATGATAATATTGATAGTTCGATATATCGATATTTTATCAACAGCCCTAATTTACATTCTTACATTATTATTTTTAATACAAAATATCTTTTTAATAGTGAAATTTATAAAAACAATTATTATCTTTATTCATGCATAACTCCACACGACACTTTTCGCAAGATATATATATATATATATATATATATATATATATATATATATATATACATACCAGTACAAGCATGAAATGCGGATTTCAAAAAACTGACAGTGCATCAATGAAGCTTATGCTATGAAGATTTGATACTGCGTCATTTTGTTGTGTTATAAACAAGGATCACACGCGCTTGACTAATAAATTGAAAAAGTGTGTGTAAAGTGTTGTGTTGTTGTCTTCAATATGTCGAAATTTATACCGAACAAAGAGCATTTGCGGACAGCATTAATTTTTTGTTATCATTTGAAGAAAACTGCTGCTGAATCATATCGATTGCTTCGAGAAGCTTGTAGTGAACATGCTGTATCGCAAGATACGTGTGAACGTTGGTTTCGGCGTTTCAAAAGTGGTGACTTCGATGTTGCTGACAAGGAACATGGAAAGCCACCAAAAAAATATGGAGACATGGAATTGCAAGCATTGTTGGATGAAGATGATTCGCAAACATAAAATCAACTCGCCAATCAATTGGGCGTTAGTCAACAAGCTGTTTCCAATCGGCCACGAGAGATGGGAAAAATTCAGAAGACCGGTAGATGGGTACCACAAGAGTTGACTGATAGGCAAATGGAAAAGCGTAAAAACACATGTGAAATTTTGCTTGTTCGGTACAAAAGAAAGTCGTTTTTGCATCGCATAGTTACAGGAGATGAAAAATGGATTTATTTTGAGAATCCAAAGCGCAAAAAGTCATGGGTGGACCCAGGCGCACCATCCACATCGACCGTAAGACCGAATCGCTTTGGCAGAAAGTTGATGCTCTGTGTTTGGTGGGACCAGAGAGGCGTGGTTTATTATGAGCTATTAAAACCCGGGGAAACGGTTAATACTAAACGTTATCAACAACAATTGAACAATTTAAACCGTTGGCTGCTTGAAAAAAGGCCAGAATACCGAAATAGGCAACACAAAGTCATTTTTCTTCATGACAATGCCCCATCACATACGGCAAAACCGGTTCGCGAAACGTTGGAACCCCTTAACTGGGAAGTTCTACCCCATGCGGCTTACTCACCAGACTTGGCTCCATCCGATTACCACCTGTTTGCATCGATGGGTCACGCACTTACTGAGCAGCGCTTTTGTTCGTACGAAGATGAAATGGAAGAAAAAATGGCTCGAGGAATGGTTCGCAGAAAAAGAGGAAGATTTTTACTGGCGTGGTATTCACAAATTGCCCAAAAGATGGGAAAAATGTATAGCAAGCGATGGAACATACTTTGAATAAAGCACTTTTTATCATTATTTCAAATTTAACATGTATTTTTAGATAATACAATCCGCATTTCATACTTGTAGACCTATATATATATATATATATATATATATATTATTTTTTTTTTTTTTTTTTTTTTTATTTATTTATTCAGGTAAAAACAGTCGTAAACAAAAAATCTAAAACAGTAAGGATACAATTAGACCTATATTACCCTAAATTATTACAAATGAACTGATTTGTCATCAAAAGTGACGGATGCTAAATAAGTATGTTTACCAAAATAAGTGAAACTAAATTAAATAAAAAAAAAATATTAAATAAAACTAAATTGAAGCTACTAAAAAAGAAACAAAAATACATATGTCTTATACAATATTTAGAAATAAATAAGTTTATACAAAATTTCCGAAAAACTAAAACATTGATTGGTTTGTACCTACTGGCAAAATATAGAAAGCAATTATAGTAATAGTAACAAATAAATTTTAATAATATTATCATAGTACAAACTATAAACAATAAAAGCCCATAGTTAGAATATTATACGAAACACTTGCTTTTTATACATACTTAGTTTACACGAAAAAATATCAACAACAGTTAAATTATTATTATAGAATGAACAAGAACGCCTGAGAAAGGTATTTTTTGCATACCTAGTATGATATGAAGGTATATGAAATGTATCTTTGGAACGAGAGGAAGAGGAGCGGGGAATTTTGAAAGAGATGAGGTTTAATAAATCTGTGGAGTTTACATAGTTATTAACAATTTTGTATAAGTATATGGTATCTAAATAATTACGCCTGGAGTGCAAAAGCTGCATATTATGTCTTGTCAAACTCTCCTCGTAGTTGGTATAATAAAAACCAGTACGATAGTCCAGAGACTTCACGAACTTCCGTTGCACTTTTTCAATTCTTTGGATGTGTACCATATATTGAGGACTCCATACAATACTTCCGAATTCGAGAATGCTTCTCACATACGCGTTATATAGTATTTTTAGTGTATTACCTCGAGTAAAAGGTTCGCTTAGACGGAGGATTAATCCTAAACGCTTAAAAGCTTTAGCTACAATTTTGTCAACATGAAGGTTAAAGTGCAGTTTGCAGTCTAGCGTGACACCAAGGTCACGAACTTCGGTTACTCTGTTCAGAGTATTTCCTAGTAATTTGTATTTATAAATATGGGGCTGATGTTTTCTAGAAAAAGTTATTACGCAGCATTTATCAACATTAAGGAACAAATGATTATTATTACAATATTGCTCAAATTGATATAAATCTTGCTGTAACTCAAGACAATCATCATCACAACGGACAATTTTATAAATCTTGGTATCATCAGCGTATAACAAATGATGAGAGTTTCTAATGCAAGAGTTCATATCATTTATATATAAAGTAAATAAAAACGGCCCTAAATGAGAGCCTTGAGGGATTCCAGACGAGATTTCCACAAAATTAGAGACATACCCCTTGAGTGCAACAGCTTGGCTACGGTTGTTTATATATGAACATACCCATCTAAGAAGATCGCCGTGTATACCAATTCTCGAAAGCTTCCTTATTAAAACAGAATGATTAATCTTATCGAACGCTTTCGAGAAGTCAGTATACACTGCATCAACCTGATGACCTACATCAAGAGCATTAAGCAAAAAGTCAGTGTACATCACAAGATTTGAATTTACACCACGACCACGATAAAATCCATGTTGTTCGGGAGCTATTACATGATACAAGTGAGAGGTAAGTATATTAGTTATAATTTTTTCAAAAATTTTACCAAAAATGTTTAACTTTGATATGGGTCTATATTGCTTTACGTCGTGTATATCACCCCCTTTAGGAATGGGGGTGATGATAGCTTTTTTCCATATACTCGGGAAACAGCCTTCAGTTATGGACTTATTGTAAATAATAGTAAGTGGAGTTGAAAGCTCTTTACAAAGTTTTTTTATTAAAACTGGGTGAATACCATCATGACCGGCACCTTTATTTACATTAACTTGCTCAAAGTGCTTTAAGACAACTTCACGTTGAATATCAACAGTCGATATATTAACTGAAGACATATTGACCTCGTCATCAACGGCAATGTGGCTGTTAATTGTGTCAGTTTGAGGGACAAAAACTGACTTAAAATATTCGTTAAACATGTTAGTGATTGTTTCTAGGTTATTGGAAGATACATTATTAAATTTCATTTCGGCAGGAATATTATTGGAGCCAAATTTAGATTTGACAAATGACCAAAAATATTTTGGGAAGGTTGAAATCTTATCTTCAGAGAAAATTATATATCGTTCGTAGCATTCACGTTCAACTCGTTTTTCTCGAGAACGTAAGGCAGAGTACAACTGATAATCTCGGTCATTTCGGTATTTTTTCCATTTAGAATGCTTATTCATTTTTTGTCGTATTAATTTTATAAGATTACGGGAGTACCAAGGAGGGTAATTAGAATGTGATTTAACAGGTTTTTTTGGAATATACACGTCGATTAAATTCTGTAAAATATTATAAAAGTAACTGACGGATTCTTCGGTATTTAAGGTGGCTAGATCAGCAATCCAATTGACTCGCGATATTTCTTTGCCAATCGCTTTAAAATCAGCCGCATGATAAATTAGTTTGAGACGCGTTTTTACGTTTTGTATAAAAGCATGCGTTTGTAGATTGAGAGTTATATCTAAAGATTTATGATGCGCATCCTCTGGGGTTAACGGTGTGGTAGAATTGGACACAGTGCACTTATCGCTACTAAGTACTAAGTCTAAAACTCGTCCGTTGCTATTTACACAGCCATTGTATTGCCTAAAATTGGATAAATTCATAAAATCGCACAAGTCCCCCGCTAAGCCGTCGCTATTTGTACTTAGTTTAAATGATTGAGTCGAATCGTTAAAGCTATCCCAACTAGCGTTAGAAATATTGAAATCTCCAAGTATTAGAAAATTATCATTTAGATTATTTTGCAAAATGTCAAATGTGTTGTCGTAAAAGTTTTGTAAAGATTCAGAATGATTGTTACCGTGCGGGAAGTAACAGCAAGCTACATGCAAGTTGGAGGAAGCGTTAGCGGCGCGACAGGGTCGGGGCGCGGGGCGGGAGGGGCGCGCGGCCCCCACCGCAGCGGTCGTGGCGGCGTCAAGCTCGAGCGTCACCCATAGCTCCTCGGCGGCGGGCCTCGAGCGCCACTCGGGCCGGGGCCGCGCGCGCAGTTCGCGTCGTGCCGCTATGAGCACGCCGCCGCCCCGCGCGCCCTGCCCGTCTGTGGATTTCCTATCTTGCCTAAAAACAATGTATTTGGTATGGAAGTATTCTGCATCGTGATAATCCGGAGTTAGCCAGGTTTCGGTCAAGACAATTAAATCGTAGTCGCTCTGTAGAACATTAGCTAAGAAGGAGTGTGATTTAGTGCGTAATCCTCTTACGTTCTGGTAGTAAATTGATAAGGAATTAAACGAAATCAGATTGAATATATAAAATATACAAACAAGACAATTATGATATATAAATAAATTATTATATAAAAAAATAATAATATTGTGATAAATTCTGAGGTATTGTAAAGTACCTTTCTCGGGCTTGTATCGTTAAAATCTATAAAAAAGAACATAAAGGACAAAAATATAAAACAATATGATTGGCAGTATGTAATACCAATTAGTATTTCTTTATAGTTGTTGATAAAATTCGTGGGTACAATATATACAAATAACTGGTGTATGTGAGTGATTTTTGTTGTATCTATTGCTATTGATAAGTGCATGTATTTCTGCATAATGAATATCAGATAATAATGAAATAAATTAATAACAAAGACGTTATGCGTTCGGAGTAAACATAAGAAGCTTATTTTAGAACAATGCGTAAAACATAAGGGAAAAAGAAAAAATAACATTATAAATATTAATAAATCGACGAACAACGATGACACAAATAGTCATTTAATTTTAAGTAGGTCACTCTCGCACGAAATACGTATGATATTAGAATTATCATTTTTACGAATAAGTATCTTGCTGTCTTTAACCCACAAGTATGAATAGTTTTTTTCGAGTTTAAGTTCGCGTGCTCGCTTTAGTAGTAGTTTGTTCGTTGGAGTGAGGTGATCACCAATGTACACGGTGCTCGCCGGGCCGGGCAGTCCGATGTGTGCGGTGGTGAGGCCGCGGCGCGCGCGCACGGCTGCGATCAGCTGATCCTTGCGCCGCCGCTGGCAAAACCGCACTATAATAGACGCCGGCCGAGTAGGTTCATTGTTGCTTTCCGTCCTACTCGATGGGTATGGACGAACTCGATGTATAGAATCGATATCATGATCGCTCAGTTGAAAACCCACAGTTGCGCATAAGTCATTTAATATTGTATAGACGTTTTCACCTTTCTTTGTCGGTATACCGGAAATTTCTATGTTGTTCTGTCGCGAATATTGATCGTGTGAATTATTTTGCGCTTTTAATTCAGCTATAGTTTTTTGTGTCGATAATAAGTCTTTTTGCACAATGGATAACGTAGATAGTTTTTGCTCTGAAGAGGTCAATCTACGATCGAATTCAATAAATCGACCTTCCATTGTGTCAAGTTTGCTGCTCAATTCTTTTATATGTTGCATGGTGCATTGAATATCAGATTTTATGTTAGTAAATTCTACCTTCATCGTGCTAAAATCGTTACGAAAACTTTTTATCTCTTTTAACACGTCTGACAAAGAGGGGTGTGTCTCCGTGAGTTGAGGTGAACGGCAAGTAATGCACCGCCAGCCGGCTTTTTTTTCCACTCCCATTTTTCTGTAGCTAAGCTCCGAAACCCCGGCACAAACATAGTGGTACTGTCCACCACACTTATTGCACAACACAAAATCCTCAACAACATCGTTGCACTTTGGGCAGATCATATTATTAAACTTTAAAGTTCAAAAAACAAATATATTAATAATTTGTAATTTGTAAGTAGGTAAATGTAAATAAACTAAGGAGCTGATTTATTGCATCCGTCACTTACGAGAGCGACAACCGGACTGAACATATATATATATATATATATATATATATATATATATATATATATATGTTCTCTTCAGGTTCCAAATAGGAAAGTGGCCAATTCTATCACGCCTTACATCTTGAGGGGGAAGGATTGCTATATTCGACTTTTTCTTCTTCTTCATATCATCAGTTGCAGATGATGGTCATTATTTTTTTATGTAGTAATGGGTCACACGCGCAGGGAATTTAAGAGATTTGTAATTTAAAATCTCTTAGTTTTATAGGTATTGATCAATTCTTCTATCCCCGACTCTTCTATATTATAGCCAGCAATTTATGACGATAACGTCGAGGATGGTGAAATAAACGTATATACCATTTTTTTGTCCTCATTTTTATTTTGTACTTTCCAAGTAGACAACCCCCTCCGGCGCCAGAGCCTGTAAGAAGGCCGGATCCAGCGCGCGTTCCCCGCCCACGCCGTAGAGGCGATATAGCACCTCTGGGGCTCCCAGTCCCAGATGGAGTGCACGAGCAACCGGCAACGCGGGATGGCGCATCGCCGCGCTGGATCCGTCCTCACGCAACCGAGCCATTCGGGAGCATTGCTCTACCGATGTACGGGAGTTTTGAATTTATTCAAAAACTCCGTCAGCGCGTCATGCCTATTCTCAATTGACGACGAGAACGGCGTATGCTCATATGGCCCGCACGTGCCATCTACGAGACGGTTGTTTCTGTTAGCAGACCACTGCTGAGGAACTTCGCGATATCTCACGAACCAGATGCAGGACCAAGGATTGATTTCTGGTCCATCTTCGTCACCAAATTCCGGGCGCACTGCACGATAGCACAATACGCGGGCGGCCGTGACTAGCCGCGTGCGGACCAAGGTGCGGGAGATAATCTTACCCTCTCCAGAGATGAAGTGGGCATCTCGACTAACGACCGGTGCTGATGGGCGCCAAGCAAGCTGCTGTGCTAGGCTGCCAGTAGTGCCCTTGGGTATGGGCACAACCTTGTATCTCGCACACTCTCGGAGTCTGCGGTACACTAGTTCAAAGATGTCTCGGTTTAGAGAGTATCGGTCGATTTGGAAATCGACATGGTCCACGTCCGGGATCAGAGGCAGGATCTCTTGACTCTGATTTTTGGTGAGGGGACGGCCTGTGCGTTATCCGAGGAGGTTCTGAGTTGCGAGCCACGCTGGGGGTTCCTCCTCTCCTATTAAATCAACTACTTCCATATGCTTTTTATAGATTCGCACTATTTCGGGGTAATCGACTTTTATGTTTATATATATTTTTTTCTTTTTTGAATATCGTCTTACCTTTTCAGTCGGCTGTTGTCCAACAAAAGACGCCTCTCTTTTTAGCTGCATATACCCTATAGCGTCATCACCATACGACTGACGCGAAGATCTGAAATTAGAAGCATAACCTGTAACTTAAAATGCAGTGCATTAGAATACATAATAAAAATTAGTGGCACCTTGTAAACAACTTTTAAAAAAAGGTGACATTAATTGGGTTAACGCTAAAAAAGACTAAAAACCGTTCGTAGAGGTGAGTAGTGGAAGAATCTTCAAGTATAATTGAACAGAAGTTGATAAGAAAGTAAACGTTTGTAGTTGTTTGTAGTACGGTTAATTTTCTTTCCAGTGACTGTTCTTTTTTTGTAATCATTTGTAGTACCATTATTTCGTTAGTAGATGTTTGTAGTAGCGTTAATTTCGTTTGTAGTTGTTATGTGTGATTATTTTGTATGTGGGTAAATTAACATGAACATTAAATCAATCAGCTTTCCAACTCCGTGTTTCATTGACGTTCCATTGGCGACGAGGTGTATTTTAATTAGCACGCATAGAAATTATATTTTAAAATGCCGATAGGAAAACTTGAACCTTTCGACCTTAATTCAAAGCAATGGCCAGCTTATATTCGACGAGTTAAGCAATATATTATTTTGAACGAGATAAAAGACGAACTACAAGTGCCGTTATTAATAACTGTCGTCGGAGAAACTACGTATTCATTAATGTGTGGCCTATGTTCACCAACATACCCGGAATCAAGATCTTTTGTCGATCTAGTCAAATTGGTATCAGATCATTTGCAACCACAACGATTCGAAATAGCAGAACGCCACGTGTTTCGTTTAAGAAGACAACGTGTCGGTGAGCCTTTGTCGGAATACCTGCAGAATTTAAAACATCTGGCCACTACTTGTAATTTCGGGACGATGCTAGAAGAGAATTTACGGGATCAATTTGTTTCGGGCTTGGTAAATGAAGCAATGCGTTCGAGAATTTTCAGAGGCAGTGGAGCTGGCTCTGGCACTAGAGGCTGCAGAGAAGCACGCGGAGGTGAGCGGCGCAACGGCTGTGCCGACATCGGTCTCCGGTGCAAGCGGTAAAGCAAGCGAAGGCTTATTTCAAACGAGCGCGGGGCGCAAGTCGGTTAGGCCGGTGTCTGGCGCTGGAAGGGCGCGTGTCCGGGAAGCTGCGGAGGTGCGGTGTTGACGTTGTGGGAAGCTTCACTACGCTTCAAAATGTAGATTTGCACAGTACAGTTGTGATAAGTGTCATAAAAAAGGCTATTTAAAAGTGATGTGTGATGAAGTGCGTAATCGACCGTTTTATCGTAATAATTATGTTCAAGACGGAAGTAGTACCGAGGAGGACGATATCTTTAATATCGAGTTAATAAGCAAAGGTAATAAGCCCTATTTACTTAAGTAAATTGTTGATAAGCATTTATTAGAATTTGAGATAGATACTGGAAGCCGTATTTCCGCTATTAGTCAAGAATTATTTAATAAGATATTTATACAAAAAACAATTATATCCGATAATTTACTTTTACGCTGTTATACTGGTTTACTAATTGAATCTATGGGTTTTATATATGTCAATGTATCGTTAGGTAGTGTTAAGGCAGAAAAATTAAGTTTATATATTATAAAAAATGGATCGCGTCCTCTATTGGGTCGAGATTGGATTCGTGCACTTAAAATTAAGCAAATAACTTTGAAAGAAATCCAAGAGGATAGTTTAGTTGAAAAATTAATTATCGAATATCCCGAAGTATTTACAGATAAGTTAGGCACTTGTAAAAAACATATTGAACTACAGCTGATAGATAAGAATCCGGTTTATGTTCACGCACGAGTAGTACCCTTAGCATTGCGTAAGCGCGTCGAGAGTGAACTCGAGCGTCTCGAGCGAGAGGGATATACGTACCGCGTTGATCATTCGGCTTACGGTACGCCTATAGTCCCGGTAGTTAAGGAATGTGGCGAGATTCGAATCTGCGGTGATTATAAAATTACTATTAATCCAAAACTAAAACGCGATTATTATCCTTTACCACGAATAGAGGAGTTATTCGCGGCACTTAGCGGCGGTCAGGAATTTTCTAAAATCGACCTTAAGCATTCTTATCAACAAGTCCTTTTATCGCCTGATTCGCAACCGTACACCGCTATAACGACACATATCGGAACATTTGTATATCGCCGTACCCCTTTTGGATTGTCGTGTATTCCTGAGAAATTTCAAAAATTAATGGAAGAGACTTTACGAGGGGTACCGGGTACCGTAGTATTTTTAAATGATATTTGTGTCACGGGCTCGAATAGGCAGGCACATATTAGAAACCTCCGCGCGGTACTCGAACGTTTACGTAATATGGGCTTTACCGTTAAACTTAGCAAATGTAATTTCTTAAAATCCAGTGTCAAATATTTAGGTTTTATTATAGACAAACTTGGTCTTCATCCCGACAAACAAAAACTAGAAGCTTTATGGGAGGCCCCGTGACCCCAGAATGTCTATCAGTTAAAAAGTTTTTTAGGTTTATTAAACTATTATGGTAAATTTATACCAAACCTTAGTATTTAATTGTATCCAATGCATAATTTATTAAAAAAAAATATTGCCTGGAAATGGGATGTCAATTGTGAAAAAGCTTTTGTTGAGGCTAAACGTGCCCTTACGGGCGATAAAGTTTTAGCGCATTATGAAGAGGGAAGACCGTTGGTATTGGCAGTGGACAGCAGCGCTTACGGGCTCGGCGCGGTATTAGCACACCGCTATTCTGACGGCAGTGAACGCCCAGTCAGTTGTGTATCGCGTACATTAAATAAAGCAGAAATAAATTATAGTCAACTTGATAAAGAAGCGCTCGCAATTTTCTTTGGTGTTATTAAGCATCATCAGTATCTTTATGGAAGACAATTTATTCTAAAAACCGATCACCAACCGCTTAGTTATATTTTTAGAAAAAAATGTGGTATCCCACAAACAGCTGCCAGTCGATTACAACGATGGGCGGCGCGCTTGTCTGCGTATGATTTCTCAGTACAGTTTATACGTTCAAGTGAGAATGGGCCGGCCGATGCTCTGTCCCGCTTACCACTGCCATATGAACGGCCCATCTCAGATTCATTAAGTTACATACAACTTATTGATGACTCACTGCCTGTTAATTTCAAAAATATTAGTCGTGAAACAAAAAAAGACTTAGTGTTAAGTAGGATCGTAGGCTATGTTCTTTTTGGGTGGCCATCGGTAGCAAGTTGTGATGAGGAAAAGGCTTATTTTATACGTAAAAATGAAATTGTATTAGACTTAGGTTGTCTTATTTACAAATATAGAATAATAGTGCCGCCCTCCTTACGTGAAAAATTACTAAGAGAAATTCACGAAGGTCATTTGGGTACATATTAATAAAATGAAAAATTTGTCACGAAATTATGTATATTGGCCAAGCCTAGATAAAGATATCGAAAATTTATGTCTTAACTGTGACGCGTGTCGTATAGTTCGCGGTGCTCCACCTAAAGCTATTTTACACCCGTGGGAATTTCCTCTGCACCCTTGGCAGCGAATTCACGCGGATTTTGCTGAATATGCGGGAAAAAAATATTTTATAATGATTGATGCACACTCGAAGTGGATCGAAGTATTTATTATGAGCCGCACTGACGCCGAAGCGACAATAGCTGTGTTACGTACGACTTTTGCTAGATTCGGACATCCATCGCAACTTGTTACGGATAATGGTCCCTTGTTTTCTTCCTTAGACTTTAACAATTACTGTCTTGCTAATTGTATTAAACATGTATCGACGGCACCATATAGACCTCAGGGTAATGGCGCGGCTGAAAATGCCGTTAAACTAACCGTTAACTAATAAAAAAAATAATTAAAAGAGCGATTTTTTTAAAAGAGGACATATCGATGGCAATAAATAAATATTTATTTCAATATAGAAATTGTGAACATTCGACTACCGGAGTATCACCGGCAGTGGCTTAGCTAGGGCATCGGTTGCGTGGACGTCTCGACGCGATTCGCCCTGGTCGAGTTGTAATAGCCCGGGAAGCACAAAATCGCCAAGTGGTGAATAAGAAAGGCACAAATAGGTTAATAGAAGTAGGAGACACCGTATTAGCTCGTGACTATAGAACAAGTAGCAATAAATGGTCAGAAGGGGTTGTTACGGACAAAACTGGACCTTCGTCGTATAAAGTTGATGTGGGAGAGGGATTAAAGTGGCGTCGACATCAAGACCAAATAATTAACGTTGATAATAAAAATCGACATTCCCTCGCGCGTACGTGTTTGCCAAGTTCGGAAGTCGAAGGCAACAACTATAGCGAAAACAAAGATATAGTTACATATGATGCCGACGATGCCTCGGGTGGAACGGAGGTGCAAGCTGATCAGTTAATTAAGCAAACTCAATATCCGCGTTCTCCTACGCCACCACCACCACCTGATGTTTCGGCTAGGGCATTACGTGCCTATAATAGGAATAAGAGATATTAATGATTTCATTGTTATGGATATTGCAAGTTGTTTTTCTTCAACTTTTTTTATATAGAGGTAGAACTTTCTTTTTGTTTAGAATAATTTTAATATATTGTTTCTCCTTGTATAAACTTAAAATAAAGGTGGAAATGTAAAGTACATTTAATAAAAAGGGGGGGAAAGTGTTATGTGTGATTATTTTGTATGTGGGTAAATTAACATGAACATTAAATCAGTCAGCTTTCCAACTCCGTGTTTCATTGACGTTCCAGTAGTAACGTTAATTTTATTTGTAATACCATTTTTTTCTATTTAATGTACTGGACTCCAACAAAGTTATTCATGTACAAAAAGTTTATTAAGGAAGACTACGTTGCAAGCATCAGTATCGATGCTACGGGTAGCTTGGTAAAGCAAATACCAAAACCGGATGGCTAAAAGCGCGTTGGTTACCTATATTTAGCTGTTTGTGGTTATCGTCAAAAGATATCGTCTTTATTCCAATTTGTATCCGACAAGCACGACACAAATACCTTGACATATTGGATTCGAGAATGGTTGCGTTCTGGCGAGTCATGTCCCAAGCAAGTAGTTACAGGCTACCCATTGGCACTTCTTAACGCTACTTCTCTCGCTTTTAACAACGTCGATCTAAAAACATACATCGAAACATGTATAATCTTTGACACGAACAATTCGTTCGTGCGAGTGACTCGCCACGTTGTATACTTCGACCTGACATTTCTCTCTTTGTAAACATGGTGGCACGTTGGAGCTGCTTTAATCGCGAGAATCCCGAAAAGAAGGTTTTCTTTTTCCGATGCATGGGTCTGCTTATCACATGTACGGAAAATTACGATTTTTTCGGCTGTGTACAGACGTACTGACTATTGCTTTTGCTACGCATGAAAACATTGATGACAAACGCGAGTCACTGTTTTGTAGCACAGAATCGAGTATCAGAGCGCTTGAAATCGTATAATCTTCCCGATAACAGGTCTGAGCAATTCGACGATAATCAGAACTAAAATAAACTTTGTTGGAACAATTTAACGAAGTTGATGGAGAGACCGAACTCAATTCGAGTCCTGCAATAAGAGTTATTTAAAAAAAAATCGAGTCAGATCGCGAGACTGAAGTTAAAAACAGACGCTTGAATCTTTATCAGTGCTGTGCGTTCAGTTCTAGACTGTTGAAATTGGTAAACCAATTTGTTCTGTGGACTGCTGTTATGGTTACCAATGATCCGAAAATGAGGTTTTCGGATAATAAACTTTCGTTAAGTTATCGAATGACAAGGACATACGCCTTGTTGCCAGTTCAGCTAGCAGCGAAGAATATTTTCGAGAATTTAAAAAAACATCTGGTTTTTAAAAAAGAGAAATCTATTAGGATTGATACTGGCAGGCACTACTATTTTGTTGAATGCCGACACACAGAAAAACAAAAAATGCAGCTCAAAGTAATACATTCGACGCCTCGAGTAGCTGATCTGGTTGTGGAAAAATCCTCAACTTTGTTCGTAGACGTTATTTTTGTTAGTAGATGGAAATAATCGTAAACGTGTACGCGAAGATGACATAAAACAAGACGAGCT